GGCGCCCCGGCAGAAATAGTCCGCTTGTAAAAGCGATAACTTTTACGTTCCACGGCTGTGTGCTTTATAAAAGCAGGCCGATGCACGCACGGGATTAAGCAGCGACGGCGCCTACGACGACAAACTCGTTTCATATGTGTTTGATAATTTTCGGGGAAAGAATTATGAAGAATTATATTATATGAAAAACTCGTGTCTCACGCGCGCGAACAAAGCATCCGAAAAAAAAGTATTCTATTTGTAAAGTGATTTTTCCCATATTCCCATAGTCTCATATTCTAAGCGAAGCCTTTTACAGGAAAAGGGTACTTCTCCCAACAAAGCAATTAAAGTGAACCATTCATCTAAGATTTATTAGATATTATTCTGTTTTCCTCTTATTTCAAGAACATTTCCTCTTATATCAATTAATTTTCTTTTTATATAAAGAGGAATATGTGGGATGTCGGCTTCTTTTGTTCAGTCATGCTCTACCTCTAGACATGAATGAAAAAATAATCATATGCACATGGGTCAGAATATTTGGAACGCTTTTTAAAAAAATGTGTGTTGCTGTAACAAAGATAATTTACCCATATTTCATCGAATACAGTTTATAATCTATTGCAAGAAGTTGAACAATATATTCTTTCTTTTAATTGTGTTTCATATAATTGGTTGTGATAAACAGCTTTCTAGCTATGAAATCCATGACAAAATTAATTGGAAATTTATTTGTTATGACGATCTTATTTCATTCGTGCCTACTTAATGTGGAACTAGAGCCAGAAGTACATCTACACATATATATTACTTTTCGCTATACATTATAATAATACATTATAATTTTTTTCGAATTAACCAGTATAACCAGTAAGAATAAAGTACAGTAAAAATAAATGTTAATTCTTTTAAAAAAAGATTAAATAATCTGTGTATAAGAGGAAATTTATATTAAAATTAATAAGATTTGCATTATACATATAACATATAATTCCTCTAATTTTAAGAATAATGTGTTTATAATATTTTCCTCTTAATTTTAGAGAAATCCTCTTGAGACCATATGTAAGAGTAAAATTTAGATGATTCTCTAAAATTTAGATGATTCCGCTTGTTTTAAAATTACATTTTTTTGGGTGAGAATTGACTCATATTTCGCAGAAGCAGATAATTGTGCAAGGTTCGTGTATCAAAAATACGCGCGAGTTTCATTGTTACTCGTTTCTAGTCATGTTTCATGGTACTTGTGATGATTTTATATAATTTATACACATTTTATTTTATTAAAAATATGTCCTATCTCATCAGACGTGTGGATAATCGCGTTGGAGATTCGCTTTGCGATACACAATACAGCGCATCGTGTGTATCGCAAGCTGTGAGTATTTTGCTGTCAACTTTGGACAGCACTACCGCAATTAACTAAATTTTCCGTCTATATCGCGCGCGGCGCAACCATAAAGAGATTGCTAAGTTAGTTACAGAGACCCTCGATGCAACTGACCCCGAGGCGTTGCTGTGCGCGAAAGGCGGCGTACCAACGCGTGCATTAATCCTCTGCGTTTGATATCTCGTTTGATAGCACTCGAACATAAGCCGGGTATTCGCGTGTCCATTGAGTATTTAATTAAAAAATTACGTAATCTTTCCGCGGCGATTCGCGCTGTGTCGTCTTGTTTGTGTACGATCAAAACGATCGCAAACTCTTTGTGCATTTATGAAACTTGAGCTCGCGCTTCAATTATCTTTCAAAGTCTCAGGAACACACTGATAAACGATATCACAGAGAGAGACAGAGAGAGAGAGAGAGAGAGAGGAGAGAGAGAGAGAGAGAGAGAGAGAGAAGAGTCTTCATATCTCTGGTAGGGAGTCAATCTCGAAATATTCTCCGAGTCAAAGCCCCTCTTGCCAAAGCGTTCTTTTCGCGCGTCTTTTCCGTAGGTTCTAACGCGATAAACGAGGAGCGCAGCGCACCCGTATAATTCGCAACACCGTCGCGAAACCCGTTTGAGGTGGCTTTACACGAGACGGTAAATGTAGGCCAACGTTGGCGAATACATCGGATATCGCGTATACCAAATTGGTCGATATTGGGCCAACGCAAAAATTCATATCTGAAAGCAAAAAATAATTTAAAAATTTACATACCCACGCATTCATATACGCGCATGCGATACGGACATGGAGTGTTACGCCGGTCAACGCGCTCGTCATGTCGTGTGTAGCCGGTCTTATTAGAACCCGGTAAAAGCGTCCAAAAGTTCATCGGTGTACAAACAAATTCTCGAGAACGTACACACGGTACTCTGATTAACGAAGGAAAGATATACGAAGAGACGCGGCTATTTGCACTTGGCAATTATCAGGACGTTGTAGCGGCGGTTGGAACGACGAGAATGAGCGTATACATTAGCAGCCGTCCACCTGCGGTGAGCAATTATCAAGACGCGACTCGTCTAACAGATCGTAGCAGACGTAAAGAGGAACGAGCGAAAAAGAACGCGGCCGGCGAGGGGCTTGTTAAACACTTGGCGTTTGTATTTCGCAACGGCCTGTGTACGGAGCATGAAATGCTAATAAGCGGCCATTATCGAACAATGGCAACTAAAACGCCCAAAAGGGGCGAGCAACATTTCAGCAACGCGGCTATCGACAAAGCCCTGTAATTGTTCCGGCTCCGCAACAAGCCGGGCAAAATCGACATCGGAGTCCGGCATTTCGGCGTGGAAAATCACGCAGGCTATCGCGATACACGGCTGAATCGTAAATAACAAGGACGAGAATGAGAATTCGCGTTTCCTCAAATTTCTCGCAGCGCTCTCTCCATCGATAGCGATAAAGCGCTTGGATCGATGGAAGTGAAGTGCTTGAAAATTGCTGAGAAATCGCATTATTTCTTCTCGAGACTATTTTTTACAATCGCGGAGTAATATTGTAATTACCGTGCAGATATAATCACGGCTCTCGAGTCCGAAACTTTACTCGGAATAGAAGAAGGAACAAACGGTGTCGTAGGGAATAATGCGCCGAAAGAATTACGTCGAGGAAATAAAACGTAAACGGAAGCCGCCGCCGATTCTCTTTTCGCCGGGTTACTGCGACGTTTTGATTATTACGTCGTGCGCAATTATGCCTGTGGCGTAGATTGTTGCAGCTCAAATTTATACGACGCGATACAGAGTGTCACGTTGCACAACGATAATGTTCATTTAAGCGAAGTGCAGGCGAAAAGTTCGAGACTTCGTACTTCCGCGTTATAAATGTTAAATGTGGAAAACAAAACGAGAGACGAGAGCGGTACTTACCTTCCCTCTGGTGAGTTTCGCTTTAAGGGCCATTAAAAATTCTAGACGCGCCGCTGCGGTTGTGGAACGGAGATTCCCATTTCGCGCGACGATAAGAAGAAGAGGGAGGGCGGGCGGGCAAACCCCGGGGTGGCAGGTACTTTCCAAATCCCGCGTCCTGTCTCCACGGCCGACACTGATAATAACAATAATGGATGCCCTCATCTGCAATTACAATAAGCAGTTAGCAGGCTATAAATCACAGAGTGGTCGGTCGCGAAAATCTTTCTTTCCGCGCGTACCGTCGGACCGAGCTAGTGTGACGGCGAGAGGGTATGCGCACACGAGGGGGGGAAGGGGAATAAGGAAACTTCTGTTCCGTTCCGCGGCGATTCCGGCTCCTATTGCGGAAGTTGACGAAGGGGAACGGAGAGTGAGGAAGGGCGGCTATTTAATAGCGCACCGACAACTCGCCGCGACGCGAATAAAGAACCCCCTTGCCCCCCGTGATCGTCTCGAATGGCGACTCGTCTCCCGCCGGACTAACGCGCAAAGCGAATCCGATAATTAGCTTCTCGTAATAAGCGGGTGAGCCGAGAAAGAGAGAAGGGGGAGGGGGCCAGCCGGTCTGAAAAAGAAACGTGCGCGCGACCAAGACGCGGAAGTCGCCCACGCTTCGCAAAACTTTACGACAAGAGTCGTGCCGAATGCCATCGCTCGGTTATAATTTGATAAGCGCATCGACACTGCCTGTCGACCGGACCGACCGGATGTTTCAGTTAATATATATCCCCGCGATTGCAAGAATCATCGAGGTCGCGTGATCTCGAAAGGTCGTTGCCATTGAAACTTTAACGAAGCGCGTTCTCTTTATAGAGGGAGGAGGAGAGAGAAAGCGAGAGGGAGCGAGAGAGAGAGAGAGAGAGAGAGAGAGAGAGAGAGAAAGAGAGAGAAAAAAAGAGAGATCACATTACGTCACAATGAGAACAATTAGCCGCGATTGTACGATTCAATGAGTAATTCCGTCATGAGAATGAGCATGTACGCGATCGGTCCTTCGCAAAAGTCGTTACCTTCGGATCTCGCATTTGAGATTAAGTTCGGAGATAGTCGCGTTCTAAAATAAGAACCGGTCGATCAACGGAAACTCTACGAACTGTATAATTCACATCGAGGATCGATGGTACTCGATATTCGATTAGCTGCACAATTAAGGGACTACTTATTTCGCGAACGCTGTCGCCTAACCTTATACGATCGTCGGCGAGAGTATTTCAAATCGAAACGCTTATCGTGATATTCAATTGCCCAGACAGTATTCTTCTGTTTTCCATTTCTCCATATGAAGCTTTCAGCTACGAATAAGTACACGAGTCGACAGCGCTTTCTGGCATTGCGGCGTATAACACGAAGTCGTTCGTGTATTTCGCGCAACAATATTCTCGCCATTTCGTTACAGTGTGCGCGCTTCGTGTGACAAATATTTATTGTACCGAAAAGATTAATTATTCTAGATAGTTATTTTCGCCCTTACCGTCCTTGGAGATGCATCTAAAAGCGAAAATACAGCAGCGAGTACGGAGCTCGCGTAACACGTCTCGACATGTTGGACTGCGTTAGACCGTTATTGAGATACGGCTACCTGACTCACTATTTGCACCGAGAGATGGCTGCACCGTCGCGGTTTACTCGCCGCGCTGACTCGCGCAAACGATCTTTCTGGCGTGCTCTTGAACGGGTTATACATCGCGTGCGGCAATAATAGGGGCAATTTTGGCATTTTTAGTCCTTGCCAGTCCTAAGGATGGGCTCCAAGATACCGGAAGATATTATATTGTAAGTGTATAAACTTGAACACGTGAAGATATTCTGTATATGTACATTTTTAGCACGTTGAAAGTACGACCGAAACGACCGTCGATGACTAGCATTTTGATGCTATCGCGTCTCGTTAAATTGCGTGTAAAGTACAATCAATCGTAATTATTACTATAATTGGTTTTGTGTGGCCAACAGATAGCCGATAAAACAAAATAAAAGATGTGTACGTCTCGAGTTACATTCATTCATCGTATCTTTGATAGTTCAGTGAACTTCGAGTGAACTTTCGTACATTCGATGGCGATCAACGCGACAATCAACGTGTTAAAAAGGGTTATGTGGTCAAGTAACATTTAGGAGGAAACGTTTGGGACGGAATTTTGTTGTTGATACAACGTACCTCGAAAGTCGTTTTTGTTAGGGTCCATCCGAGACGAAGTAAATGGAAATGCTTTCGTGGAAATCAATTTATTAAATCTTTATACAAGAATATCAATTTTTTATTAAGTAACTATATATAATATAAAAAAATTAATTTACATACACTTATGAACGTTAATGGATAACAAAGTAGACGTCGTAAGCTCGAGTCATGCTTATTACATTGAGATAATAAAGAAGGACTGTAGGAGTTTCTTCTAAGAGTTGTTAAAATTTTAATTAATAACGGAAGAAAGGGAGGGAGGAATAATATTACATGATTAACAAATCTATATATATTCATCTTAATTGTTATAAACAACATTTTTGTGTGCTCGCATCGCCGTTGACGCGAATACTATCCTACTACTAGATACTCGTATGACTACTACTCGATCGTGCAAATAAGTATAAAGAAATAATATGAGATATAGCACCTGCACTTTGACATTTACGACTCGAAAATGTGCCAATTTCGATCGATATTTAGGCGCGTTTATTAACTAAATCTATTTTATTATTTTAAGCTGATCTTTCCTCTTAGGATTGCGATTTAATTTATCGATGAACGTAGAGTTTCACGATTTTAGCGGACCTAAATTTGTCCTGCTAATTTCCAATGTTTAATTGATTCTTAATTAGCCTTGGTCGCTCGATTTCAACTGCAGCAATTTGAAATGACATTTCCCCGTATTATTAATTCATTCAGATATTCGCGAATCAAGACTCGTGAATTCTCCAGTCCGGACACGCGATCCTTACCGCAAAGTAAAAGATAAGATACAAATATGTAAAGTTCTCTCTCGCGGGCGGATGGAAAGCACGAGCAAATCGATCGATTGTCCTCGCGAGCTTAAATATAGCTTACTATGAGTCGATGCTCATTCTGCCGATAACGATATTTTCAGGCTGTATTTTGATCGCATACGTACATTATATACAGAAGCATCTTTCGTATATAAAAAAATATATATATTATATACTTTTCTTTATATTATATATATATATATATATTCACGATTCACACGCGCGCGCACTTGCGTCACATGTGACCTAACACGAACGTTTGCCGCGTCTTATCGCGAGAATGTATAATAATAGGTGTGATTCTACGTACTGGTATTATTGTCAACGATAAATATAAACGTCTCTCTCGGTGAAAGTAAAGCTTCATGACGAAATCGTTACGCCGTGATCTCGCGGATCGCAATAATTTAGTCGATACGTTACGTAAGGAGAGCGTGACCGCGGGGAAGGATCGTTACATGGAAAAACACTTGCTGGATAATATGCAAGCAACGACGATCGTTCTCCGAAATATCTTGAAGAAAGATATGCCGGCTTGGTGTGTTCCTGAAAAAGAAATTGCGTCGAGCCTCGCGATCGTGTACGAGGGCGCGACGTTATCTGTCGCGACAGTCCGCGAGCCCTTCGAGAGGCGAAGAGCGAGCGAGAGAGAGAGAGAGAGAGAGAGAGAGAGAGAGAGAGAGAGAGGTGTCTCCTCCGCGACGGGAAACGCGCAGTTAGTTTTACATTAGCGGTTATCTCCAGGTCGTAAGCCTATTGTTAGACTCGAGGTAGCGTGTCAGCTCGAAATTGCGTGCCGCGCCGGTCTAATCCACGCGACCTAAAAGTAGTCCTTAAGTAATGACGCGAAGCGCCTCTCTCGCCATTGTCTTCGTCGCTACTTGCTACATTCGGCCGATTTCCTTTCTTCTCCCTTCCTTCCTGCCTGCCTGCCTGCCTGCCTGCCTGCCTGCCTGCCTGCCTTCCGCGATATTTCTATTCACGACACAACGTCGACGGCGAGTAATGACCGATCGCGCTTACCCGGGAACAGAGGCGCCGTGAGGACAGGACGAGTTTGCGGTACAACGGCGACGACGACGATCCTGCGATTCTCGAAATCGTCGGCGTAAAACTTCCGAACGTCGTCCCGATAACGTTCCGCGTCATCGTCCTACGAATATTTCAACGTCCCGACGTTGAAAGCGCTGACGACGATCTCGAGAGGAACGCGATTCCTCAACTTCGTTCCCTAACGAGCGCCCTGATAGTAACGATTCGCCGTTCGTTCGACCGGCAAAAATTTTCGACGAATAAGGCGGAAGAGCAAAGTTACTCGAGAGAAGCCTCAACGAACAGCTCCTCTCAGTTCCTCTTGCTGGAGTTGATGAGATATTTGCAGCAGTGCGTGAGCAGATGCTTTTCGCCGGTGACGTCATGCTGCACGGCTGTCGAGGTCGTGGACTCTCTGGTGTAGACGTCCAAGCCGTATTGGCCCTCCTCGGGGAAGCTTATGGAGAAGGTGACCACGTCGTCGTCGGCGATGGAATGCGTCACGTACTTGGACAGGCGCTTCTCCTCGATGCCGTTTTTGTGCAGGGTCGCCATGAAGTCCGTCAACGGCCTCGACATGCGAAATTGAATCTCCAGCTCGCGCCCCGCGAACACCAGTGCCTCCTGAAATCGATAGATCCCGCGATTGTAAAACTCGAGCACCCTCGCTCCTCGACACCGCGCGGCGAAACGTGATAAAGTCGATTGATCCATCTGCTTGATTCTTTTCATCTCTCTCTCTTTTTCTCTCTCTCTCTCTCTCTCTCTCTCTTTCCTTTTTATGGCAATCTTTGCCGACTATCTCTTTGTCCGCTTATTTTTTTCTTTGTTTTTCTTTTTTTTATTTTATACTCTCTACAAAGGAATATGGAAATAGGGAGGAGAAATATATATTCGTAGAATCGATCGCGAATCGAAACGACGCGGGACATCCGTCGCGCGTAAAATTTTTGGAAACAAGTTCCGTTGCTTTAGCAACAACATTGTATTCGGTGGACGCGAAGACCCAAAACTTTATGCGGGATTGTTCAGAATCGTGTTTTTGAGCTTCGTTGTCTAGAATTTTATTTGAAGAAAGGGATTCTCCGGACGAGACCCCGCTAACGCTTGTAACGATTCTTGTCGCGTCGATATTTGCGACAAATTCGTCGCAAGATCTCGTTGCGAGCTAAACAATTAATCTTTGACTCACCTGATGAGTAATGGGTATAAGTCCGAATAACCTGGTCGCCTTGGTGGGGCCCCATTCACCGCTGGCGCAGTCCGGCAATGGCACCATCACCGTCTGCAGCTCTTCGCACGCGATTTTGAATTTGCACACGCTCTTGAACTTCATCGGCTCGCCGGTCAAGTACTCCTTCGGCGTCACCGCATTGGCAAATATGTCCAAGAGGAAGGCGCCCGAGCACGGCGCGTGGACTCGGAACGCGACTATGTTTCCCACGACCGACTGTAAGAATTCGCTGATGGAATTCGCGAGGTCTATTCGGAAGCGGATCGATAGAGGAGAAAAGCTGTTTCAGTGTTACTGCTCTATTCTCGCATTCTACTTGCCGCCGTTAGAGTTCTCTCGCGACTAAACGTTCAGCTCTGAGACAAGCGACTTGTCATTGACGAGTTGCTTAATACTCAATTACGCGTATCTCGAAACTTAGTCTCTCGCGATATTTGAGCACTCCGACGGTGCCACTTGGGCGAACGCACGGGATAAATCGTCCCGTGCGCGCGGCAGACGCGGACTATCAATTTACCTGCATGACAAAACGCTTGAGCGACACGCCGTCGTAACCATCGCCGTCGTTGTCGTAAAACTTGAGATTATAATGAAAGATAAGGGATGATTGCATATGCGCAGGCATCGCTATCCTCACTGTCGCAGCGCCGGTGGAATCCGTGTACATAACGGCATTCGTATTCGTATCCGGAAAGTAAAGACCGTACCTGTAAGCGCAGAATTTATCCGAACGGTATTCTCTCTCTCTCTCTCTCTCTCTCTCTCTCTCTCTCTCTCTCTCTCTCTCTCTCTCTCTCTCTCTCTCTCTCTCTCTCTCTCTCTCTCTCTCTCTTCTCTCTCTCTCTCTCTCTCTCTCTCTCTCTCTCTCTCTCTCTCTCTCTCTCTCTCTCTCTCTCTTCGTGGCGACTTATTGTTGGTGGGCCGACGGAGAGGCACATACTTCCTCCCCGACTCACTTCATCCGCGAGATATAATTGCATCTCTCTCTCTCTCTCTCTCTCTCTCTCTCTCTCTCTCTCTCTCTCTCTCTCTCTCTCTCTCTCAATGGCTTCGCGCTGCGCGCGTCTCGATAGATAATTAACTTGTTGTGCATTTCAAGCTGTCGCACATGAATGAAAATCTTCATAATTAACGAACGAGCGCGTTAATCAGCGTTTTAATCGGTTTTAATGACCAAGATAATATAATTGGGAAGAGCCTCTACAGGAGAAAGTCAAGTTTCTTCCGCTCCCGCTCTATCCTTCTATCTCTGTCTTATCTTTCGGCGATACAGCCGTAAAATCGAATCTCGTTTGATTGATTGATATTCCGAATAAAAGGGAGAAGAAACGTTGACTCACCTGAAGAACAAAGATCGCACGAAGGGTAACTCCTCAAAGTCCTTGAGCGAAATCGGTTGCTTCAGCAACTGCCAGTCCTCTTGCAGAGGGAAAAATTCGTATATGAATTCCCGTGGATCCGTCAGGAAATAATGATCGTCGTACTCGTACCTGGGTGCGAAACGTCTCAGTAACATTGAACGGCCGTTTGTCATTTGTCGCGCGATACGCAAAAGCGTTACGTGATCGCGACTACTTCCCGAGTCGAAGTTTCGCTCCCGCTTTGGATCTTGAAACTTTTGCAACGCTCACATCGGATTCTAGATGTTTACGACGCGTTTAATTTTTATTCGGGATCGTGTTTCCACATCGCGCCGCAAATAAGCGATAAACGGGCGACTTGGAAGTTTAAAGGACGGTTTAGTGCCTCGAAAAAAGGAGAAGAAAAAATGAAAATTTAAGCCCTAGTTCGCGGCTTCAAATGAAAGTTGTAGTTTGAGTGGAATCGCGGGAGAGAGGGGTGGGTCAGTCCGATCGTTCGGAGTATCGGAGAGGGTGTTAAATTTCGAACGTCGGAAAATCGAAGTCCGATGAGAGCGCAGGAGGAGAACTTCCGGCTCGAGTGAATGCGCGGGTGGATCTCGCTCGACTTGTCGTACCTGAGACTGTCGTTCTTGGCTTTCGCCTGACCGGGACGGGGAACTTCTTTGGCATTGACGAGATGTCGCGCTCCCCAATTACACTGCACGAATCGCCATGCACCTGCCACGTACACGGCGTTCCAACTGTTCCGGAATCGGTTGTCCTCGAAGCAAACACCCGGCTGGTAGCCGGCCGATTTGCTGTAACCCTTGATGACCACGCAGTGCAGGCCGGCGTAACTGTACACGAACACGCCGCAATTTAAACGGGCGACTCTCACGAGGCGCGAAACGCTCGATTTGAAATCAATCCCCCCCCTCTCCTGAGTGACTTTGACGCATCGCGAGTGCGTCGCTCGGTCCCCAAATCGCAAACTTTCGCTCGCCGCGTTCGAAAGCACAAACGCGGCCAACTTATGCCGTTGTTGCGCCGTCAAACTGCTGACGTCACGTTAAACGTAACGCGCAGACAGGCGCGCGAGTAGATGTGACTTTTGCCGTGTAGCGGGAGCTTTCACTCGTCTCTTTTCGATTACGACACGAGATCAGTTGCGCAAAAGTGGCTTCGTTTGTCGCGAGCATCGTCCTCGGCAGCGACGTTACCTGCACAATCGTTTGAACAGAACGTGGTAACTCTCCGTGCCGTGTTTAATGCCCCGCAACAGACCCATGGGAGTGTCACCCCGTAAGTTCTCGTCGAACTGCATAGTGTTGAGATTTTTCACGGTGATCCATCGGAATATCGTCCGCGCCTTTTCTATATCCGAGCCGCATCTGCTCACCAACTGCCGCACTAAATCAGTGAAGGTTTTTTGATCTTCCTGGGCTACCTAGTAATGATATCGGTATATCGTAAATAAGTGGGCATCAGCGAAGCGTGTCTTATGAAAGCGGCATTGATAAAACGCGAATATCGCGGCTCCATATCGCGAGTAGTCGCGCGCAGTTTACGGTCATGATTTTCCCGCGGCAGCAGGAGCAGCAGTGCTCGTAGCAACGTCGCCGGCGAAACCAAACACGCGAGAGCAACGTCGTAATAAAAGTGGCGAATAAAAACTTTGGCAGATTACTTTGGCCTGTGAAATTTATCCCGTCGCGTCGCGTGTATCCACGCTCGAATCCGTGCGCGCGCAATTAAACCGAGATTGAACGGCGATCGCGCGCGGGCGACTGCGAGGGAAAACTCGAACATTATTATCGTAAAAGACGGCAACGCGAGGCGGGAAGCTCTAGCACAACCACGCGAAACGATGATAGAGAGACGAGAGAGTCGAGGTACTCGCGATAGAGAGCCGCGACGCGACGAGATCCTGTTTCGGCGACGAGACGGAGATGACTCGCGGCAGAGAAACTCGCCGCCGCCGCCGCCGCCGCCGCCGAAAGAATTCCATGGTGAAGGGCTTACCGAAATAGCTATCTGATCCATGTCGGCGAACTCCAACGGATCATTGTAGATGTGATACTTGGCGAGGGCCGGGGGCTGCGGGGGTGGCGCGCGCGATGGATAAGGCGGGGGCGGTGCTTCCTGAGCATAACCGTCTCCTTCGTCGAGGTATAAACTCTCTTGGAGCATGTATTCGCTCCTCGCCTCATTGATCAGCTCCAGCATCTCCGAGCTCTGTTTCTCCACCAGCGCGGCGGTTGCCGCCCTATAAATTGATCGGGAGTAACGAGGAGCTTTGCTAACGTGAAAGCCCCGGCTTGCAGGCGAGCGCGCGAGATCGCCGGTGCGCGCGAGCTTGTTTATCGTCCGAAAAAAAATGAGAGAGAGAGAGAGAGAGAGAGAGAGAGAGAGAGCGAGAGAGGGAGGAGAAAGGAAAAATATGAAGCCGAAACTACCGCGGCTCGTAACGTTGCATGCGTAATTCCTTCGTAAATTCTTCCGCGGCGAAAAATGCGCGGAATCGATATTAACGTGATCCCGCCGTCGCGATATAAAGTTATTTCTCACGGTGAAAAACGTCGGGAATATCGGGGGGGAGGGGGGTGCGCCCACGAGCTCGAGATAAACAATTCCCGCGAGTGATTTTGCACGCGAAAATATTCACGCTCGAATTACGGGGAGAAAAAGCCCCGACGTCGAATTCGACGTTCGTACGTAAATTTACAATTCATTTTCGACCGAGGCACCGCCGGCATCACCATCGATCTCGTCTCACCTCCTCGTCAACTCTCTCTCTCTCTCTCTCTCTCTCTCTCTCTCTGCGATTATTGTACGTTGCTTTGCTTGAAGTTACATATTCGCAACAAACGGCCGCGCGCGACCGTTCTTCGAAAAAATTACACGTCGCGCCCGACTGCGTCCGAGGCTTAAAGACGAGATGGCGGGATCGCGCGTTAATTGTACAATAAATACCGTTCGTGTTCCAGCATCTTGCGCGTGAGACTCTCCTTCTTCTTGTCCCTGCGTAGAGTCATGTTCTTCTCCAGGTCCTCCTTCTCCTGCTGAAATTGTTGGGTACGCACTCTTCCGCCTTTTTCCCGTTCCCATCTCGCCGACAATTGCTCCAGCTCCTTCTCCCATTCGTCCTTTTCAAAGTACACACAAATACTCACACGTGTGCGCATGTGTGTATATATACGCGGGACTGATTGATGACAAATCCGCGGCCGCTAGTGCCGATGCCGATTTAATCTTTTCCGTTAGTGACAAATTCCGATTACTTACCCGAAACTCCTCGCGGATCCGTCTGTCCTCTTCCTCGCGGTGGTGAGCAAACTTCCGGTACAAGTCATCCTCCTCCTTCCGATGCTTCATCTCGAGACGCGTCTGCTCATCGCGATCCTAATGCGGCGTCGACAAAAGAGAAAGAGAGAGTCGTAAGTCGAACTGCATATTCGTATGCCTGGCTTGGTGACGCTTCATCGAGAGCGTCAACTGAATAATGAGCGACAAAGTTGACAACACTCTTCTTCAAAACATTGAAAAGAAAAGAAAAGAAATCGTGGGGTGTATTGATAAAGAGGGAGAAAGAGAGAATCGGAACGTTCAAAATATTATTGCAGTAATACGATTATAATAAAATAACGTTGCCTTTTCCTTTTTATTTCAACCGTGTAATTTTGCAATTTCAATGTAACAATGTGCGGCGTACTTCTGACGCCGTTTACCCGCGGAATTCAAACGTAACATTGCACTTATTATTTCCTATGCATAATTGCAAAAGGTAGCCGCGCTGTCACCGCGTGATCAATTAAAGATTAAACGGTCGTTACGTGTACCGGGAGGACATTCCGCTAATCGCAAGAGGAAGGCGGAGCTCGCGTCGCGAACACGGTCGGACGCAATGGAACGTTTCTATTTCTTAAAGCGCCCGCAGCGTCGGCCTCGGAGAGGTGTACTCCACTTTTTGTATAATTTACTTTCACGTCGCGTTGCCGCTTTCATTCGTTTCCAAGAGTCTCCTCGGCTAAACGACGACTCGCCGACAAAAGTGAACTAATCCTCCCTTCCGGTGTATATCTAAAAAAATTGTATGTTGTGTCTTCTCTCGCGCGCGACTTGTACCGTCGTCGTCGCGTCGTCGCGTCGCGCGAAAATATTAATGCAGTGAAAATATGGACGGTGAAAAATACATTATCGAAGAGAGAAACGCGCAAGAATGTCCTTTTGAAGAGCCACGGAAACGGGATTTCTTCGATACAATTTCCGCAATGCCTCCCCGGTGCTTTGCGACAGCGCGCAAATAGTTGGTGTACGCGTTACAAACAGCATACGACGCGTCCTTGCGAGATCTTTATCCCCTCGTAGCTTTCGGAACGGACGACGCGTTACATTATTTATTTCGCGCGAATGTACGGAAGTCGGCGAGTCTCGTGCCGCAATTGCGCGAACGGAATGTACGATAGGTGTGTGCAATTTGAATGGGCACACACGCTGGATCTAACAACGAAGAAACAGATATTATCGGCGAGTGTCTCGCGTCACCGGTAACTGCTAAGAAAAAGACGCGCCTCGCGGATTTCTCAGATGGGAGAGCGAACGTAAGAGATGAAAATTACGCGCACGACTCCTTTTTCCTCTCTTGCGAAAAAACCTGCCCGCGACATCTTCCAGAACGAGGACCAGCGAAATTCCACGGTTCAGTATGTACGTAATCCGAGGCGTTGTTTTTCTCTTATCACGTTTTACCGTTTCGAGTTGCGTTACATTAAAAACAGACCAAAGTTGCATCCGCAGAATATCATTTTTTTCTTTTTTTTTCAAAATGCAAGTCGCGCGACGTACCCATGAATTTTAGAAGCGAGGGAAAGAGAGAAAGAGAGAGAGAGAACGCTTTCTCTCTTCCCCCTCTCTCTCTCTCTCTCTCTCGAGTTGGTGAGATTTGTTTGCCGTTTAGAGTTCATTCCAAGGAAAATAGGACACAACAGCCTTTAACGGATTAATTTTCCCTAAGCGTTTACGCGCGAAGGCGCGTGAGAGACGGCGAGATACGCGCACGCGCTATCCCCGCCGGCTCTTTCCGCGGCCCGGCAACGATTCTCTAATTAGCCATCAAGTGCAGAAGTACCGCAAGCGGAAATAATTGTACTTCCCCTCCGCCACCGCCGCCGCTGCTGCTGCCGCCTCATGTTCCTGCAAATGTAAAGCTAGTTCTCTCCTCTTCCCTCTTCCTCACTCTCTCTCTCTCTCTCTCTCTCTCTCTCTCTCTCTCTCTCTCTCTCTCTCTCTCTCTCTCTCTCTCTCTCTCTCTCTCTCTCTCTCTCTCTCCTTCGCGTGTACACGGGCGCGTACGTCCTGCCCGTGCCGGTAGTTTCCCGTATAAGGGAAATAAGACGACGATGTGTGAGCGAACACGCGCGTTCTTCCGTGGTTTGAAACGATTTGAATAACCGTGAAAGACAACGTGCAGCTACCACCGCGTCACATTGTTTGCACATCCCGAGGAAGTCGCACGCGCGCACGTCAGCAAGGAAAGTTAATTCACTTGAGGAAGCCGTCACGAAATTCGCGCAAATCTCGTCGCGTCTGTAATCGGTCGATCGGCCGGTCGATCGTACGTTCGTGAAAATTTATGATTTCATTTCCTCGGGAGATAATAACGGCGAAGATCCAAGCGAGCTCGACGAATCCGTCTGTCAGCGAGAATTTTATCGGAGAATATTGACATGTATGATAATTTTTTCATTTCCGTGTAAAATGTCCCGGAAGAATCAAGGATGCGCGCTGCATCATTATTAAAGGCTCTTTGAGTCTCATTTTTGCCGAGCTTCTTTCCATTATTAAGCAAGCTCTCTTGCGAGAAGGTCGCCGTGTTAAGCGATCCTCCGCAGAATCCGCTTAACTTCTCTCTTACGGGGAAGCCCGCGTCGGATTAATAAGTGGCTAATCGCGTTCATCGCTAATTCCCGCTTATCCCGAATCCCGTAATCATGCGCGTCACGTGACGCGGTTTGTTCGTGCGATTTTTGCCTCGCTCGTTCGCTCGTTCGTTCGCTCGTTCGTTCGTTCGTTCGTTCGTTCGTTCGTTCGTTCGTTCGTTTATTCGTTCAACTTGAAAGGGGGCTCACGACACGTCGGTGTAATTCCGGTCATTCGATCACAGTCACGTGCAACGATCTGTTACACGTCCCCCCGTCGTCCATCGTTCCTGGGATTCTCGGGGGCCCGTTGTTCCGCCAATTAAACGTAATGCCGGTGATTGTCGCGGTGCCGGCGTGAGAAGGAAACTATCGCCGCCACGTAGCGATTATCTGATCATCGGCGGCGCGTGTGGGCAGCTCTGCACGCGGTTGGAGCTGGTCCGACTACATCGTCGATACTATGCGAGCGTAGGAAGAACCCCCGAGAACCGCCTCTACCCTTCGCGACACGAAATACCGTATAAATCACGCCGACGATAATTCTGTCCCGGGAAAAGAGAGATAGAGAGAGAGAGAGAGAGAGAGAGAGAGAGGGAGGGAGGGAGAGAGAGAGACAGAGAGATAGAAAGAAAAATCGCAGATTGCCTCGCGGTAGTCGCTTAATGAACCCGCGGAGAATGCATCGCGGCTCGCTACCGCGGAAATCTTTTCGCAGGACGAGAGACGGACTCGGAGGCGGGAAATCGCGCGTCTCGTGCGATGCCCACGCCGCTTTCGTTCGCGTAACGCCATACATAGGCCGACCGGCGTCTCGACCGCGGCGAGATAACTATAAATAAGGATCGATCGTAACGACGGCGACGGCGATGATGGCAACCGCTGGTGCAAAGCGCGTTCACGACGTCGGTGCACGCGGTGGACGCGCTTTCGTGCATCGAGAGAAAACGCGGCCGATAGTGGAGCGACTAGCGGCTCGTCGGCCTTATTACCCTCCCCCCCCCCCGCCGCGCCGGCGCGGATGGGAAAAGCAATAATCTCATTTTCATGTAAGGTCCGTTCGCAATCGACGGCTCGCCGCATTCCTCGCGGACGATCCTCCGAGGACATCCGACGACGATCTGTCACCGCGCGCCGCGGGTGGCACGGAATGCCGGAAACTCGCAGAATCGCAGTCCCGGCCTCGTTAAACAAACATCTCGGCGAGCGATTTTGGCGACGAGATCTCGCGAGAGAATTCCGACGGAGGGAGAAAGAAAGAAAGAAAGAAAAAGAACGACAACGTGTTTCTCGGCAACGCCATTGATCTTGATTTTATTACTACGGAAGTAGCCAACCGGCAACCCATTGTGCGTATTTTCGCTCATGCACACAATGGACTCTCCCCCCTTTCCGCGTTCTCTGTACCGCCCCTCGCTCTTGTTTCAGGAAGAAGCTAATAACCGACGGGCCGCGAACGCGCGCTGCGCTCGCGAGCGCAAAAAGTCAATTATCACGCGCGCCATTGTTCGTTCCTCCATATACTCGAAGAATTATCATTGCTAATTCGCGTTATTAATTAACGATTATTTTCACACGACTCTCCCATCGTCGGTGCCAGACATCGTCTGCCGGCTGGCGCACCGCGCGTTGTCGAGCGCGAAAGCGACCGCTACTGTCGCACCTGCAGTTCGGTCGTTGCCGTGGTGGGGTGCGGGGGCAGGATGGACTTTGCACCCCAGTCGGAAACGGAAAACCGCGCTTCTTCTTCGGGAAATCGCGCTCGACCGTTGTCGTCAACGCCGGACGCCGCCGGTGCGAGCGATTCATAGGTGTATCAAGGCAACGCTCTCGTCCTTATACGGCGGCGACCGTGACGGAGCGATTACATCAACGGTCGCGGCTGATTGTGACTCACCAGATAGAAATCGATGGGTTTCTCGCGAGCCTTGCTGTAGCCCTTCTGGATTTCGGTCTGCTTGAGCGCATGGGCGATGTGAAGGGCGCTCGCGTCGAACCTGCCGTACTGATAGCTGCCGTCGCCTGAATAATTGTGATTGTACGGCGACGAAGTGCCGCCGCCGCTGCCCCCGCCGCCGCCGCCGCCGCCGTGGAAATCACGCTGGGACGAAGAGTTCGTTGCCGGCGGCGACCCGTGGCCGTTCAGGTGCCTGGCATAATTAGGCGAGTCTACATTATCGTAACTGCAACAGAAGGATGCGACGGGTGTTCAGGGGTTGGCGAGGGATTCCCCCGCGAGCGCACGCAAGAGAGAGAGAGAGAGAGAGAGAGAGAGAGAGAGAGAGAGAGAGAGAGAGAGAGAGAGAGAGAGAGAGAGAGAGAGAGAGAGAGACCGAGCCGACGCGATTATTCCTCGAAACGGCGCGGCGTCTTTATCAGCGCGTTCGAACACATCTGCCTGCGTCTAGTCCCGATCTCGAAAATGCATAAGAGGAATAAGTTGGAGAAACGATTCTCCGTCACCGTGTTCCTGCCTCGCGCGAGAAAGGGAATACACGAGACGCGACGAGTGTCTGGTCGCGCGGACGACTTCATTGTAACTTTCGCGCGCGGATCCGAGTTTTAATTAACGACGGAGAGTCTAAAGCCGCCACTTATCGGCGACAGCGAAGTCAAAGCGGACGGAACCTAAGCGGTGTCCTTGATCCCAGCGCGTACGTCGCTCGTTACACGATAGACGATATTGCAAAAGTATCCGGGTCGGTGCCGTCGCCGCAGATTACGTTAACCCACATATCCGCGACAATCGCCGACCGCCCCTTGCCTTTCCTCCCTCGAGCAAGCGCGCGCGCGTGCACGCGCGAGCTCGACCTATAATTCCGGATAACTATAATAGACGCAATTACTCCGACGCAAGCCGGAGTTGCAATTAACGTCGCAGCAGCGTCGCGCTCAAGTTCAACGAGCGGCGGTAAGAAGGAAGGAAGAGAGAGAGAGAGAAAAAAGGAGGAAAAAAGAATCTCTCACCGCGACGAGAGACATAGCTTGTATACCGCCGCGGCTGTGAGAATTTAGTATATCGCTTAAATGAATGTGTTACACCTCTCACTCGTTCTCCCGGGTTCATTCACTTGCGACGGAGCCTACGTTCCCTCTCCCTCTCTGTCTCTCTCTCTCTCTCTCTCTCTCTCTCTCTCTCTCTCTCTCTCTCTCTCTCTCTCTCTCTCTCTCTCTCTCTCTCTCTCTCTCTCTCTCTCCCTCTCTGTCTCTCTCTCTCTTTCTCTCTCTCTCTCTCTCTCCCACTCGATCTTTCGTCCTCTCTCTCCCGTGTGATCCTCGAATCAGCGGTTGTAGAGGCTCGCAAAAGCCAGTTATATACAAGAAACAATGTGAGACTCGCCGGGTCGGCGAATCGATAATAGTTGGGAGAGCGAGCGGACGAGCGAGCAACCCCGAAGAGCAATTTCCCTGTTGTGGAGGGTTGATATGACGAAAATTCGCGTAATTTCGATCGCGGAATAGGAGAGAGAATAAATTCGAAAGTGAAGCAACGGGGAAGATCTCAGGAAGTAAGTCATGCTGATGGCAGAACGATTCATTATTTCGAGATCATTTTTTTCTCGGCCAGTTTCTCTGACCTTTTTTAGACTTAGACTTTGTACATTAATTATTCATTTGGGACAATTAGATACACACTAAACTACGGGACATCCCGGCGCCACAAATATCTCCGCGTGATTTCGATTCGGAAGAAGAAAAAAAAACGGAACAAATTTGAAAGTTGAGCAACGAGGACCCGAAAGAAAGCCACGTCGTGCCGCCAACACGAAACTCTTCACGCAACGCACACGCGCATATGTAGGCGCGAGCGTACGACTTTTGCGAGGCGGCGGCCATAAAAAGGCATACAAAACGCGTGCGTACGCGTGTGCGTGAGATGAGGTTGCACCTCGGGGGGAAGGTTCAAACATGCGCGCGATCGAGATGCCGATAATTCTGAGGGATTCCGATAAATCTGCGAGGAAGAAGGAGACTGCGCGGGGCAGAGAGAGACGGCACGCATTCACGACGACGCAACTTTACGCAACACCGATATGTACGCACGTGCGTAACGTACACGCGCGACTCTACGGCGAACGGGAACGGAACTCGCGGTGATTCGCGATTTACGGCCTTTACGGATTGTCGTGCGAAGCGACAGAGCTACGGCGATGCAAACGGCGACACCGCGGTGTTTACTCAATCAAATTATCGAAGCTCGCGATCGCGATTTCTTAATACTCTACCGACACATTGCAGTCAGATCGGCGCTGCTGATAGCCACGCTCTGGTGTAGTTCCTTGCAGAATCATTTATACCGACGCTTGTGTTACACGTTGTAGATTCAACTATTGCTTGCTTCTTGAAAACACGCGCACATCCCTCTGGTCGCTTGACAATCCCGACGCGAACGCGACGCAATGTTTGCTTAATCGAATTATCGAACCTGACGACTCGCGCGACTTATCCGTGGATATCGACGTAGAAAAACGACGTAGAATTTTATCACACAAAGTATTACGGGAAACTGCATACGTAAACTGCATGGTAAACGTATCATTATATCTCGAGGCGTCTTCGTTCAACGGTGTAATTGTGTAACAGCCGAAAGAAGAAAGGTAGCAAAAATAGTGAAACGCGCGCGAGACATTTCAGACAGAACGATGCGTCATTTTCATGCACAGAGGAAAGATGAGCCAGTAGTGTGTGCCGTGTTGCTATCCGTCTATCTATCAACTGTTTTATCTCTTTTATCCGCGTTTTATCCGTTTTATCTCTTTTGTAATCCATAGTATTGCTGTTACAGGATATATCGCAAATCCGGTGCTTGCGTTCGCAGATACTAAACGCTGAAGTAATGTTCACTTCTAACGTTGAGACGCCGAGTTGGAAAAATCCTAACGATGCGACGGACCCAGAAAACTTGGTTTTTGTTTCTCTGGCTTTTTGTTGATCTGGCGAAGCCTGTGGCCTCACGGATGATTGCGGATGTTGTACCGAGGGATCCGGTTCAGGCCTAGCAGAATTGGCTCGAAGGTAGGTTCATAGACTTGCATTTAGTTCTTTGCGATCGAAAAACTGGGACATGATTGTCCAAGTGAAAACTATTGAGTTGCAACGATCGCAAAAGTTTAACGCTTCACTCATTAAGTCATCGACTCGCACTCTAATTGGCGATGCTGCATTTTTTGCTGCATTTTCAGATTTGTAGCAGAACGTGGCCGATTCTGAGTTCCTGGTATTTCGGTGAGTCAGAAAAACCAAACCAAAAAACGGAAACAAAAATTTAAGGTGGTGGATGAAATTTGTAGAAAAATCAATGCGATTTTAGCTCAGATTGTCGATAGATTTTTATATAAATATTGAGAGAAGAAAATGATGAATTTCTCACAAATTATAGTCATTCTCGACATTAACCATATTTCTTTCGTTGTTTTGGAAACTCCTCTCAGTATAGAGTTTTTGTTCTTTTGGAAACATTTTTCCGTCACCAATGTTTCGTCACCAAAAATTACCGCGCATTAAAATTGCGCCACCACGCGTAGAATTCGCGATTACTTATTTTGCTAACGGTTGCCAATTTCGTAAACTTTTTCACACGAAACGAATTTTACGTTATTTCGATTAAAGTCAGAATTTAATTTCAAAGAATGAAGTTAGAATTTCTGCATAACAAAAACCTCGTTTTTTTTTTATAAATAACAAAAATAACGTCCTTGAAACAAAATATCTTTTTTCTTTCTCGACCTCGTCGAAAGTACCGTGATTTCCGATTCGCGGCTCTCGAGTATATTTCTGAAACGTTGGAATTTAGCATAATATTTTGCCTTAAGTCGTTGAACACCGTTTTCTTGAAACAATTTGTTAAAATTCCCGCGAATAATATTGCGCAGTGAAATGCGACTGATATGGAAGGCTACGACTGGAGATTGCTGGATGGGGAAAAGCTGGAATTCTGGTGGACGGCTGCTTGGAATGTCGCAGAATATCCATGCATAATGATGAGTGTACAATTTAAACGTTCAAAAAGCAGCGTTACGTAGTGCATGTTGCGTAGACTAAATCGCATTGATTACCGATAGGGAAAGTCATCGCACGAAAAGCGACACACAAAGAGCACGAAAGAGTACGCCGAGAAGATTTTAAAATTAATGGCATGCGCGTTTGTATCGTCCAGTTTAGCACAAAAATAGCGTAAACTTTAACACGCTCTTTGTCTCCACGTTTCTCTTTTCCCTTTTTCGTTTCGTCCTTTCATATCCGCTTTTGTTCCTTTTTGATTCCGCCGCCGAGGACATTCTTTCGAGCGCAGCCATAAAGTCTAACGAAACTGTCGCGACAACTTAATACGGTCACCGTTGCTGCAGAAACGAGCTCGAGCGCTCATTGGCATTCAGGTTAAAGACCAAGTGCAGCGTTCGCACACAATACCGTCAGCGACTCGGACTTCATCCCAGACGTTGTCGGATTAAGGCCAACGTAGTCGTCTTACATAACGAGGACGAGCGAAGTGTGTAGTAATGCGGAGGAGAAGTCTCCATGAGATGACACGGAGCCAAAGAATGCGCGTGCGTGACTAATAATTTTCGCAAAATCCGAGCTGCCGTCGACAGATTAATTTTCGTATCGTCTCGATATCGTCTCAATGAAGTCCCGTTAAAATGTAAAATGAAGAGTGAAACCATTCTTACGATATTGTCCACGTTTCGACATTTTTGGCAAAAAAGTACCTATACGTACGCGTACATAAAAAAAAGAATTTATGTGACTATCAGGACAAGTGGCGAAAAAACTTAGACTACGAAAAGCGAACATTTACAAATGAAGCGACATCCGCCATTAATTGTTTCCGTTATGTTGTTAATTTTAAAGAGATACTCCAGCACGCGCGATGGCAGTCTTTAAATTTTTCAGTTGTTGATCTCGCGTAGCGCATGGCAATAGAGCATGGCCGCGCGGTCGATCGCGACGATGCTGTGAATTAGAGATAAAGTATTACTACCGCGGTCATCCAAGATTACTCAGCCCAAAATAATATCGACAGCTCGCACGAAGACTTTTGCCGTGCGCGTGCTCGCGCTCGTGCGCGCGCGCAGGCACTTTACCTCCACCGGCGTTCCTCGTGAAACCCGATTTCGAGAAGTCAGGCAATTATTTCCAGCAGCGTTCGATCTCGATCGACAACGGAGGGAAAGTGGTGAAATTAGACGTAAATTCTGCCGAGCGTGCCATCGGTATATCCCCGGCGTCGTAATACCGACATTAAAATCCCGGCGATTGTACGTTTGTGTTTTCACGCAGAAGAAAGCTCAGCGAGAAAACACAGCGTAGAAAACGTTTTCGCGAAACTCGTCGCGTCGAGAAGGACGATTCGATTTTAGGTCGAGAGCGATCGGAATACGGCCGATGCGCGGAAAACGCGCTTGGCGCTTGTCGCGAGATGAAGCGAGACGATCGCTGCTCTTTAATATCGGGAAATCGCGTCCTCGGCCCTCATTCGCCATTCAAACGAGCTCACCTGATAACGCTTACATATTCAAATCAATGCGACATTCCGTAAGCTCCAACGACTCTCGCGCTATTTACGGAAAGAAAAAGCAACACGTTCGAGTCGTTGCGTTTGTTCTCGCAGAATGGCGCTGCAAAATGACCTTTAACCCTCTGCCGTTCACGCCCATTGACTCCAATAGTCTCGGTATTCTGCTAGGCTGACATGTACCGGCTCAATCGACAGTGACGACAACATTTTATCAAGTTCGGATCAAACGACACCCTACAGCCGACCGTTGGCGTATGGATTTCGTTCAGTCGATTTAACAATCTTTGCAAGCGAACTGTCAACGTCGCGCCCATGATCCTTAGATCCTTATGCGCGATTACGTTATCGCCGGGGTATTACGGATCCCACGCAAGTGTGTGTTAACAAGCGGAGAGTGCGTCGCCTCTCCGCTTAGATAGAAAACGCAATCACTCACCAAGGTGGGTAGACTCCACGTGGCGACGCGCCGCCCGCCCTGATTTGCTCGTTGACGTAACCGCTCCTGGGCACATTGAGAGCACTCCTGATGCCCACGCTGGACCCGTCCAAGGTCCCGGGCCCGGGTTTCGGCACGTGGCTGCTGCAGTACACCTCTTTGTCGTTGATGGTGTGCTGATTGTTGTAGTAGGTCTTCAGGGTGAGTTTGGTGCCGCAGATCGCGCACTTGAAGCAGCCCGCGTGGAAGAACGTGAAGTCCTTCAAGGGGCCCACCCTGTCGACCTGGTAGACGGTCTGAGCGCACCTCAGACACGTGCTCTCGTAGAAGTTCGGCCGGTACATGGTGTTTCGCCGCCTGGCCTAGCCGTGTGTGTGTATGTGTGTGTGTGCGTGCGTGTGTCGTCGTTCTTCGCCGCACCGGATCTTCCTCCGGCTCCGCTCCCGATCACCGCTCGCTACAGTCTCGCTCGGCGCAGCGTTTCGCTCTCGATGCGTGCGACCTTGGAAATTAAAGGCCTCGATCAGGGAATAGAGAAATTACCTCTCACCGCGGCCGGCGACGCCGATGCGAGACCGGCAACCGTGCACTTTTGTTGGAGGCTGCGTTCAGAGATCGACACGAGCATAACTCGCGGGCGTAACAGCCGCTTCTTTTTTGGATCTCTCCTTGAACTTTCTTTGCGGGAGAGTTTCGTAAGACCGATTCTGACTCATTTCTAAATTTTAATTTCCGGCTTTACAACGAGGGGATGAAAATCCACCGGCGCAAATTTCGATGTCTGAAATAGGCACCTCTCTCTCTCTCTCTCTCTCTCTCCCCTTTTGAGTCTCTCTTTTCCTATTTTTATTATCTCATCACCTCATCTCATTAGGCGCGCGCGTAAAATAGAAAAGATCCCGTCCGATGTGAGCAATGTAATCGCAAATCAAATCCCTCGGTTTTAACGCTCTTAATTCGTTGCTTCGTGTTTGGCATAATTTTGCGACACCTCCGCGAGCTCGTTCGTATCCGTTTCATGAGCTTCCTCACTAACGCCGGACATGAATACGCGAGTGCCCGAAGGTGGAAATCGGATTCACGAAAGAATTATACGTAACAATTAGTTACAACCGCTAATTATGAAAACTTCTCGACCGACGTAATGGCACTCGCGTTAGTTTTACGCTCCAATTCGACACGACACAACCGGAACTTTCTTTCATTTTTCAGGGAGGCCGAATCGCGCGTCGATCATCGCGAGAGATTTCTAATCTCGTCGATAATACCTTCTCGTGGGTATCACTCTAGTGTACGAGCCCGAAAGATACGTCCCGAGAGAGAGAGAGAGAGAGAGAGAGAGAGAGAGAAAGAGAGAGAGAGAGAGAGAGAGAAAGAGTGTCGCAGTCCAGTGTACACAAGGGCGGAGGTGCGCTCGCGAGCCGCCGCCGACACTTTCCTGCGAAATTTTGCAACGAATCCTTGCCAATAGCTCGCGCAGTGGGCGACCAAAGAGAGGCGATTGCGACAGCCCTAATGACCGCGATATGCCTATGTGGTGGTAACGTCGGCGAGATTTTCCCACGTATCGTTCGACCGCGAGCACTTAATAGCGTTTCTATCGTGATCCTCGGCGCGCTAATACACTCGTGGATCGGTTAATGTGCTCCTCCGCGGATTATTCCCACCACCCTTTCCCGGCGTACCGGCCCAAATAATTATATATCGTGAGCCATGCGCCCCGTGACTGTACGCGGTTAAATGCGAGTAGAAAGCCGCAAATACAACGTAAGCGTAAATTGAAGGTGCTTAAGTATCGCACGAAAGCCGGGATTTTCCGTCCGTGAGGGTGTCGGTTCCGTTTGCCGCACCGTACACAAAATCGACTTTTCCCGAAAGATCGGGAGGCTCGGGCGGAGAGAAAGAGAGAGAGAGAGACGGTTGATCCTTCGCACGAGAGATCGTACCCGCTGGAAACACGGTTTGTATTTCACCGGTTGCGGGATCAGCTGAACGCACTGCTTTTCTTGCATCTATCCGTCTGCAATGCTTTCTAAATTCTTATAATACCGTTAGTTACTGCGGCCTACCGGCGACCAAATAAACGTCGCTTAACATTGGAATTTCTCGACTTTCCCCTCGCGCCGGCAAGCAGCGTCCCGAGCGAGCGTTCGGATCGACGATCGACGATAAACACGCGCAAGGGCATTTTTTCAAAGTCGCGAAAATCGCCGGGTTTTCAATCGTCGCGGCGTTCGTCCGCTCGCGAGTTTCGTTCGTTTGTTCGTTCGTTCGTTCGTTCGTTCGTTCGTTCGCTTGCTCTTCGTGTAACGGCGTACGTTCGTAACAATAGCACTTGCGACACGCTATTAGCAATGCATTCGTAGAACACGACACGTGCCTGTTCTCTCTCGTTCTCCTTCTTCCCGCTCGACGAATCAGGTATTTCGCGGCCGATCGCCGAGGTCGTTCCCCTTTTTTGCTTTCGCGCTTGTGCGTGACACTTCGTTATATACGGTTCCTTTTTTCCTTTTCTCTCTCTCTCTCTCTCTCTCTCTCTCTCTCTCTCTCTCTCTCTCTCTCTCTCTCTGTCTGTCTCTCTTCCTCCTGGCCGACGCGGGTCGTAGGTGATCGCTCCGCGGACTGACGGACCCCGCGTCGTCGTCGCATGTCGATGGAACGTATCAGAAAGTTCCTCTTCCGAAGAGCGAGCACGAGGTGCACACCGCCATATCGGGAGAAAGCATTTTGTACGTGCGTCGCCGCGCGTATCGCGGCCCTCGCGGCATCGCGGGAGAGCATGAGCTAATTCTTTGTAAATGAGGCCACGGTGTGCACGACCTGTTCGCCGCCGGGATAGTTCGTTAACCCACGATTGAATTTTCGCAGAGTTCACAGGCGAGTCTCGCTCGCACCGGAGCACCGCAGACACCACATGTATCCGCAATTATGTCAGAGATTTATTCTATCCGGATGCTCGCAATGATCGACGGCAGACGACTGGACACCGCGAGCGACGACGTGTGCAACGTCGAGCGTTCCTCCGATTCTTTCGACGTGAATTTTCTCTCCGTCGGTCGAGGTCAATTTCACCGCGAGCGATACACATCGGTAGCTCCCCCGCGTGTTTTATTACTTTTCGCATATTAAGTTACCCGCACCTCTCGCCCTCCCCCTCCCCCCCGCCGTACGCTCGGCGTGGAGCCGAGCGACTGTTACCTCCCGTGTCTAACTACAGCGTTCCATCGACGAGTTAATGACTATACTCGCTACCATCGCGCCATGGATAATCGCGTCTGCGTCGATCACCGCTGGCAATGAAATTAATAACGCGTAGTATTGATTATGACGTAAGCGCGGCTGATAGCGCTAACAATGTTCCGCGCGCGCGGCGCGGCGCGGCGCGGCGCGGCGTGGCGCGCGATATCGCGCAGGTGCAGGTCCTGTTATCCGCTAATGGAATGTGATAAATCGACCCTCGCTCGGTCGGCTGCATTTTCGATACGTCATCGCGTTCGAGGGCTATATTTTTCAGTCGGCGATCATTTCGTAAGACAGAATGCCGTTCGCGATTAGTGCGTATTCGTCCGGTCGAGCGCGCGCGCGCGCGCGCGTTGTAACGGAAACCCTCAACGCGTCTCATTAAACTGCGCGCGCGCGCCCGGCGAAGCGCGGAAATCGTAAAAACCTCGTAAATTTCACCGTCGCGAGCGACTTTTGCGTAAGCGGTCGCAGGTGCGGCCGTCGACTCCTCGGAGCCCCGCAGCCGACGGTGTAAGCCGAGGACTCTCCAGAGCGGGACGGCGATAACGGACGGGGAAATGGACGTGTCATCTCCATCGCGTTATCCAGGATCTTCGGATCCAGGAAAACCTCTCCGATGAGTGGTTGATTGATGAGCGGCGGGCTTAGGTTCTCCCCGCGATTCGATTCCCGACACATCGTTGCATATTCAGGTGCGCACCTGATCGGCGCGAGCGACGCCTCTTCGCGAGGAGAATACGCGGCGATTTGCCTACGCCGCGAACGGCGCGAGTGAGTCTCTCCGTGGTATGCGATCGAAGCGGCACGATTATGGCGAATTACATAACCGCGGGGTCCCGCGAGCGGAGTCGCAGCGTCGTTGCCCGTGTGCGTGGACGCTCGCGTAATGGTGCGTTGCTCCCTTCCGTATAAATCGCGCGCGTTCTTCCGGCGATTCGGCGGCCAGGAGAGCGACGCGTCATTTATCGCGTCGCTCGTTACAAAAAGTCCTGCGTAATCGCACCTACGCGCTTCGGACGAGCGCTCCTTCGCGCGCCGATAAGTCCGCCTCGGCCATAATGAGCCGATTCGAGCGGAGACGAGACGAGAGACCGTAAGAAGAAAAAGAAAAAGAAAAGGCATAGGGGAGGAGGAGCAGGAGGAGAAGGAGGAGGAGGAAGAAAGCGGCGGTTTTCGGAAAGTAAGGTGGAAGCGGAGAGACGAGACGCGTCGGAACTTGGACGGCGCGTCGGGCGCACATGAAAATTATTTACAGCATTCCTCGTGTCGTTCATCGCGCGATAATGCCCATTCGAATGCCCGGTGTGTCCCCATTCCGGCCCACCTTCTCCTAGGTATTCATGCCCGCCGCTACACGCGGTCCCACCACGAGCGCACGCGTCCCGCCCGTGTCACGCACGCCGCGAGGCACGAGAAACTTTATTATGAAGTAAATCGCGGAGAATGCGGCCGTGCGCGCGCGCGAGCGCGCGCGCGAGCGAGACTCTCGATTCGGACAAGCATCTACTGACGACGACGTCTCGCGAAAACAACACAACGAGCTAACGGGAATTCGCGCCTCGCGAGCGAGACGGGAAAAATTGCGCGATGTCGCGACGTCGCGGATTTCGCGACGGGTAATCTCCGCGGCGCGACGCGGCGGACGTGTCGTTGAGAAGACGGCAGGAAAAAGTGCGAATCTCGTCTAGCTCGACAAGGCGTGTTGCGTACTGTACGGAGGAATGCGGTACGAAAGTAACTTCCGCGAATCTATTTTTAGAGAAAAGGGAAACGACGTCATCGCTCGCGCCAAATGACGTAACCGACGTGAGATTACCGAACGATATATATACCACTGAGACTCGCTCTTAGCGAATCGTCTATTAACTCGAAAACTAATGAGGTAAAGAATCCGTTAAAGTAGGCGACCCTTGACCGACGTTGGCGAAGTCGTTAACTGTTCTTTCGATCGACGCACCGACCGTCTGTCTTGGCAAGGCGACCGGAGTCCTTTTGATTGTTCGTTCCGCCGATGTTACTCGCGGAATTAACGCGAGACACTCGACGGCGACGCAGACATTCCGATGTCGAGGTGCACGCTCGGCCGCACAGCGCGAATAAACGTGACGATACGCCCATTGAGACGGTTCGTACACGTGTCCCAATTCCGGTCCCGCGATATTCTCACGAGCCCTCAAGGCGTATTTCGCACGGCCACGCGTCGGAGGTGAATATCGAACAGACGATGGAACTCGCTCCTCTCTGTCTCTCTCTCTCTCTCTCTCTCATCCAGACGATTTTCCCAGTCATTCGCGAAAGTCCGCGAGAACTCGCCTTCGCCGAAGGCGCTCTCCTAGTCCGCGCGAGCCGACCAAACGACACGCGAACGGGTGCACCGAGAAAGGTCATCGAGTCACCGCGAAGTCGCGCACAGACACACCGTGAGAGAAGACGTGAGACAACTATACTGACCACAAATCGCGTCGTCGAGCAGCGGCTACCGGCGCGGTGGCACACTCGCACACTCGCCTGTGTGAAATTTCGCCGCGTCGACTAGCGCTCGATACGCCGATTCCGGCTCCGCGTCCGAAAGTGGAGCGGCGTCGTTTCTCGAAATCGCGAATACGTCGCGAGTACCGAGCGACGACGACCGAGCCGCTCCTGCGAGCGCTCGCTGAGCGCCGAGCGTAGGATATACATACGTCCTCATAATCCTCGCCTCGGCGTCGTCCGCGAGCGGTCCCGGTGGCTGCTTCCGTCGTGGCTGCCGGGCATGTCTCTCGCTCCGTCTGTCTTTCAGCGCAGACCGACTCGTCCGGATTCCTCGCAGAATCGCCAGCTGGCCCACGGCAGGAAAAGGAGGCAATCCGTTGCGATCCGAGCCTCGAGAGCGCACTCGGCGGTGACCCGACGACGACGCGCGCGCGCGCGCGCACGACCCGTGTGTGTGTGCGGTATCCTCACGGTTCTCCCGGTCTTCCGCTGATTTCTGCACCGCGCATCGAAATCACCAGCGCGAACGCCTCGCTCCGTTTCGCGAGCCGCGCGCGCGCTCGCTCGCTCGCTCGCGCGCTCGTGTGTACGCGATTGACGAGCGACCGTGAGGACGAGGAACGCGAAGAGGGAGCACGGGGAAGAGAGACGGAGGAAGAACAGCAGGAGGAGGAGGAGGAAGAAGAGGAGGACGGGGAGGAGGACGGGGAGGATGACGGACGGACGGACGGACGGACGAACCACCGTCGCGGTTCCACCTGTTTCCCAGCGATCGTCGCCTCGACGTGTTACGTATCGATCGCTCGGATCGAGAACGGCCGCGGACGGATCGCACGGCGATCCGCCTCGGCTGATGGATATACGTCGATCGTCGCGTATCCTCGCGACTATTCCGCCGGCTGCTCCACCGGATTTATGCACGACGCCACTTTCGACCTTCCAGTCGGCGCGCACGAACGTCTCTGACACGCTTTCGGCTGTCCGCCACCTGGAATGAGGTCTCGGCACCGAGCGAGGCGGCCCCGCGCGACTCGGATCGAACCTGAATATCGCCACCTGCCTCCGACGACGTTCCGGGAAGGTCTGAGGTGAGAGGAACGGCCATTTTGAGGCACCGCCGATGGATCGCGCAGGTGGCGCTACGCCTGGAGAACCGATGTGTCCTACCTGCCCGTAACGGTCACTCTCTCGTGCGCGCTCACCTGGCGAGGACCTGGGCCCGCTGAAGGCGAAGGCGCGCGAACTTGTTGCTCGAGACCCGACTGAGAGAGAGGAGAGAGAGAGAGAGAGAGAGAGAGACTCTCTCCTCTCTCAGTGAGAGAGACGAATATCTGTTTCTTCTCAAAGATCCGGAACCGGAAGTCTGGTCTGCGTAGCTGCGGACGCTCTCTGTGTACTGCAGATTCGCAGACTCGAGCGAGTCGTCGATCGAATTCGCTGCACCTGAGCGGAATTCGGCGATGAGGAAAAACGGGAGAGCTTCCGCAACGCAGACTTCAACGCAACGCACGACGTTCAGTCGTGCGGGTAATAAGACAAGCGCCATTGCGACCGAGGCACCTTTTATTCGCAGACGTAGAAACTGGCTGGAGGGTACGCTGGTCGAGGAAAGTAAGCCGCGCGGGAGAGCGGATTCGAAGAGCGAGCGAGCGAGCGATCGATGATGAATTGTGATATTCCTGAGAGAGCCTGACGATAACTCCATCGTTAATCCGCTTGACGCGAATCGCTTCGCAGTTATGCCATAAACGCGCGTGTAATGACTCGGTGTAATGACACAGCACACCGTGATCCGACGTCGATATAGATACGCGGATACAAGGACGAGTTACGACACGCGCGGTTAATGGAGTCGCAGTAACAATGTAAGTTCAACGCGGAGCGATTCCTTTGGGGATTGTCCAACCGCGCGGATAGGTCCTCTGGAAGGCTCCGCGCGCTGTTTCGCGTCGTGCACGTGCGCGTGGAGTATATTCTTCGAGTCGCTCGCTTCCTGCGGGACACCATTTCTAGGCAGAAAGTACAAGATCTCGCCGCGTAAAAGCGCGCGCCTACGCGCGAATCGTTCCGCGTACGTGGGAAACGATTTGCATGCAATGACGCAATAGACGCAGCGACAAATTACACGACGCTGCGAGGTATTTGCGAGGATTCTTACGCTCCATTTCGCCGTGACGTTTCGGCGCGCCGAATGAGATCCTTTTCAGCGTCGGGAGGAGGATAACGAGCATCGGGCAAACGCCAGTTCAATCTTGTGCGCACCTTGATACGCTCTATTCCTCGTCGTAGATAAACGAACAACACGTCGCACGACGCGCTGTCACATTGACAGCGAGTATTTGCGATAACGATCAGATGGTAGCGACAAATTTGCCTGGTAAAACTGCGAGCTGGACGAGAGGCGACCTCGATCGGCCACTTTTGCTCCGTCCTTCCGTTCCCTTTTTGTCGCTGAAATCATTGCAAACAATTATCGCGAGGAAATATCTCTCCCTCCGAGCATCCGATTGTCCGAGGAAACCGCAGGAAAAAAAAAGAAGAAAAGAAGGCGATGGTTACTGTTCTCTCGGCCAAAGCGAGCGAGCATTTCTCGCGACTGCCAATTCTCTCTCTCTCTCTCTCTCTCTCTCTCTCTCTCTCTCTCTCTCTCTCTCTCTCTCTCTCTCTCTCTCTCTCTCTGTCTCTCTTTCTTCCTCTCGCCACATCTAAACCGAACACGCGCTCGCTCGCTCATACACACACACACACACACACACACACACACACACACACACACACACACACACACACACACACACGTACACAGCATCGCGATATATTTACGCGAACGGGGAGACTCCGACGAAACGATGGCAGCGATCCAACAGTCGCGTTACGGAAATAGATTTCGGTGTCGGCGGCGGGCGAGATACAACGGCCGTTCGCGGAGCTGGCGAGCGAGCGGCGCTGAAAAGCAGCCGGAGAGACGACGGCGACCAGTACCGTGTCGACCAGTTCCCGAGGAAAACCGGAAGAGTCAGCCCGGCGAGGTCCCACATGAGCGTGAGTGCGATATTCCGAGCCACGAGTGCAACCCCCGGTGCATCTTCCGGCTCTCGGCTAGAGATACGCGCGAGCATCAGCCCGGCTATTTGCGGTCGTTCGCGCGGCGGGAGGTCCTCCCCGTAACGGGCTCTGTTCCGCGGCGTGTCGGCGCTATTTGTTCTCCGTTTTGGACCCACGTTGCCGAGAAGAAACGTTCGCGATAAAGCGCTTTTCCGCGTGTTTCCGCACGCGCGCGCACGCTTCCGATTTCCGCGTCGCGTGGAAAGCGACATTGCGCGATCTCGAGGATGACTGACAGTGGCTGCTGAACCGATTTCGCGCTCGCGGCGCGGCGCAACGGCCGGCCCAGGCGAGATGGTGTAATTCGAGGCTCGAGGCCTGACTCTCGAATCTTCTTCGATGAGCGCTCCGTGACTCCCCGATGACTCGTGATCTCAAATGAAGCCGTCTGACCTCCGATGAAATTCATCTCTTTGGCGAATCCGTGACTCGACGTGATCGCCCTCTCCCGTAGCTTCGCTCGCGGCAGTCCGACAGTCTCAGCACGCGCGAGCACATCTGCCGATGCACAATTAGACGACTGGAGGACAAAGAACAGGCTAGACCTGAAATATAAATAGAAGAGAAAGACCGCGTCTCTCTCAGCGGTCGCATCGGAGATTCCAGTGCTTGGTCGAACGATGTTCATTCAGCTGCTGGATCACGACGACGCGATAGGTCGACCCTGTGTCGCGCGAATTATCTAAATCCGAGCTCTCTCTCTCTCTCTCCCCCCCCCCCTCTCTCTCATGCCGCATCGTGCTTGCGCGCACGGCTCATCGGCGGTGCGTGAAAATCGTGCACTCACGAACGTCCGGGACGTGCGTCTCAGCCTCGTCGTCCGTGAAACAGAATGCGGGTTGCAACATCGACGTTGTACGAGCGAGACACGTTCCGCGCGTGTCTTCGCTCGCACGATGACACACGAGAACGATCGAGAGAGAGAGAGAGAGAGAGAGAGAGAGAGAGGGAGAGAGAGAGGGAGAGAGAGAGAGAGAGAGAGAGAGAGAGAGAGAGAGAGTCCGCGCCTCGCCAATTTGTATAACACACGGAAAACAATTGCAACGCGACCGAGAGGAGGGGGGGGAGAGAGAGAGAGAGAGGGTGATCGTTGTTTATTATAGAGCGGCGTCTATATTTCAGGTGAATACCCTCGCTCTGCATTCGTCGGATCCGCGATGTCGCGTCTGTCGCGTTTGCAGTCGTTCTTCCGTCTATGCGGGTACCAGCGGCCGATGGAATAACGTAACGCGAGAGATAGAGGGAAACTCGTTTCTTACACCGATACACAGTGAGAGAGAGAGAGAGAGAGAGAGGAGTCGCACGCCGGCCGGCAGCGTGAATCCACGCATACGCGCGTTATCTGCCGCCCGTAACTCGCGCCGCGGCAATGACAGTCGCTTCCGTTTGAAAATCCCTCGTCGTAATTGCGCATACCAGGCATCACTTCATTATGAACCGAAGTGAGAGCCGGCGCTGCGCTGCGCGAAAAATATCCCCACGACCGCGACACGAGCGGTATTCTTTCTCGATCGCTCCGTTATTCAATACAGATCGCTCGCGAACGCCGATAAAACGCGCGAGACGCGTCTGAGCGTGAAAGAAGCTCGCAGATAGAAATTCTCGCGGATAAACTAGAAGTTGGACGATCTCCAACTCGCGCGGACGTACGCGATCCCATCGCGAGTTGAGAAATAGTTTCGCGACGTACGCCCGGTTTACGCTCGTACGCTCTTTATTTTTTCTCACCCGCTCTTATCGCACTTTGAGGCAACATTGCGAGAGGGAACGGTTGGCGATAATCGCAGCGGAAATAATCAATGCATGATAATACATCAGGTCGCTACCGTCGTTTTGCAATTAGATTCCGGTTTGTAGAAAGTCACCAGTCTGGATGCGGCTCTTCCGCCACCCGAGATAGGAACAAAAGAAGGGTGGAACGAAGGCAACGTTCTAAAGATACGGACGATTCTAATTCGAGAAACTAATTCGAATCGCAGTTTCTCGCAGCGTGACCGCGTCTACTGTTCGCTTTGATTCTCCCGTTTCTGCTTAGATGATAAAGCCGCGCGGATGTGGCCAATTAATCGACAAGTTCGCGCGATGCATCGGGAGAAAATGTAAACGTGGGAAAATAGAATTTATCGCGACCGCGAACGTCAAGCCGACCGTGTCGGGGTATTCTTGGGATCTCTTTGTGCATTAAAATCACTCACGTAGTCTATCGTTTAATAATTCATATCCTACGACTAGTCACGCCTGATGCGACCGCGATGCGACTTGGAATATTTTGCGCAAAAGCAGCTTTATAAATCCGTCGCGAAGCGACGCATTTACGATACTCTTTCACGTGGGATGCGAGACACGCTGATCGTCGTCGTCTCAGCGCGTCACCCACGCTGTGGAAAAATAGTGTCACGGCTCGGCTTTATTTCTAGAACGCGGAACACCCTTTTGCCCCGGACGCAGAAATAGATCCCGCGGTCGCGGCCGCAACTTCCGCTACGGGTCGATCGCCGCTCTGACGTCGCTGACGTCGCGGAGATGCACGCTCGAGAAAAAGTCCCGCGAAAGTTTGCGCGAGTTTGTGCCGAAACTACTCGGAATCGCTCGGGTCCCGCGCGGGATCCCAAGGTGCGACGACATCGTTTCACACTTGGCACCGTTATGACGGTAGAACACTGCCAAAGTTCCTCGGGATCGTTCTAGGTTGGAGGATCGAGCTCGACGTTAACTCTGTTGCTTTTGCGCTGCGCGACTTTGTCTTTGAATCTATTTCTCTCGATCATTCTTCTTCAATTAGTCTTTTGTAATAGATTTTTAACTCCACATATATATATATATATATATCCTTTTATTTTATTTTTGTAATATTTCTCAAAAATGTTTTCACATGGACTCCTTCATCTTCGCAGCTGAAAGATTATTGTAACTGCAACTTTGTGCATAGTTTTCGTACTAATTTTCCACTTTGGACACTTTGGACGTGAAGTTTGTCGATGAGAATTACTTGTATTTCGTTACACATATATATCGCCGATAGATGTCATCGCCGCGATATGACTATAGCGATTATCGCTCGCTGAAGCGAAACCACAACGGAGAATTTCGAGTAACAAGTATAGTAAAGAGACCGGTAAGCGCCGGTACCTCCATCGTGTCCCGTAAGAAAATTACCGTCATTCTGGAGGATAATCGTCAAGGAAATTGTTTCTTTCATAGTTCTAATTGTTTCTTTCATAGAATCCGGGAGCTGAGAAATGGCGACCGATGGCCATATCAAATCCGTCCACCAAGTTGCGGATGGCGAGGTCGATGCCCCACTGGGTGATGGTACGTCTTTCTTCATGACCGCTCACACAGCAGGTCGTATTCTTCATCTATCATCGCTCTTGTCCATGATTGTATGTATTTCTTATTTTACAATCGTTGTGCACAATAAAGATGCAGACGAACAAAATGCTCGATGACAAAAATTCTCCTCTTCTCACTTTCTTACTTACTTTCTTAACGTAACTTACTTTCATTCAATTCTCACAACAAACTCAAACTGATTCGTACTCGACTGCGATCGTACGTACCTACGACTCATCTACAACGAACTAATGTGCAAACTGCGCAAAACTTTGTCGGACACAAGGCTCAACAGCAACAACGGGAAGGGGAGCAGCATCAATTCCGGCCGCCGACACCTCCGAAGGCCCCGCCGCCGTCGCTCTCCGGCGACTGTGGTGACCCCGACTACGAGATCATCGAATTCCCGACCCGACCGCAAGCCCAGAGACCCTCCACGACGACGACGTCGACGACGACGACGACGACGATGACGACGACGCATTCGCAGCCGTACGTCGGTAAGTGCGCCCTGTGCGGCACCGAGAACGTGTTCGCGCGTTGCGACACATGCAACGCGAACTACTGCGAGGCCTGCGACGACATGAACCACAAGCACCCGAAGCGGAAGCACCACGTTCGACGGAGAATCCTGACGGACAACGCGAGCAGAAGCAGCAGACCGCCGTTGCCGCCGAAGGGCGAGAACCTGACGAGCCCGCCGGTGCCGCCGCCGCGAAGAAATCGCAAGACCACTCAGGTAGGCTGCGTCCTGGCCTGAAAAACTTCCGACCGCCCGTCGTCGATCTTCTCTTCCAGGCACCCGACGCCGCTCGTCGATCGTTCAAAAGCCCTCGACGTTCCCCAGCGGCGGCGCGAGCCTCCCTCTCCCCTTCGCCGAGGATCGTTTCCGGCGAACTCGAACTCGACGGAGATCAGGTTGGCGGCCGGTTGGCAAAGCGGCGGCTGGGCGAATTTCGCTCGAGTTAATTTCCACTTGCTTGCCGATGACGGTCGTCAAGTATCGGATAGTGCTACCCGTCGCGAGCCCCGGGAGTAGGACTCGCACGACGCAGGATGTCTCGGAGCGTGCGACGACGGGCGACGTCGTCGCGGTCGCCGTTCTTCCCGTCGCCTCGTCTCCGTCGAGTCGAGTCGCTCTCGCCCCGTGAGATCTGCGGATCTCCGTGTCACGTTGCTGATTAAGAGAACTGAACGGCGTCTAGCTTTACCTCGAAACGTCACACCGAGGCAGCGTTCTCAAGCGTCGTCGCACACACTACCCTTGTTGCTTGAGTTTTCACGTTGATCATTGTTCTAAGTTTCTCAGATTCTATTTTTTGCGCTCGCAGACCTTATTGTACATATTGTTGTCGTTGGTTTTTTGTAATACACCATGTTACCGCAAAACACTGATGCCGTATTCACTAAACCCGTTCTCACATCCAGTCTCGCGGAAAGGACGACGGCATCGACCGCCGTCGTCGCCGTCACCGACGTTTGCCGTCGTAATCGCGCGAATCACGTGAAGTGGTGAATATGGCAGGTTACGGTGAACACGGTGAACATGATGATCATTCTCTCGCTCAATCATGATACCTCATCACCGACGACGACGACGACGACGATGACGACGACGATAACTCCGCCACTCCGCACTCTCGCTCTGTCTTTCTCTCGCTCTTTCTCTGTACCGTTACCAGGCACCATCTCGACTGATTTTCACACTCGAAGTATCACATTTCTTTTCAGCATATCGGACGGGCTATCATTCAGCTGCTTTCATACCTGCCACGCTCATGAAGCGACGAGCGATTTGACGGCGTGTTATTTGCGAGAATTTTGTTTATAATATTGTTTTCGTTTTCTTCTTCATCTTCTTCTTCTCCTTCTTCTTCTTCTTCTTTTCTTCTACTTCGCTTTGCACACCGACGTGTGCGGACGAACCTGTTCTCACATGCTTATCAATTTATTTGACTTATTCCTTAAGCCGATGTTATTTTCTTTTTTTGCAAGAGTTTGTTTCTAGAGACACTTAATCGCCCGTCGTGTTGCACACGATCTTGTTTCTCGTTGATACTTACTTATACCGACGCAGACTCGCGAACGAACCACATCTACGGTCCTCGACGACTCTCCGAGCGCCGTTCCTCCGCCATCCACGATATGCAATTAAGTCAAGGTTTCGCGCTTAGGCCAAGTCGGCGCTAACCAAAGGATCCGCGAATCTGCCTTTGCTCGATAAGGTCGGCAGCTTGAAACGAAACTTCCCCAACGCGAAGCCGTTGTCCACAATACCGGACTCGAGCTCGAGAGTGTCCAAGTCCACGAATACCTTAAATGCAGTTTCCACCGACACCACAGGATCAGTAACGGACAAGATGACCACTCTGCAGGTGAGAAATCACATACATGCGACGAGACTACGTTAATTGTGAGAGAACCAGTGCCCTCTTCGACTTGAATTGAGATTCCGAGAGATTCCGAAAATCCCAAGGGCGAATACTTTTCTCTCGTTCTCTTGGCATGTATTTTATTAAACGCGAAGAAGTACATCACAGGATGAAAGTCTGAAATAGCTCTAATTGTTCGCATCGATTGAATGACGCGCGGCAATTCGTTCGCGGTGACATCCCCGAAATCACTTTGATTTGCGGTAGTCTCGCAGCATTCGTTCGTATCGTTCGTAAATCGAAATGACGAATTTTTAGGAGAGATACAGAAAGTATCAAGAGGCGATGAAGGCTCAGGACGCGAATAGGCGACGACACCCGTTGTCCGACACCTCGAGAGATACCTTGGGCGGGAGACCGCTCAGCGTAGGCAGCCCGAAACCGGCACCGCAGCTTCCACCTCCGCCACCACCCAGAACTATGATACAATCGGCCAGCGTCTGCGACCTGTCGGCCGCTCACATGTGGAATCCTGGAATGCATCAAGTATGCCTTCAACACTTGAGCTTTAACTTTCGTCCCTCATGCTTGCCAATTTTATCGGTTTAATCCTCGCGACGTTGTCAGTTTCCTAGTAATTTAATTTTGCGATATTATCACTCTCATCGTCCCCAACAATTTTACCGCCATTGTCTTCCGGTTTGCACCGTAGTAAAAATAATGAAACGGAACAGAGAGAGAGAGAGAGAGAGAGAGAGAGAGAGAGAGAGAGAGAAACGCGGACTAAAAATATAAAGGAACAAAAATACTTCAGGCCCAATCGGTGGCGCATTTGGGGCCCGGAGGTATACCGATGTGGTACCCGCCGATGAACTCCTGGGACATGTCGATGAGAGGCTCCACCATGAGCCTGCATCATCCGAGCATGTGGGGATACCACATGGGCTACCCGCCGGCGCAGATGCTGCCGTCGCAGCACTACCCGGGATCTCTGTCGCGACCGCACAGCCCGGCCAGGAGCGTCAAGTCCAGCCGAAGGTCGAAGGCGGCGTCTCCGTCTCCCAGTCTCAAGTCCAGAAAATCCTTCGCCTCGCGGTCGCGATCGAGAATCTCGCCGGGGTCACCATCGGACGCGAGCTCAGAGGACTCTGACGAGTCCGACATAGACGACAGACTCTCGCGAGGCTCCAGAAGCAGACGCGGCAGTGTGCCCAGGAGCATACGACAGCGAAGCTACCACGACGACGATGGCGCGAGGAGTCTCTTGTCCAGGAATCGGCGAGAGTAAGTGCAAACATACACGGAAGTAGAAGAAGCAAGCGCAATTTTTGCGAAACGAAACGCTCGCTATGTACGTTCGATACCGCCAATTTGTCGATGATCGAGGCTAATTATGTGAACGCGAAACGTCCTGTCCTGGAATTTCACCTGTGAGATAACACCTGTAATCTCTGATGTGTTATTCCTCGGTTTCCTCATAAATCGAGAAAAATAATTGAACGTCTAGTATCTCACTTGACATTTTCTCAATTTTATATTTTTAGTCTTTAGTCCGTCTTTAGTCCGTTAATATTCTTCTTAAAATCTGTTCTCACCAGCAAATAAATAAATATTAGGGGTACCGGAACTTCCGATCTTTTCCGGTTTTTAAAATTTTTAAATCTTCAATTTCCGCGTGATTATAGTACGGGTTCTTAATTTTAATCTAGAATTAATTTAAATCCCAGGTTAATTAACAATATTTCTTTATTATGTATACCAACTTTCACTAAGATCGAACTTACTCTTGGAAAATAGCAAAAACGTTTGAACCAAGTGAACAACACGGAAAAACGAAAAGACTTTCCGGTACTCCTAATAAATAAACTTGAACAAACTCGACACGGCTTCATCGGTGCTTCAACTCATGCGCGTATCTTCGCTGCGCGAGTCGCGCTCACACGTGCCGTACGTTCGATCTTTCAGGAGACTGATGTCCGAGGAGAGACTGACGAGCGCCGATGATCAATGGTCCGAGAGTGCGTCCAGCAAACGATATCCTACGTCGTCGTCGTCGCGAAAACACGACGAGTTCAACAAGAATAACACCATCGCCTCCGAACGACGATACAATTATGACAATCGCTCAGCTCCCAAGGATCCTCGACTGGATCGCGTTCAGAACGCGACTTACCGCGACCGTCGGCGCAGCACCGACGAGGAATCATCCGATCGGAAGGTTAACGCGCCCGGGCGAGCGCGAATGACGAACTCGCCCGACGATCGCTTTGAGAGAACGGAGAACATTTCGAAGAGGGCGTCGTCCCTCCGGAGGGACGTACATACACTGGACGATCTGGAAAGATCCTCCGCCCGTCGCGACTCCCACAGATCGTCCTTCGACAGTGACGTCCAGGCCGCAAAAACACCCTCGCGAGAAGTGACTTCCCCGAAGAGGACAGCCATGGAGCGAGCGCGTCTCTTGGAGGCGCAATCTCCTCAAAGAGGACTGACCAGCGACGATCGAAAGGACGAGATCGAATCGCGCTTCGCGAAGAAGGAACAACAGAGTCGCGACGCCTCGCGAGATCGCGAGGTCTTCGCGAATAGAGACTCGTCCCAGCGAGGGGAGGTTTCCGAAGACCTCGACAGGATCTCCGCCAAGCGAAGCTCCAGGAGATCCTCGCTCGAGTCCGACAATCAGAGTCTCAAGAAGACAGTGAAGGAGACGTCGACGGGAAAGAAGCGGGACGAGGCTCGGGACTCCCAATCAAAGACGATCAGCGATCCCCGTGTTACAGAGCGTCAACGTTCAATCGAGAAGGACCAACGAGCTCGGGACTCGAGCAGGACCGGCGACGCTCAGCAGAAGAGGCAAAGCAGCGCTGATACCAAGCGACAGGAAATGAGAAGGTCTCAGTCTCAAGAGGACGCGAAAGCCACGAAGACGACGGACGCGAGAGTCACGAAGGCGACAAGCCCGATCGAGAGCGCATCGCCGAGGAAGGTCGCAGTGAACGAAGCGGCGAGTCCGATGGAGATACCGAAGGAGGAGTGGGCTTGCGAGCATTGCACCTTCATCAACAAGATCAACGATCGCGTCTGTGTGGTATGCTGCAAGACGAAGAGCAGCGCGCTGCCGCCGAGCAAACCGGACGACGACCTCCAAGTGGCCGTCGAGCCTGTCGTGCTGCGAGCGCAAGCCAAAAGCAACGAACCAAACGGCGCCGGCGATCCCGCTGCCGATCTCGAGAAGAGGACCAATCTGCTGAAGATCTCGAACAGTGAGGAGAGCGGCGACAGCGGATCCATTAAGAACAAAGGTAGACCGAGGCGCAAAATCAGCTTTTCCTTCGGTACCAAGTCGTCCAAGTGACCGGGTCACACGCCGTGTGTCGTGTCCCCGGCGGTCTGTGTGATCGCGCACCCCCGTCCGTTTCCGCCGCGCAATGGTGTTCGTACGTCTTTTTTGTCTCTCTCCTTCCCTCCCTCCATCTCTCTTTGTTTCCGTTTTTTCTCTGGGCTTGTTTTTTTTTACGTGTCCCCGAAGCTGCGCTCGTGAGCCACGGAGCAGAGGTTGGTGGCGGTTGTTCCCCCCTGTCGATGTATTGGATCTTGGATGAATAATAAAGAGACCACGAGGAAAACTGTTTCGTACACGCCCAACAACGGCACCAAATGCATAGTCGTATTTGAAATTCGGCCATCTTCCGCGTGCGTACATGTGCCCGCGAGCCACTATATTATTCATTCAAGAGGCGGCGGTTTCAAGCACGAGCGTGCATTTGGCGCGTGTTCCTTTATTCCGCGGCCAGCCACTGATGACCGAGATCAACGGTCGGATAGCGTCCGGCACGAGAGAGAATGTTAAAACACGTCAACAACGGCAGACTGCTGCGACGACCGGCAATGTCGCGCAGGTGCTTGGTTGCATTCGCGATATTTGTTCCCGCGCGACGACGCCGCCGCGCCGGTCAAAATCTGTTCGCACGAGTTATCAATTTTGTCAGATTTCGATGTTGATGCGTGGTTACATTGTTAGCACACTCGCGACAGTGACGATGGCGCGAGTATACGCGCGGGCTGTCGTTCGTCTCTTTGGCTCCTTTTTACTTTCAAAAGCGAGGCGAGAATGTCGTAAATACGCTCGTGGGTGACCTTGAAAACGATCGCATAAGACATACCACGATACTCTGCTGGAAACTTTTCAACACGGCAATCGACCGAGTTGAAACTTATCCGAAAAATCCGGAAAATAAAACATCTTAGTTTTATCGACTAGAATAAGAAGAGACGTCGACCGGAGCGAATTATAGGGACAAATTTGTCATTTGCAGATGCTATCGTTCCGGACGACGAAACTCCCATAGAAAATCTCGAAAGCTGCACAATCGAGGCTGCAGCTTCGCAGACGGAACACGCCTCGAGGTCCACAGCGACGACATCACCGGCTATGGAGAACAAGTCGTCAGAGGCACCATCGTCAGAATTGCTGTCCTCTTCAGCTGCCGATACCTCGAAGGCGGATCTCAATAGAAATTCATCGCCGCATCGGGAAAATGTTCGAGGGCAGGTTGTGAAGAGTCATTCTGTATCCACGGGAACGTCCCCTCCGCCGCAGAATATTTCGACGCAAGTAAGAATCGTTCGAACAGAGCACAAATTCACACTCAATTCACGCGCAAACATGGTAGAGAGAGGTGGAATCAGTTAAAGGAAGAAGAGAAAATTAAAACGAGGCAATCTTGCTGAAACGAAAAATATTTTATCTTAAAAAATATTCCAGACGTATGAGTATCTTCCGGTGAGAGGTCCTCTCGGAAGGTCCGCGTCGGTGGCGACGTCCAAGAGCTACTTGTATTACGACGACAGCGACGGAGAGGTGAGAGCGAAGAGTCACACAGTTGAAATAAGAACGAGGAAACGAAAGTAGTCGATGAGATTACCGCGAGCAGTGTCCGTGTCCGCGACGCGTTTAAATTAATCTCTACCGTACCGCATCGTAACGAAGTCCACACACGAATTCCGTTGCATTGCATTGCGCTCGAATAACGGATGAGAGAGCGTGGAGGATCGGCAGGCTCGCTCGCGTCCTGCAGATCGCCCGAACGGCGATAACGAGACACCCTCTGGGCGAGGACGAGACGTCTCCCTCGCTTCCGCATCGCCGCACGATCGACGTTTCGCGCGTTCTAGTAAAAAGAGACGAGGCGGAGTGTTTGTTGCAGGAGCAGAGCGGATTCGCGAACAGTCCCGATCTGTATCCGCAGGCGTTCCAAGAGCAGGCGTATCTGCAGCAACTGATGTCAGGACCGACCAGGGAACAACGGACCAGGAGAAACTCCGTCGAGTCGACCCACCTCTATTACCGTTCCAGGGTAAACTCAAACTTGCGAACTAAGCCTCGCGCGGATTTTTCGCCGCGCATGTAACTCAGTCCCCGAACCCTGACCCAATCTGACACGCTACTTAGCCTCGGTGTGAACGTAGTATAGGCAGGATGATACACTGTTCCTCCTTTTTTTAGCACCGCCCAGTCGCTCGAGTGAGACGCTCGCTCGTGTAATCGTTATGCTTACTCACATGACACATTCTTACAGCTGCGCACTGATCTAATATTAATCTGGACGCGTGACAGTATGTTTAGAGCGAGTATGTTTAGAGTTAATCCACGACGATGACGACGAGACTCCTACGCGATTGTGACTAGCTGTGTAGTCCGCCACAAGTAACACCGTCCACATGAACTGCGACCTCTCTCTCGCGACCTTCCATGTCGTTCTCGATGACAACGACGACCACGACGAGGATGATCGCCGGTGTGCCTTCGTGTTTCAGGAACCGAGCCAGCCGAGATACACGGAGGCGGCTTCCACTTCCGGCCAACAAGGTGTCTCAACGTTGACGCGCCAAGGTTTGGAGGTGGTGGAGCTGCTGCGCGACGCCGAGAGGCAGGGCTTCACCACCGACGACGTTCAAGTGGCGTTAGCGCAGGGCGCGGCGAACCCGCTCGACTGGCTGAGGACGCAATGGCCGCATCTGGTGGAGACGGTGCAGGTGCTGGTGGCCGCGCAGGGCAAGGAGCTGAAGGAGAACACCGTCGGCGTCCTCTCGCCGGCCGAGGCGAAAGAGGCCCTGCGATCGGTCAAGGGCGACGTGTGGAACGCTGTCGCCACGGCCATCCGACGCAGGCAACGGAAGGTGCGTGCGAGGGCGAAGGAAATCCCACGAGTTCTGATTAATCGCTCGTTAATTATCATCCGGCATTTCCTTTCGTTGCGACAGTGCGAACAAATCATGGCGAAGGGCAGCTTCGCGCTGGCGGATGTCGTTAAAGCTCTGGATAATAACGCCGGCGTCGAGGACGCGACTCTGCTTGAGCTGCAGCGGAATCAGCTGAAGCCCTTCTTAATGAGGATCTGGGGGCCTCCGGTCGGGGTGGAGAACGACGAGGCTGCACCGCACGAAGGTCAGTGGATGTTTCTGTCACGCGTTAATTGAGAGGGTGTGTAAGCCGAATATTTCGAGTGTAATGTTACTCGGGAGAAACATCGAAGGAACGTTTGGAACACAAAATTCGCCGGCTGCTGATAAATTGACGGAAAGGAATAATGCATTCGTGTCCTGAAAATAAATGATTTATTATCTCAAGAGGCTACAGAATAAAAGACAGAAGGAGAGATTACAGATGATGGAAGGTACATTTTTCTTTTTCAAGATAAATTTCATATCTTGGGATAAGATCAACCAGACAGTCGACTCTATCGATCCAAATCGTCGTATATATCGTCGCGCCGCTCATAAAACGTAATCTAGGATTTTTCATCGAACGTGCGCGTTTTACCGTCCGTGGGTGATTCGACGGCAGGCGAGGATCATCGATCATGCACCACCACCTTTTTGTCTGCCGCAGACGCAGCGGGTGCGGTCGGCGGCGGGGCGGGGTTGCCCGTGGAACAAATACCGAATGTGTCCGATACGGAGGCGAGGAAGCAGGTAATGTCACCAATAGTTGATCATTTCGTGGCGTTGCAGGCCGACTTTCAAAAGCAACTGGCGGCCCTCCGAGAACTGGCCGATAACTGGCGACACGAGAAAGACCCCTCGTACAAATTGGGTAGTAAGTCTGATAGTCTGTACGACCACTCCGATGACGGTAGCACTGTTCTAATCGATACAAATCTGGTACCAAGGGCCGTACAAGCGCTCGACGTAGCGGAGACGAGCGGTCTAGTTGCGCGGCAAAGACAGGCGACCGTAGATACTCGAGAAGACGCGGCGCGCCCGTCGAACGTCACGAGATCGTCGGCTGACGACCTGGACCGAGTAGGCGACACCGCGTCGATCTCCACAGAGCTCCCCGCGAAAATGACGGTCGACGATCTCGCGAACGCGACTGCGACCGCGAACGCGCCGGCCAGCAAAGAAAGCGCGACGGAGTCGCGCGCGGCTGGACGCCCCGTGACGAGAAACGACGAGGTCGGTCGCGAACGTACGATCGAGAAAATCGCCGAGTCGCCGACTGAGCAGGACGAAACCGTCGCGCCCGTTACCGAGACCGATCTGCCCGAGCTCGACGACCGGCCGAGCGAGAACGACAGCGTCGCGAACGGAGCGAAGCGAACGGCGCGGTTGCTCGAGGCCGCCGAGATGAAGACGCACGTTATCGGCACCGCGGCGTTATCGATTAACGAAATCGCTGCGAAATCGACGGCGAATGGAGTCACGAGCCATTCACCGTCGGCGTTGCCGACGGAAGAACGGGAAAGATCGCTGTCGGCGAATAATGCCGGGGTTGAAGCGTCCTCCACGTCGGCCGAAACTTCCGCGCTCGACGCGACGAATACGGAACCAGGTCGGTCCTCTCCTCGACGGGAAACTCGGAGCACCGCCGAATTACGTAATATAGCGGGACAGAGCACTACGGAAGCGAACAACGAGGCGCTCGTCGAAGTTGGGAAGACTGCGGATTCGAGCGAGGAAGCACTTGGGACCTCCGCGCGAGACTCGAGTGCTCCCGAACGAGCGGACATATCGAAGTCGCGGACGTCCTCGACCGCCGATGCGGCGAACCATCAGACGGAGAAGCATCGCGACGCGTCGTCCGAGGAAGGGCCTCCCGCGACAGTCGACTCCGACCGGCAGATTTCAAGGTTCACTTCCGGCCGGAACGAGGACTCATCGCGTGTCGCGGCGATGGAGGCTCTGATGTCGGCCATGAAGTCGCTGCCGGTGCACTTCCTCACACCCTTCGTCGCAGCGATGCAGATGTTGTCGCCGAGGAAGTCAGCGACGGAGGAGGGCGATGTCGAGGAGGTGACGTCCGACGTGGAGCTGATGAACCAATTGAACACCCTGCGTAGCATGAGAGCCGCCGCCGAAGAGCCGAGTCGAGCGTCCGCGACTGCGACGGCCGGCAACGCGGACATCATCCCGACGGGTCTTACCGGAAGCGGCGAGGAAGAGCATCGTCGCGACGAGCCCGCTTCGCTCGCGAGTGAAACGGACGGAGCGCAGCCGAGGAAGGTTCTTGCCGGCGGCAAGGAGACGGCGACCAGATCGAAAACTCCGGACTTTCGGCTGCTGGCGAGGTCCCGTTCCAGCGTTCCGGACATTAGGGAGCAACACCAGGACGTCAGATCGGTATGTACAGACTCGAGCGAGCTCGACGCTTCGCGAACTAACGTCGCGACGTCCGAGAGCCCGCTGCCGGACCCGGTGGGCTCACGGCCCACGTTGACCGACGGAGACGTTCCCGGAGACGAGCCGTCGGCCACGAATCAAGCGGAAACGCCGGCGAGTCGCGGAGCGAAGAAACTCACGGTCGAGGCGTCGCGGACGGACGCCGTCGCGAGGGAAGTACAAACGCGCGAGGGTTCTCGAGAGACGGTCGACGTGAAGACCGCGAGAAGTGACGATCGGGAGACGAGCGAGTCGTTGGGAGCATCTCCGAAGCACGCTGAGCCTGCGATCGCGCGGAAGCCGCTCGCGCTTGCGATCATACTCCACGACACATTGACCGACGTGTCATCATCGTCATCATCACCGTCACCGTCACCGTCATCGTCATCGTCATCGTCATCGTCATCGTCATCGTCACCATCATCAAAGGAAGCGAAGGACACTTCCGTCGCACGTAACGACAAGCTTGCCGCCGATAACGCCGATAACGCAGTCATTGAACCGCTTGAAGTCAAGGACGACTCGTCGCGAAACGAGACTTCCCCGCCCGCCGCTGTTGCGAGCCTTCCTCACCCGGAAGAACTCAGCCCTCTCGTCGGCAGGGAGCAATCGATAACCGCGGAAAGGAGCGTCGCCCGACGCCGAGTTCCCGGCGCCGATCGTCCGACCGATCCGTGCGCGCTGATAACGAACGCGACTAATGAGCTGCCTGCGAGCGCACGAGACATCGACGCGGGGATCCTCGATCGCACCGTCGACGTCGAGTCCACCACAGCCGACAGAAGCGACGCAAGAGCGAGCGTTCCCAAAAATGCGCTGCACGTTTCGGAAAAAGTGGAGCAGACGATTTCGGTTACATATCGCGTGGCCGCGGGCGACGATAGAAACGGCAGCACGTCGGGGGAGAACGTGCCATTCGGGCGAAATGCAGCCGATAATTTATCCATTGTCCAGTCGCAAATCAATGAGAGTGTCCCGCCGATACCGATAGACCCGCACGCTCCAGTTGCGATGAATTGGAGCAATTTGTGCGATCAGAAGGAGGCAATCGCAACTTCCAACAGCGCGGCGGACGCTCGATCGTCGGCAGGAGCTGCGCAGGACGATCATCCAGCCGGTCAACGAGCGATCACACTCGCGATCGATCGGCCGGCAGGGCCACAGAAAACGATACCGCCTTCTCGCCCCGGCGACAGAGCCGCCGGGGTCATCGTCCACGTCAGCGAAACGTCCGAGGACTCTGAGACTGCCGCAACGGAAATATTGGGAAGCAGCGAAGCGGACTCGCTCGATCACCGTGAAAGCTCAGATCCGTCGAATGTTGAAGAGCTCGCTGGCTCCGCTGTGAGCAACGTCGAGGCGAACAACCGGGAATTCACGGACACTAATAACAACAACGGGCTGCCTCGAGGGTGCGTCGCCAGCGCTGCCGCCGCGGACTCGAGCGGGAGTGTTTCGCATTCCATCGGGCGAGTCGGGAAACTCGATCTGGGAAATGAAGTTTCCCAGCGAGCCCCCGACCACGGGAGAGGAGACGCGCGAGCGGCCTCGCCACCGGCGAGGAGAAGTATCTTGCAAGCGCTCAAAGAGAATCTCAATGTATTCTTCGCGTCGCACAGCGACGGGAGGAACACCGTCGCGATGACGGTTAACGAGCAGTCCTCCTCCCCTCCGTCGACCCCTCCTGTCGCGGCGAGTATCGGCGAGGTGACGTCCGGAACAGCTGATACCTTCGAGATCAAGATATCCGAGTCGGCCGTGATAACGGTGAACGATTGCGCGCCGATCGGCGACATCGCCAACGTCGCTGAACGTCGCCGAGAGGCGGCTAGTATCGGAGATATTGACGCGATCGACGTCTCGGCGAGAGCGGAAAACGTCGCGCCGTCGCCGTCGCCGTCGCCGCCGGAAAAGCGAGTCTCGGCGGTCGCGGCGTGTAACGAACCGTCCGAATTGCCGTCGAAATTGCCGAGTAACGACTCCACGCCGGCGGAGGAGGACCGCGCCGATCTGCGGTCGAGTCAAGGTCGTAAGAACGCGATCGCGAGACCCGTCGTAAAACCGAGATCCAGGTCTCCGGTGAAAAAAGTCGTCCGCCGAAGATCGCCTGTTAAAACAGCGAGGAGGTCCGGCGGCACTCCGTGGAGGAATTCCGCGGGGATCAGCACGAGCCCGAACAGCACGACCGTCACGAGGGCGAGGGAGACGGCCAGCGAGATCGCGGAAAAGTCGAGTCTCTCGCAGCGGACGACGAGGAACGGCGAGCCGCGAATGAAGCCTTCGAGGCCCGCGTGTATCGCGCACGATAAAGCGGACATCAAGGACAAGTCGTCGCTCGCGTCGGACAAACCGATCAAACGGCCGTTAGTCAGTTCCAGCGTGCGGAAAAGCGCGGGAGGTGTTAAGCCGAGCGACCGGAAAAAGCCTTCCGCGCTCGGCACGGAGAAAACGTCGATGACAACCGTTAACGGGACTAATCCGGAGCCGCAAGGTAAGCCGCTCGTTGCGAGGAAAGACAACGACGATAGATCGGAGACCCACAAATCCGAACGCGTCACAGTACAGAGAAACGGGGATGCTCGAGATGAGAAATCGGGCAAATCGAGAACGAAGACGAAGACGGAGACTCCCGGGAAGCGAGCGGTAAAGAAGATCGCGCTTCACGAAGCAGAAGCGAAAACCTCGAGAAATGACGGAACGCCGGTGGACGCTGCGCCGACGCAGGGCAAAACTGAAGGCAATTCGAGATCCAAAGCGACTTCACCGTCAAAAATACCCGTTTTAATGTGTCGAAAAACTAGTCAACAGACAGGCCAGACAGGCCAAACTCCCTTGTTAAGAGCCCCCCCCCAAAATTTGAGGGACACGTCAGTCCTGAAGAGTGTCTCGACCAAATTACCGGTACCTTCGCAGGTCACTTCAAGATTAACTCTGAAGATACAAAGTAAGACGCTGAGTCCTTCAGCGGCACTTTCTGCCAGCGATGGGATTAAATCCAGCACCGTGAGGGCATCGCCGATCGAAGAAAGCACGGAAGACGCTCGAAACCGGCAGATCCCGAAGGAGATCTGCACCGAGGAAGGCGGCGAGAAACAGCAAGCCGTGGAAGAGGCGGCAGCTCAACCGACAGACTCGGAATCAAAGTTAAACGAGAATTCGCGAGGGGCGGAATGGACGCGCAACGATCCGTCCGCGAATCTCGGCGAGCGAACGGAGGTCGTTGAGGACGCGATCGGGGAAAGCTCCGATCCTCTCACTTCCGACTCCGAGTACTCGGAGGAAGACGAAGACACCGGAACGGCGCGGTACATCTCCGATCGTAACTCGGAGTACAGTTCCGTCGAAGAGTTCACGGACGCGGAACTGTTGTTGGAGAAAACGTTGAGTGAGATAAGATCCGAGATATCGGAGGACGACGAGGAGGAAGAGGGAGAGAGGGATGAAGAGGAGGACGAGGAGCGAAGGAGCGAGTCCGAGGGGAGCGAGGACATCACTTATTCCTACGAGACGGAAAGCCACGATCCGAGCCGCGAGTCTTCCGTGTCGTCCGCAGGTTTAGCCGACAAACAGCGACGGATAGACTCGAGCGACTTGGAAGACTCGGCCGAGGAAGATCGGTACGAGGAACTACCGTCCGAGAGCGAAGAGACGAGCGAGCAACTCCAAGTCTCGAACAAACAACTCGAAACGAAGGAGGAAACAGTCAACGACGCGCCATGCGGCAAAGCGGACGATCCTCTTCCAAGCAAGACCCTCTTCCGCGTCTCACACGAAGCGGACAGTGACATCGAAGTGAGAACGGCAGAAGGTGAAGTGAGTAAACCGGAGCTATCGACGGAATCTACCGTTCCGCTCGCGGACTCGATTCAATCCCAAGCTACGGGAAAGGAAATGGACGAAAAAACACTGCCTGTTCCTGAAGACCTCGAGCTCACGGATTCTAATACTCCCACGACGGGCCCGAAGCTCGAGCGGCTCGAAGGAGACGTCCAGCCGCTGGAGACCAGCTCCAAGGAAAGCGAGACGAAACCCGAGGGCAAGGCCGAGCGAGAGCCTCAGAGATCAGCACCGGCCATGGGGCAAAATGGCGCAGCGAAGCTGTCGAGAGTCGCCAGCGAGAAGCGCGCCAAGATAATAAGCCGAAGGGCGAGCACGGGCAGCAGAGGGCTGAAGAGCGAGACGGACGACTCGCCCAAGGGGCCGAATCGGGCGGGCGCGCCCCGGAAACGGTTCTCCCTCGTGGCCAGCTGCATCCGTCGGTTCGAGGGCGAAGAGAGTGCCGAGAGGGCACGCGACAGCAAGGGCAACAGCAAGGTCGCTCGACGGCAGATGTGGCGCGACGACACGCGAGGATCTCCCAAAACGGAGCGGGAGGTCAGTAGTAGACGAGAGCTACCGGACTATGACACCCACCAGCACGAGAGAAACAGAAAGACCCCTTATAGACGTTTGCCAAAGAATGAAAAAAAAAAGAAAGACCCGATCGAGTCGACGAGTTCACGCCGCGAACCGAGTCACCCCGTCGAGACCTCCCGTCCCGTTGGCGGGCCAAACGTTCACGAACGACTCGAGATGCCGGACGGGAAGCGAAAGTCGAGAGCGCGAGCCTCGTCGAACGGCTGAACAGACTCCCTCGGGATACTCCAACCCCTTTGATCGTTGATCGCTGATAATGTAGCTTGACCGCGATGTAACGGGCGCGTTGAGAATCAGTGACTAACATTCCGGGCGAGGGTGAGTATCGTGTCGTCGTGACTAACTCGTCGAGACGAAGGCGAGAAGCGTGTATGTGTGTGTGAGTGTCTCCATAAAGTATGATTAATTACTTCGGATTAATTGTCACTGCGAGACGCGACAATGGAAGCGTCAGATTCCTCCTCCTCCTCCTCCTCCTCCTCTTCCTCCTATCTCAGGTGTGCGCGCCGCGCTTCCTGTTTTCGGACGCGGGGAATCCGAGACGCTCGGCGGCCCCGCAGGGCTAATTATGACCGCGTAAATTATGTATTTCGAGAGCGAGAGAAGTTTGAGAGCTCGTTTCTAGACGTTGGCGCGGCCCACCGTTCTCCCGGCCTTCGTTCTCCCGCATGATAGAGATTTTTACTTTTAAGTGTGTTTTTAAGTGGATTTTTAAGTACACTTAAAAGCTTCCGTTTCCTCATCGCAGCCGATGTCGGCGGCGAGAAAGCACGCGAGTCTCTCCCTCATCTGCACGTCGAAGTAAACCGGCTCTTCCGACGTGCTATCGTGAACGTTCGATTCGCAGAAAGAGAAATTCGTGCGACTTGCACGACTTTCCGAAAGCTAATAATCTGGTGATCATTCGGTGAACATTCGTGGAATTTTAAGCTTGCCTCGGTAGTCTCTAATTTACTCTCCTTGGGTATCCGTCCGACATCCGGCATAGCCGAAGAGAGGAAAGGTCGATAAGCCTGTTCTCGAAATACCCGCTGATTTAACCTTTAGAGGACCGGCATTTTTCCTTTAAAATTTGCAATTTTTTCGCGGAAAATTTATATATATATGTATGTAACCATCATGTCGCGTAGAGTTTTCGAGTTTATTAGTGGCTTCACTATGGGAGCCACCCCGGTCCGGAACGGAACGACCGAAATAAAAAGTTTTCAAAATTTGGATCTTGGCAAGTTATGTAGCTCCTTTGGTTTTTTTTATTTTTTGTTATTTTAAAACTTTTTTATTTTTTATATCTTTTTAAATTTTGGTTTTAAAAAATAATGAAAATTATTTTATTTCAAAAACTATTTTTCTGTATTTTTTATACTTATTTGTTACTCTTAGAGTTATTGTTATCACGCACTGTGCGCAATCGAAACTCTAATAGTATTGTGTGCTGATTTTATATAATTCTGAGAGAAAATGGGTCTATTGATAAAAAACGTATAAATAAAAACGTACTGAGACGCAAATTACTATACAGCTAAAATGTATACTGTTGTTAGTAAATGTTTATTTACAAGTAAGGTAAAAATCACACGAACACATATGCAAATATATTTTTAGAGCACATAAACATCGACATAAATGCATAAATAACTATAATATAATCTTTAAGAAAACACTGAATGCCGATTTATATATGGCTCCTATAGGAGCCACCCCGGTCGTCTAAAGGTTAATATGAGCGACAGGATAATGTGAGAGAATTCCTCATGCACGCGACGCGGCGCATATTACATCTAAAATTAATCAGCACAGCCGGAATTAGAGCATGTCGCCTCAAACCTCGAGCCGATCGCCTCGCTGTGTATCGTAGCAACGTTCACGTTCACGTGTGGAGCCAAGGACGGTCTTGCGATTCGCGCGTTTGCATCAATAGACAGCGATTCCCGACGGCTCTCCGCGAACCTTTAGACCGAGATTCGTAGACAAAGCCGCGCGAGAGATCTACCTTCCGTATGCGATATGCGGGAGTTGCACGTGTCGATATTGGCGCCCTGTTATGTTTGTCACGTGTGCAGAGAATAGCGCGTCGCCTGCTGGCGGAGGGTCGAGCGGCGAATTACGATGAGGCCGAGGTGGCCGCTAGTCTGCTGGCCCTCAAGTTCGGCGACGCCGAGGCGCTCCAGGCCGCGAAGGAATGCTCCAGCGTGGAGTCGGCCCTGGCCTTCCTGCAGCAGGAGTGCGAACTGTGCACCGGCCGTTTCGCGATGAGCCAGGTGAGAGCGTAGGTCGACTGTTCGCCGCGAAATGAGGAATCTAGAAAATGCGGCGAGAGGGAGAGGACGATGCTACGTAGCCGAAGAGCGAAACGCGCCCTGGTTAACGCGGAAATGAGAACGGGAACGCTTCTCGCGACAGCGACGTGCCGTATCTTCGACTTGTGGATTTGATCTTTCCGCGCGAAAGGAATAAAATGGCCGCGCGGGGAACGCGCTACGTGAGCGAAATTAACGATAGCGTCAGTGATAACGGCGATCGCTAATAATGCGGCGCGTTACTTCTTCGCGTCGGTATAACGATAATCGATGCGACAAGTCGAGAAGTGCGTCGAAGAGAACGGGAAGCGGACGGTAATTAATTCATTGCTCTTTGTTAACGGGGAAATGATCCTTTCGGCGGCCGAAGAATTCACTCGCTAGAAGGAAAAAGGAAAAAATGACAGTGGATGAGCCTTTTTTGCTTCGATAACACAGCCCTTCGATAACACAGCCCCGCAAAAAAAGAAAGTGGTCGGTGCCTAAAACCGGACAAGTATATTCTTATGTATTTGGATCCGCTGAATCCGAATCCGAGGTCAGAATTGGACAATTGCTAGCTTTATCGTCCCTAACCTCAAAAAGCTGATCATAACTTCACTTAACAAAATTAAACTGTATATGGTTGAATTCAGCTTAAAAAATGCTACAATTTTTGTCATTACAAAAATTTTTAATTTGCAAAAATAAAGATAATGGGAGGGGAATATAAAAAGATATAATATTTTTAAGAAATCTAACTACACAGTTGTAAGGAGCGTCAAAAACCATACAACTTTTGTCTGAGACATCTTTTTGTATTTTTTTATAGTTTTTGAAATATACTCTCTCAAAACCAGGTATACCGATATACCTTGTAAGGGCGATTTTAACCCCTAAATATGAAATTGGGCACGTATAAAAAAATACGTGTCTCTTATTTTTAGCTACTTCACAACATATAATATATATTATATTACATATTACACACCGACCACTTGTTTCTTCGTGAGGCTGTGTAATTAATCACGATATTTATGACCACCCAGATGGTGTCCATGCTGAAGTGCGTGCACCGATGCTGCAACGAGTGCGCGAAGAATTACTTCACCATCCAGATCAGCGACAGGAACATCACGGATGCCGTCTGCCCGTACTGCAAGGAGCCCAACCTCAAGGACGCGAGCGAGGACGAGGTTCTTGAATATTTCAGCAATTTGGACATCCAACTGAAGGCCTTGCTAGACCCGCCGATCCACGAGCTCTTCCAGAGGAAACTCCGCGACCGAACTCTGATGCAAGATCCGAATTTTAAGTGGTGCATTCAGGTGAGGGCACGCCCGACAGAGGTTTCCGAGTTCGCGGCAGCAGAATGTGAGAAAGTGCTAAAGCGCATTGTTTCTCGAATTTCTCTTTTTCCTCTTTCAGTGCTCGAGCGGATTTTACGCCGATCCCGACCATAAACGTTTGATCTGTCCCGACTGTCGGTCCGTCACTTGCGCCTTCTGTCGAAGACCGGTATGCGCCCACTCGTGTTTTCGCTTGTTTATGTGTATTGAATATAACGATAATAATAGTGTCTCTCGATCGTTCTCCTTTCAGTGGGAAAAGCAGCACGAGGGGATATCGTGTGAGAGATTCGCCGTGTGGAAGGACGAGAACGACCCCGACAATCAAGCCGCAGGTTTGGCCAAACACCTGGCCGATAATGGCATCGACTGTCCCAAGTGCAGGTTCCGTTACTCTCTATCTCGAGGAGGTGAGGATGCAATAACAACTATCATCCCGAGCGCGACGTCCCTGTGTGCCTTTCTGATTTCGCTCTTTACCGCGACAGATTTTTCCATCCACTTTTCGTATATTGTCAGTTTACGATCATTCTCGAAATCCCATCGAATATCAAGCGCCGACGTCGACGTGAAAATGGGCTCTCGAGTGATCGAAATATGGTCTCTCCACATATTTCTTTCACACTTTTTAAAAGCGTCATAGCATTTTTTCTCTCTTTCCTGCAATAATATCACCGAAAAGGTAGCCACCGATGTTAAAAAATAATATGTTTCGAATAAAGCTCGCCCGAGACATACACAAGGGGGGGGGGACCGTCGCTCGCCAACATTTATACGATATACACGCACCGACATGCTAATACGGGGAATTAATGAACGTCGATGCTAATTATTGTCCTGTTACATATGACTCGCGTTTTAATATCGTGTTATTTCCCGCCGACGCGCCGACGTGCGTCGGGGATTTAATACGCCGGGGCGCGCGGCATATTTTCTCTAAATTATTCGATATGCAAATCGCGCGTACATTTTTTTGACGGCGGCTCACTGAAGGAGGGCCTCGTGAATTTTCATAGGATGCATGCATTTCACGTGCAGCCAGTGTAAATATGAGTTTTGCTGCGGTTGCGGCATGGCCTTCATGATGGGGGCGAAATGCCCGGTTAGCCCTTATTGCGCCAAACTGGGTTTGCACGCCCATCATCCGCGCAATTGCCTCTTCTACCTACGCGACAAGGAGCCCGCGCAGCTGCAGCAACTGCTGCGAGAGAACGGCGTGGATTACGACATCGAGGGCCCGGCCGGCGAGCGCAAGTGCAAAGTGCAACTGCAGAAGGAGACGCCGACCGGGGTCGTGGACGCTGTGTGCAATTCCGACATCGTCGAGGGCCACGCCGGCCTTTGCAGGTGAGATCCGTCGCCGAGCCGGCGACCTCCGCGAGAAACTGTCCCTCTCGAGCTCGAAGAGATTCGCATCTCCGAACTCGAAGAATAGAAAATTCATGGACTACGATATCGGTTAAGGGGGGGATTATATGCGGAGCAGGCCGTTTTGACGCTCAAAACTATTTTTACGAATTGTTTTAACAGAAACGGTAGGATCAATGGTCTTGAAATTTTCACAGTGTATTCACATTAATGTTCAAAGTATAAAATAAATTTTATCACTACCTATATAGAAAGTACACATAAAACTTTAAACGCGTTTATCTGCAAACATTATTTTCTTAAACTGTCCACACGATTACGCAAAAACTACTGAACCGAATAACTTGAAATTTCTGCACAGTATACAATAGACATGTGATCCTCGTCTCTACCTGGAACATAGTTATATTTTATTTTATTCATTTTTTTAAACATGATTACAAGTTGACAAAAAGTTTCATTCTCGATACTTATTGTTTTACAGTCATTATTTCTCCAAACTTGGCTTCACTGCCTTCATTTTGGTACGGACTATAATGGCAACCGTATATTTTTAAAATCTTTCTCAGTTTTTAGTTTCAGCGTAGTGAGAGACCCGGAATTATGTCGACTGCAAACATAAAGCTCGCAAACGGATGACTGCATTTTTATCTATAATTACAAATTGGATCGGTTTTTGTGTTTCAATAAAATTTATTTTATATTTGACGCGAAAATTTATTTTATATTTTAGATTGAACATTAATGAATATACTATGAAAATTTCAAGTCCATTGATCCTACCGTTTCTGTTAAAAAAAATTCGTAAAAATAGCCTTGAAATCAGCCTTCCGCATGTAATTCCCCCTTAAAACAACGAAAGAGAAACATTGCGTCTCTAGAATGCGTGCCGACGAGCTCGTCATTCAATTAGTTGAGAATCAGCGATAACGATGCTCGTTGTTCACGATCGTCGCAAAAATCGCCGCGGCGCAGATCGCGAAGCATACGTTCGCTGCGCGAATACAGATTTCTATCGTTGCCGAGCATTGGAAAGAATCCAGATCGACCGAAAGACGATCGAAAGGCGCGTGTTTGAATTATTCAGAGTTAGCCGACGAGAATTTCTCACCGTCATCGTCGACTACCGCATCACGCTGTTATCCGCGTCCACCTCCTTGGCGATCGGCCTGCTTACTTGTTTGCCGATGAAGAGGAAAAGAGATCTGCCTTCTTCCGCAAATGACCGACGCTATCCGTAACTGTCCGCGCCAAATTGCCGCGGTGATTTCTCAAAATCGGAGGCGATTAGGAAGTTCCGCGCGATGAAATATACTCGCTGACGATCGATCGACCTCAGAATGTCGCTCACGCGCCGCTATCGGGATGATCGCTTCCAATCTCGAGGCGATTCCGGGCGTTCTCGAGTCTCGCGTCCGTTACGATGACGACGACGACGACGACGACGACGAGGACGAGGAGAAAAGACGACGGCGGCGGCGGAATCGCTCATCCGATCGCTAACGAGGTCCCTCCGTGTATCCCAGGATTCATTACGTCGAGTATCTAGTTCGAAAGATCCGTATGACGCGGCTGGAACCGCTGCCTTTGCTAAACATGGACGATCTCGAAACGTGCGTGCGACGCGCCGGGCTGAAATTGCCCGCCAACTGGTACGGTCGCGACCCGGAGCATTACAAGAACGACCTGGTCGAGGTAAACGCAAGGGGCGAGAACACCTGACCCGCGGGATCCGACTAAAATCTGGGTACTTTTCCCCGCAGGCAGCACTACATTGAGTACTTGGCGGGCCTGGTACTCAAGAGCAGGCTGGACCCGGTGACGATCTTTGACTTGAACGACGCCAAGCAAGAGTTGCGCCGACGGGGAAAAGTTCCCCCTGCGAAGGACCAGGAAATGTCCGAGCGAGATTATCTCGAGGCGTGCATCCAGGTGACTAACACGACATCCTCTCCTCTCCTCTCCTCTCTCTCTCTCTTTCTCTCTCTCTCTCTCTCTCTCTCTCTCTCTCTCTCTCTCTCTTTCTCTCTCTCTCTCTCTCTCTCTCTCTCTCTCTTTCTCCCCCTACTCCAGCTCAGGAGTTCGCTTCTTCTGCAGCTTTCCTTTCCTCTCTACGCCACGACGCGCTCCTCTCCCGCTGCGACCCACTGACCGGATTAACAGCAGTTGCATGATGAAAGTAGAATTCCCGCGTTGCACGAGACCCTCCCATGCCGAAAAACTGTAGAAGTGAATAAACTGCTGCGAGTAATGCCGTCGAGCGACCGCCACGTGCGCGTCACATATTGTGACTTGGTATTTCTTTATCACGATCGCTAAGGAAAATATTGTGATCATAAAAGTCTCTTAGTAATTTTAACAGTGAGAAGTCGAGGATTTTTATCAGGTACTACTGAGCCAGAAATTCATGAGCTCGACGTTGCGCCGATTCCGCATCGTGGTCGTTCGCGGCTTTCCTCCGCGACTGAACTTCGCCACTCTTCTCCTGATCCCCCGTATGAGTTTTTTCTTTTCCTCGTTACGAATATTAAAGTAGAGACACAGACGATGCATGAGCAATGTGCCGCTGGAATACATCTAGATTCCGCAGTCTCATCGTGCGTCAAGTATAAAGCGTAATCCTGATGTTGCAGGTCGTAAAACGAGAGATTCCACTGGAGTGACTGCGGCAGAGTAATCTCGAAAAGACGCGCGCTAAATCAAGCCTAAGAAAGTCACGAGTGACAGGGCATATTGTATAGCTTACTTATCTCACTTGTGTGGACCATGAGTAAAAATATAATACATAGGACCAGAGAAAGAAAGAGGGAAGTAACGCGACGCGCGAACATCGCACCGCGCACAATGCCAAAGATCTATTTATTTTCTCGACGCGACGTAATAACGCAATTTCTACGTTTTGACGCGGTAGCGTTCTATTCGCGATGGGAACATCGCGAGAGGTAGTACGTAACAGTCGAAAATGCGGAGTAAACAAATGGCTCTTTAACAACGGGTAGAATAATTACCTGTAGGAACCGCAATTAATGTTTGAAGATGTGTACTTATTTCTGCTTTATATAACTGTTTTTTTTTCCAAGAAATAGACGACAATTAAAAGAACTATGTCAGTTACGAATTTTTTCTTTCCCCTACAATCATCAGATCCCCGAAGATTAATTAAAAAATTTCAGTTTATACGCAGAAAATGTTCAACAAAATCGAAAAAAAATTCATTACACGCATTCTGGAATGTTGTAAGAATAAATAGAGCCGACTTATCTCCAAATATCAGACAGGATAATTGGAGAATTTCGATTCGAGTCCTAATAGTCGTTTCCGAATATTATCTCAATTATTTATTATCACTACGTGCATTATCGAGAAATATTACAGAATTAAATGTATTATTCATTTTAATGTATTATTTAATTCAAATTTATTATTAGTTTATCGCGATTTTTAATATAATTCCGCCAGAAAACTGTGCAAACTCTTACTCTTTGGTGTTGTCGTACTATCATTTACAATATTTCTTAATCGCGCTATATTTAACTTTTTAGCCTTTTTAGTAGAACTATTTAACGTCTTTTGGTTTTTCATTTTAGATGTGTTTACGATTGATTTCGTCAATGTTTTACCATCAATTTTCTTATTTAACGGCGACTCCGATATGCAACCTGAAATATTCAAGCCTGCGGTTTTGTCCCTATATTTCTTCTTTTTCTTCTTACGACGATTCTGTGGCACTGTGTGAGAGTCTTCCAACTTGGCTTTAATTGGTTTTAGTCGATCTTTCTTTTTAAATGGTAACTTAGTCTGCTTAGAGCAGACAGCACACTTAATAACCAATTTATTCATCTCATTTTTTATAGATTTCTGTGCTAAGGAAGCTCGTACCTTTGGAATATCCTTATCACCTTCATTCATATTCTTAACAATTTTCTTAACCGACTTGGACATTTTCCGCCCAGGTATGATCCGAGCTTGATAATTCATAGTATTCCAAAGTGATCCGCAATGTATACACATTACAGATGGCCCAAACTTTTGCTTCGGTAATTCAACTTCATCCTTGAAGTTTTTACACTTTTGCCTGAAAATATATAGAAATTAGAAATATTTTTCTATCATCAACCACATATATACTATTATTGACATATATATTAAATAATATAATTATTTAATTATTATAATCATACTAGAATAATTCTGACCTGATGCTAAGCATATGACATTATATACATTATTGCATATTAAATAATATCCACAAATATATAATATATACTTACATATAAAATGTTTGTAATTCCGTGGTAAGTGGGCACTTCAACTTTACCATAAATTGATTGACATTCCACAAGTGTGTAACAGTCTCCATAGTAAAGTGTTATAAATATCTGAAACGACCAAAATATTTTGTATATCGTAAAACATGTACACTATACTGATATTTCTATTAAATATGACAGACATTATTTAATATGTGATTATTTAATCACATCTCAATCTTATATAGTAACCATACACAATTACCACTCAACACCTTCAATTTAAAGGGATATGTTTTAAAGGGAAAAATTAAAGGATGTTTTAAATTGTCATATTATGAATTATATATAATTATATAATGTGTATCACATTTACCGTATCGTCAATCAGACGAGATAAGCACAAATTCAAATTAAATTTAGGTTTTAAGTTTGATATTCCGTTCTTTTTATATTTTAAAAATTACGAAAGCATTATAACCTATGTCAATAGACAACGATTACTAACCTTAACGAACACAAACATGATGATTATATCTTTCCACTGAACATTCCATTCTAAAATACAAAAAATGAATACTGAAATATCTTTTTTAATATAAGTTACAAAAATGACCGTTTTCTTTCCAAATTCAATAACAACAGAGAGAAACCTAAAAACAACCGACACGCCGTTTTCGGCGACACCGATTTTCCGCACTGGGAAAGGGCGCCATCTGCATCCATTTTGAGAGAGGAACTACGATGCTACATCCACCCTTCAGATCTCGGCGGTAAAACCTGCATGTGGTGGGAGTCCGTGCTACATCCGCTTTCAGGCGGTTTATGTCTGTACTACACCATAATAGCATACTTGACAAGCACGATCTCGCACATTGTTATGCGTTTGTAACATGAATTAACATGTTAACATGCGCAAAAAACAAAAGAATTATATATCTTCATTATAGAATATATTATAATAAAAATGCTGTCATATATGTATTAAATAAGTTTTAGTTCGATATAGTTTTTGGTGCAGCCGCGCCAAGATTTTTTGTATCAAATATTTTTCATTGCATTGTTATAATAATTAATTTGTTAGAATAACAAGTAAAATAACCATATAACACAGTGTTCTAATAAATAATGATAAATTTTACTTGTAAAAATTTATGTTATGGACATTTTTTGTAGCTAGGTTTTCTTGAGTATTTTGAATAACATAACCTTTAAAAAGATATCTTTTTTTAATATTGGATACTATTAACAAACATGTTAAATTTTTATAACACGACATAATTTTTACTTTTAAAAGTTTATGTACATATATTATAAAAACTTATGTTATGTACATAATATATTATATTAAAAAAAAAAAGAATTTGAATTTGAGATTTCTAAAAATATTAAGTTAAGTATACAATAATCATCATATATATGCTAGGTTTTTCAGTTGGCGCTACTGTTCTAATATATCACTTATTTTGTATGGTAGAAAAGTGTTGCAGAGTTTTATTATAGTTATAAGTTTTACTTGTAAAAACTTATGTACACATATATACGATAAAAAAAATAATTTGAGTTTGATACTTCTAAAAATAACACAATACGTGTTGCGCTTGGCGACTTTTTTTTACCTTTTTGTTTAAAAAGGTGAGTTTTATATAATATTAAATATACGTACGTTTCACGTATGACGTGATTGACTTGGAGTACTCCGTGCCCACGGTGTTATTCATAGCGACGCATTTATACTTTCCCTGATCTGTTACATCGGATTCGATAATCTGCAAGGCACCTGAAACATAAAATGTGATATTCTCGAATAGCGTTCCTCTCAGGATTTTCTTGTCCAAAAAAAGATCAATGATGCGATCGCAGATCTCGTGTATGTCATGTCAATAGAGACAGTTTGAATTCGGCGTAATATGATTCTTGGAACAGACGTAAATAAGTATTGTGAAGTTTGAAGCGAGTCTCTCACAGGCATGCTTTGAAAACACGAGTTGTTTTCATTTTCAGCTAACGGACGACGCAGGTATCAACACTGATCGGCAAGGTGGGGGGTAACCGTGCCTTCCCGATTGTTTGGTTTCGTACGTTTATATGACTCCGTGATTCCGGAAAGGACATTGCGCCTCGGGCCGACGAACGACGCGCATACCGCGACGCAGAGTAGTACGAGTATCGGTTAATACGCGTTTCTTTATCCGAATCTTACTTGCGCGAGTGTTAGAATTAGAGTCAGTGTTGTCGCCAGTGCTACGATGGAGTATCCGGGGATGCTGCGACGGAGGACCAGAACCAGAAGGAGGACGTCGGATCGAGAAGTCAGGATGGAGAGAGGACTTGGAGCGCGCCGAGAGACGTAGCCGAGGACAGCGATACATCATGTATGGTATTCGAGGTATCTCGAGTCATTATTATTACGCAGGATTTTTCTGATTTTAACGGACCTTACTCGAAGTAAGGATATACCCGAGTCGAAATTAGATCAGTATTCATAGTTTATTATCTGAAAAATGATAAAATAGCTTGAGATTTGATTATTCGTTAACCTAATTTCACGTAACATGAGTTCTACTTTTCTTTTCTCATAAAATATGAATGTCTATTCAAGCAAGGTTGCTGAGGCAAGCTAAGGTTTATGAATACAAATTTTTAATTATGTTCTCAATAAAAAGTTGCACATAATTTAGAAAACTATGAATAATGATCTTAGAATCTGATATAAATTTTACAAGTGTTGATTTTTATTCGTCTAATAATGCTCAGATTGATGTTTTCGTTTAGAATCTGCTAGAATGTCCGTTTCTCATTCTTGTTTATCTTTCTTATTGTACTTATTGAATCTGAATTAAAATCTCTTTTAGTGAAACAGCATTATTAGACATAACCGTTGTCTTTGCCTTTGCAGCTTCAGCTCTTTTGAGAGCTACAGTTCTCATCATTCTCATTAGAAAAAAGAAAAGAAAAAAAAAGAAGGAAAAAGAAAAAAGAACTTTAAGAATGATGAGAATAAAAAGTGTTTTTCATCTCCCATTTCCTCTAATTCTTATATGATTATTTAATCCTTATATATTTATCTCACGCGCAGTTCTAACAAAGGTAGTTCTATTTACGTTTTTATCTTTGTTCTCTTTCTTGCGCTGTTAAGCGAATATATAATCAAAATCAACAAAAATTAAAAATTGCTCATTTAAATTAAGAATATAAGGATTAAGTACATATACATTATCGAGATAAACGAGTATTAAATAACTGCGGAATACGTCGCTGTTGAAGACTCATCCATGGGCGAGACTGCGAGAGTAGCCAGATGTAACGTTCAGGTAGGACAAAGCTTGTTCACTATTGCGCATCTAGATATTATGCATTGATTTTTCAAATTGGATTCAATTTGCAGGATTAATGTAGAATTAATATTTCGACTCGAGAAAGACTTTTTTTATCAAATCCTAACTTGTAGAAAACTATCGATTTGAATGTCGGCAAGAAAAAAACGGAGTTAATTTGTTGAATAAATTAGAGGGGTAAATACCTGAAAAATGAGAAACGAATGAAAAATGAGAACGAATTGTCATTGCACTTGGACAATCTTCTGATATTGATTTATGGTATTGATCGATATTCGATTTTCGGTACTGATTTACTCTTTCATTTCTCTACAAGAAAAAGAAATTGATACGACACGTTCATTTATCCGCGTTAATTTGATGAATAAATTAAATATTGATCGGTCTTCAATTTTTGGTACTGACTGATTCTCTAATTTCTTTATAAGACAAGAAAAATTAATACGAATCGTTCTTTTATCCGACTTAATTTGTTGAGTAAATTAGTGGGGTAAGTACCTGCAAGATGAAAACAACTTGTCATTGCACTTGGACAATTTTCTTGACATTGATTTATGGTATTGATTAGTCTTCGGTTTTCGGTACTGATTTATTTTCTCATTTTTTTATAAGACAAAAAAATTGATACGATTCGTTCGCCTATCCGAGTTAATTTGTTAAATAAGATTAGAGGGGTAAGTACCTGAAAAATGAGAACAAATTGTCATTGCACTTGGACAATTTTTTGACACTGATTTATAGTATTAATCGATATTCGATTTTCGGTACTGATTTAGTCTTTGATTTCTCTATAAGAAAAAAAAAATTCATACGAATCGTTCATTTATCCGCGTTAATTTGATGAATAAATTAAATATTGATCGGTCTTCAATTTTCGGTACTGATTTATTCTCTCATTTCTTTATAAGACGAGAAAAACTGATACGAATCGTACGTTTATCCGAGCTAATTTGTGGAATAAGATTAGAGGGGTAAGTACCTGAAAAATGAGAACAAATTGTCACTGCACTTGGACAATTTTTTGACACTGATTTATGGTATTAATCGATATTCGATTTTCGGTACTAATTTACTCTTTCATTTCTCTATAAGAAAAAAAAATTCATACGAATCGTTCATTTATCCGCGTTAATTTGATGAATAAATTAAATATTGATCGGTCTTCAATTTCCGATACTGATTTATTCTCTCATTTCTTTATAAGACGAGAAAAATTGATACGAATCGTACGTTTATCCGAGCTAATTTGTTGAATAAGATTAGAGGGGTAAGTACCTGAAAAATAAAAACAAATTGTCACTGCACGTGGGCAATTTTTTGACACTGATTTATGGTATTAATCGATATTCGATTTTCGGTACTGATTTACTCTTTCATTTCTCTATAAGAAAACAGAAAATTAATACGAATCGTTCATTTATCCGCGTTAATTTTTTTTTATTATATATAAGTGGTCCATGGGACGATTAAATATTTGAATACATGTTGCCATATCAAAGTCTCCTCTATAATAAACGATTTGACACGTCTGGAGACGCATGATGTATCCATTGCCCGCATCACATTCCCTTCGTCCTGCTTCCCTGTATAAAATGTCGAATTGAAACGTATTAAAAAGTATTGACATTTTGAATATGTCTGAATTCTGAATCTTTTTGGTCCGAAGAAAAGAATTGAAAAGTATTGGTTCCCATTAAATTTTACTGTGCTAAATGCGAGACGGTCTCTTTCGCCCGGGTGTCTCACCAGGGAAATTTCTCTGGTACGCTAAATCCCGTAAGGCCATCAGTCTTTGTAGCATATCTTGTCGGTGCATAAGGTTTATATTACCTGTACATACATATTTTGAAACATTTTCTTTGGATATTATATCCCTTTTGGATATTATATCCCTAACGGATTTTGAATGTCACGTAATATCCTTCGGACTACACGGACATTATTATTTTAATCATTTTGATTTCTTTGGTATTCATTGAACTATCCAGAACGCGCAATTGCCATGTTGGACGACTCAATTGTCGTGTGAAATGTTTCGATTTTCACAAATTCATATAAAATTTTTCATTTCTCACTGATTCACAGAAGTCTTTCACTTTTTATTAGTTCACGCTAGGGAAAAGATTCATGATCGCTGCCACGAGCAGCTGCAACGCTTTTCGTATCATCTATGTCGGCGCGCTTTTACTCCTCAGATTTCTGTCATTAATAACTCGATAATTATTGTGAATTTCGCAAAATGGTATGGGACTTTTATGTTTGTCTCAACCCAATCTACCCTCACACTTCGGGTTGGCAGCTAATTACCGGACACTTCGTATGATCTTCATGATATTAATCATACACAATGTCAATTCTGTTTTTTGCACATGTTAACATGTTAATTCATGTTATAAACGCGTAACAATGTGCGAGACCGTGCTTGTCTAGTACGCTATTATGGTTGTAGCATAGACATAAACCGCCTAAAAATTGATGTAGCACGGACTGCCACTGCATACAGGTTTTACCGCCGAAACCTGAAAGTGGATGTAGCATCGTAGTTCCCCTCTTAAAATGGATGCAGATGGCGCCCTTTCCCAGTGCGGAAAGTCGGTGTTGTCGAAAACACCGTGTCGGCCGCTTTCACGTTCCTCTCTGATAATACACTAGACTGCTAATAGCGTCCCTTTAAAGCCCCTTGCACAATGCCAGGCAACAGGCAATAAGAATAAAAATAGACCAATCGCAATAGATAATTTTTGTAATAGTTGATTGTGATTGGTCTATTTTTATTCTTATTGCTTGTTGCCAGCATTGTACAAGGGGCCTGACTGTTGCCAAAAAGTATGTACGACTTGCGCAGAATACGGACTAAGAGATGCGCAGTAAACAGCTTTATATACTTCTGTAGGCGCGCTACCGTTTCGGCATGTTTTGCTGTATTTATTTACAATTTATATAAAAATTTAGTAACAAAATTTTATAACTTCACATACCATATATATATTTTTCATGATCACGCGCACACACATGAGTATTTGATTACTTACCGTACATAATTTTACCAATATTATTTTTCGCGATACGTATTTTTTTCTTAATTATAACTGATATTAAAAACTTGTATCACATTCTGGTTTATTACAATGGCAATTACATATACGTGTGTCACTTCGAAAAGTTAGAATCGCGTCCGTATTTTGCGCATCTGCTTCGCGCATTATATGTACGTAGGCAACACTTATACATAAGGACCCATATTCAGAACATGCTTACAACTATGTTAGTGCGCTGTTAACTAATCAGAAGTCATATTGCGTGGCTTTTCATTGGTTAACAGCGCGCTGACATAGTTACAAGCGTGTTCTGAATATGGGCCAAGGAGAACAATAGGAGTTAGCAATCTAGTGTATTATATAGAAGCTTGTGCTTGTAAGGGGAAATAGAGTGAGCAAGAACCGTGCACGCTTTGCCGTTATCGTCAGGACAGATGTAGTGTGCACACATTTTCTCAGGGTGCGCGTCGGAATTCAGCAGAAGAAGCGTCCCGGCGTAATGGGGAGTATGTATCTAGTCGACACAGCACGATTGGACACAAAATAAATGATTGGTTTGATCTAGTAATTCACCAGATAATACTTTGCATCGGTTGATTGTGTGCAATCGTGCTGCGTCGAATTGTTGGGTGCTTCTCGTAACCGGCCTGGTGGCCGCTCTCAGGTTCCCCTCTGCTATAATATACATGACACAAACTATGTATTTTCAATTCTATATACTGGCAGTGAATATCGGAACGCAGCCTATGTAGATTAACAAGACGAATTAAAATATGCCAGGAGAATGGCGTTGGGGCCACAGATGTCTATACTATACTAGATACCTAACTTCGAGCTTTGGCCTATACGAAGGCTGTGCCGAGCGTATTTTCCGGTTTGGCCATGAAGACCGCCAAGACATGGCGGCGGTGTATGCTTGTAGTGTGTACGTGACTACCCGATGCGTATGTAGTAGTATGTATGTGATACTTGATATGTTCGTATCTACTGCTATTAATATTATTAAAACTGTAAATCTACAAACGAAATAATGCCGAATAAGTGTTGTAAATTGCAAAAGTACGAATAAGAAAGAACATCATTTAAAGATGTATGTATTAATAAGGTACCGTTTATCTAAATGTTTTGTACAGGTTAAAATTAAATTAAATACATATAGTTCAAAATATGTCAAAGTATTTGTATTAATATTTCTTACATACATATAAAGGATAAAATATAACTTATATGTTATTAAATAATATTAATTTTGTAAATTTGTGTCTATTACTTGCAGGATTTTTATCTTTCATTGTTTTTGTCAGTAAATACATTCTAAGTGTTAAGTATTTATGACAAATAATATTTATTAATTCAAACGGTGTGGCCTATCTGTACCTATCTCAAATCCTTCGTAGCACTCAGAGTGAGTAGGAAATAAATTCGTGTCTAATGCATATATGCGTGTAACTCGACAAATTATTTTACCATATGCATCTTTTGGTAGCTTATTTACACTTTTTCTTAATAACTGACATTCTTTTTCGGTTGCACGGACAATTTTATATACATCATTTGATGCGTATATTAAACTTCCCTTATCTTTTATATCTATTAACATAGTGTATGACGAAATATTATGTTGCTTATCGCTGACTTCACTGATGGTGTTGGCAATGCAGTCTTTACACATTAATGTACGAATAATTGTTTTGATTATGAAACCTGCCATATAATATAAAATGTTGTCTTTGAGGGAACTACTTTCACTCACAGCGGCATTATGATCTAGGTCTATATCTTCATTTTCATCATATAAATCATCATACATCTCATAATCTGTCAATCTATCAATGTTATCGTGCCAATTTTGAACATACTTTTTCTTTACCCATTTTAATTTGAATTGTGCATTGTTTTCTATATCAAAACTGACACAATTAACTGTATCTGATGCTGAATCGAATTTTTTACCAGTAAACTTTTCATAGCAGCTTTAAATTGCAACACATTTGGTTAGGTAAATAAGTGATAAGTGATCTTATGACTTAAATAAGTGATATCCGTTTTTATTTGTATTATTGCAATTGACAATGCAAGGTAAATGTGCAGAAAACGGGCCTCCTCACTAAATCGAATAAAACTTTGTCATATTATGTATTTCGATGCATAGAATACAAAAATGAAAGTTAGAAACGTCGCTCTGCAACAGGACGAAAGATATAACGCGTTAAAGATTGACACTTTTCGGGGTTAATAAATCTGTCATGTCAACGATGCACTGATAGAAGAGCATGCGCAGTAACATGTGGTTTGTTCTTTTTGGTTGCATTGGGCGTTTATATCAATGTACATCAGTTCAGCAGCTAAAGAGAATAGACCATAAGAGCGCGATTGTACACATACACACACACCGAAGGGGGGGGTGCGGGGGGGCCTTCGGCTCCCTCACCCGCACCCCCCCCTCGAGGGTCGGCGGGTGCAACTCGCTTATTGCGACTTTGCACGTGAAGCGAGTTGCAGTTGCCTTCGGCCCCCCCACCCGCACCCCCCTTCGGTGTGTGTGTGTGTACAATCGCGCTCTTATGGTCTATTCTCTTTAGCTGCTGAACTGATGTACACTGATATAAACGCCCAATGCAACCAAAAAGAACAAACCACATGTTACTGCGCATGCTCTTCTATCAGTGCATCGTTGACATGACAGATTTATTAACTTCGAAAAGTATCAATTTTTAACGCGTTATATCTTTCGTCCTGTTGCAGAGCGACGTTTCTAACTTTCATTTTTGTATTCTACGCATCGAAATACATAATATGACAAAGTTTTATTCGATTTGGTGAGGAGGCCCGTTTCCTGCACATTTACCCAATGCAACATGTACTTGGCATTATCTCGTTTGTAGATTTACAGTTTTAATAATATTAATAGCAGTAGATACGAACACATCAAGTATCACATACGTACTACTACATACACATCGGGTACTCACGCACACACTACAAACACACACCGCCGCCATGTCTTGGCGGTCTTCATGGCCGAACTGGAAAATACGCTCGGCACAGCTGTTTTTAGAAGTTAGGTATCTAGTATAGTATAGACCACAGCTCGGCAAACTTTACAACTTTCGGCCGATTTTCGGAAGGTACGCCTTCTACCTCCCTTTATCGCGCGGCGGATCCAGCAACTGACGGTCGCCGCTCGCGACTTCAGGACCGTTGAAATCATAAGGCGCATCTATGTGGTTTAAAAAAAAAACGCGTCGGCAATAGTACCTCATGGGTGACGAGGAAACCTATTATGTTACCTTCTAATTATAAAAATATAAGAAAAAAAAATATATATATATACTTATACAAGTATATATTTGTACATATTTGTACGAAATATTATACATATAGTTGTATCGATACATTTATTTTTCAGCCTTTGCGTTAAAGGAGCGCGTTGTCAACGTTAACACGTTATTCTATCTTTATCGCTCATTACGTGTACAAGGATTGAATGACGCGTTAGCGCTGATCGACGTGCTTCCCGAACGCATCTTTAGTAGGCACCACATAGGCCGATATTTATAGTCGGATCTTATATTTAAGACCGTCTCAAGTTCATCTTCAGATGCTGTGCAAATTATTTCATTGGCTACTGTGTATCTGAAGATGAACTGTAGATGGTCTTAAATATAAGACCTGATTATGAATACCGGCCATAGATGCGCCTTATGATCTCAACGGTCCTGAGGTCGCGAGCCGTGACCGTCAGTTGCTGGATCCGCCGCGTGGTAAGGGGAGATAGAAGGCGTGGCTTCCGAAAATCGGCCGAAAGCCGAAAGTTGTAAACTTTGCCGAGCTCTGGTATAGACATCTGTGGTAGGGGCGTAGGGGCTTACTCCCACAGGCTCAGAGCCATCTATTGAAGGAAGGAAGGAATTAAAATATGTGTACCACACATGGCGGGAAAACTGCGTCCCTTTGTTAGATGTACGTATTCTTAATTTATGTTAATTATTATTTTATATTACGAGTAAAATATTATTTCTGCAATTCAATGTTTACTTTAATATGATACAAAATTTTTATTTTAGATTTTGCATGTGAGGATAGATATCGTGATATCAACATTGTGTTAACAAAGGATTAAGTTTTAAGTTTTAAGGATAAATTTAAGGCTCGCATACAATGATAGCGATTATGTTAACTGTCTTCTACGGAATACATACTGACAATAAACTTGCACACAAGGTTCTGTCAAAGTTCCTCTCACGGAATTTTAATGCCCTTACTGTGGATACTTGAGTGAATAATCCATTGTGTGCTTGAATGTTGCTTACTTTATTCTAAGTGTTGAATAATTTAAACATTGTCTCAGAGCAACAATAACTGAAAATTTATCCTACTTTTAGTATTCTACTTTACTACTTCAAGATTATACAGTTCTGAAATCTGGACTCTGACACACAGAAAGATAAAAAAGAAGCTAGCTGCTTATCACATCAAGTAGGATTGCACAAGTAGATTCCAATGTTTAGTATTCTGGGAAGAATGACACATAGTATCTCTATGTCTACTCATATGAATACATCTTATGAGGTAAATATTTTAATGTATATATCAGGCAGTTATTTTATTTATTTAGATAGTTGTCAAATTTTCTGATATTTTAATATTTCACTTTAAACTTTACTAAAGTTTTAAGATCCTAAATATCTTTATCAGTTTAGTATTCTGAAAAGAATGACACATAGTATATCTACATCTCGCTCTACTCATATGGGTACAACTTATGAGGTAAGTATTTTAATATATTAGGCAATCATGTTAAACATTCTGATATATTAATATTTTATCTTCAATTTTTTTACTATAGTTTTAAAGTCTTAAATATCTTTACCAGTACAGGAAGAGGACAGTTTATTTTGAAAGTGACATGTGGCAAATCTTGAATGAGTTATATAAAATATTACTCAGCATTTAATTGTATTATCGGAATTATCATTTTGTCTAAAGAATTAGCTTATTACAAAAACTTTAAGGTATTGGCTTATAGCCAATATAAATATGTAAAGAAATATCTTGTAAATAGAGTGTTTCTTTTTACAGGAAGCTATAAAAGCATTATGTCTCACTCTGCAAAGCAATGCTGCGTACTTGCAGTCTGTCCAACAACATGTTACAAATGATCCTAATAAATTAAAAGATACAGAAAAATATTTACTTAGGTAATATCACAATCTTAATAATTAGCTTCCAATTTTTCGATAGAATTATATCTATAGTTCTATCCAATATAATTCTATCCAATTAAGCAGTCTAAATACTATCTATCTATTATACAAATCCTATTCTATTATTTAAATCCTAGTCTATTATATAAGAAATTTATCAATGTATGCAAAAAGATTTGAACAACTTCGGTAATAATTGATTTCTGTCATTGTAGTTTCAAGCTATATACAGGGTGTCTCATAACTAACCTGGCAGAGCTCGTGGAGACATAGAGCGGGTTAAGACAAATATAAAAGTCCCATACCGTTTTGTGAGATTCGCAATAATTATCGAGTTATTAATGACAGAAATTAGAGGAATGAGCGCGTACCGAAACGTTATGGGAGGAGCATCTAGCCGCTCAGGCTAGAGAGCACTGCCCAGTCGACAAAGGAACTGTTGCCGGCGCGCGGCGAGGGGAAGGACAACGCGCCAATGTTTATGTCCTTACCTCGCCGCTCCTACATCCCGCCGCACCGCGTCTATGCTCGCGCCGAAATGGCCGCTGAATATTCGCGATTACAATTACGAGATTATTTTATGAGGTACCACAGACAGCTCATATTGAATTATAAAGTTCAAGGTTCAAAAGTTCTTTGATCAAGGAAAACATCGAAAAGGAGAAAGCGATAGAGAACGATGAGATCTACAGAAATTCTCATTGTTTTCTATCGCAATCTATCGTTTTGCTGCATCGGATCCGAAAGAAATGATATCGCGTAAAGACAGAGTACGATGAACACTTTTCATCGTACTCTATTGTACTCTATCGTTAGGAGAATATTTAATTGTTAGAGTATGATATCGTTAGATATTGTTAGAGTATGAATTCGCGTAGAGACTCATCGTGTCCTATCGTTTTATTCAAGTCTACACGGAAAATATGTTTGGTTGAATGAACCAATTTTCTGACGAAATGAGAGAGAGAGAGAGAGAGAGAGAGAACGATTAAGAAATTTCGATTGAAAATAGCACAATTTTGTTTAAGTTAACCATAAACCTTGATGAATTAGACTCAGTGTTAATATTTTCAGTTAATATTTCTCTGTATCGTTCATATTTCATTTGCAAGCTGTATCATGGACCAAACATTTTTATCATATATCGTGCATAAATTGTTGTCTTATATCGTAATTCTTGTCAGTGGTATATTAACGACAGAAGAAACTGGAAATTCTGTATCGTACAATTGCGAAAAGAGGACCATCGTTGTCAATGGTGCACCAACGATACTCGGCATAAAATTGATTCCTAGTATAATCGCGATACAACGCAAATCCGAGTGGGTTATTTTGACACGCATAAATGTATGATTGATTGACGCTTTCTTTACACGTTTCTTGTCGTTGAATCGTGCAAAAAAAACATTTTATAGTTAAATATTTCACGCATCTCCCTAATTTTTTAATAAGATATCAAAGGAGAACATAAAGAATCAATCGTTAATTCACAATTCCTAAAGTAAGAAATGACACGAAACGACAAGAAATCCGATGCGATAAATAATAAACTTCCGAAAGGCATTATTTTATTTATTTTATTAAAAAATTAGGGAGATGCGTGAAATATTTAACTATAAAATGTTTTTTTTGCACGATTCAACGACAAGAAACGTGTAAAGAAAGCGTCAATCAATCATACATTTATGCGTGTCAAAATAACCCACTCGGATTTGCGTTGTATCGCGATTATAGGAATCAATTTTATGCCGAGTATCGTTGGTGCACCATTGACAACGATGGTCCTCTTTTCGCAATTGTACGATACAGAATTTCCAGTTTCTTCTGTCGTTAATATACCACTGACAAGAATTACGATATAAGACAACAATTTATGCACGATATATGATAAAAATGTTTGGTCCATGATACAGCTTGCAAATGAAATATGAACGATACAGAGAAATATTAACTGAAAATATTAACACTGAGTCTAATTCATCAAGGTTTAACTAATTATGGTTAACTTAAACAAAATTGTGCTATTTTCAATCGAAATTTCTTAATCGTTCTCTCTCTCTCTCTCTCTCTCTCTCATTTCGTCAGAAAATTGGTTCATTCAACCAAACATATTTTCCGTGTAGACTTGAATAAAACGATAGGACACGATGAGTCTCTACGCGAATTCATACTCTAACAATATCTAACGATATCATACTCTAACAATTAAATATTCTCCTAACGATAGAGTACAATAGAGTACGATGAAAAGTGTTCATCGTACTCTGTCTTTACGCGATATCATTTCTTTCGGATCCGATGCAGCAAAACGATAGATTGCGATAGAAAACAATGAGAATTTCTGTAGATCTCATCGTTCTCTATCGCTTTCTCCTTTTCGATGTTTTCCTTGATCAAAGAACTTTTGAACCTTGAACTTTATAATTCAATATGAGCTGTCTGTGGTACCTCATAAAATAATCTCGTAATTGTAATCGCGAATATTCAGCGGCCATTTCGGCGCGAGCATAGACGCGGTGCGGCGGGATGTAGGAGCGGCGAGGTAAGGACATAAACATTGGCGCGTTGTCCTTCCCCTCGCCGCGCGCCGGCAACAGTTCCTTTGTCGACTGGGCAGTGCTCTCTAGCCTGAGCGGCTAGATGCTCCTCCCATAACGTTTCGGTGCGCGCTCATTCCTCTAATTTCTGTCATTAATAACTCGATAATTATTGCGAATCTCACAAAACGGTATGGGACTTTTATATTTGTCTTAACCCGCTCTATGTCTCCACGAGCTCTGCCAGGTTAGTTATGAGACACCCTGTATAACAATAGCTATTTCCACAGATCTGGTATAACTCTAGAGCAACTGGATAGCCTATCCTTTATTCATGTGGCTGGCACTAAAGGTAAAGGCACGACATGTGCGTTCATGGAGGCTATTCTACGACAGTATGGCTTTAGCACAGGTTTCTTCAGCTCACCACACCTGATCTCTGTACGGGAACGCATACGAATAAATGGCGAGCCGATCAGCCAAACGTACTTCGCGCGTTCTTTCTGGAAGATTTACAGTCGTCTGGAACAGCATCGCGAGCACGACTCGGACATGCCGACGTACTTTAAGTTCCTGACAATCCTCATGTTCCACGTATTCCTAGAAGCGAACGTGGACGTGGCGATCGTTGAAGTCGGGATAGGCGGCGAGCTAGACTGTACCAATGTCCTGCGGAAGCCAGTCTGTGTAGGCGTGACGAGCCTGGGCCTGGAGCACACGTCGTTGTTGGGAAACACTTTGGAGGAGATCGCCCATCAGAAGTCGGGAATCTTTAAACCAGACGCAGCAGCCTTCACCGTGCCGCAAGCGGAATCCGCGATGCGCGTTCTGCAACAACGCGTCATCGAAAGACGGTGTCGCAGCTTGAAAGTTGTTCCCGCGATCCAGAATAAAAAATGGAACGAGATTTTTTCATCAACAAATATCATCAGCGATGTGCAGCGACAGAACGCCTCATTGTCGATCCACATGGTCCTCGAATGGATGAAATCGCGACACGATAAGTTGTCATCACTAATCATAGACAACGAATACAATGATACATTTTACAAGCATCAAAATGATAAAGACGAGTTATCTAAGAATATTTCTTTAGAGAAAGTTGCGATGGCATTTGCGAATTGCAAGTGGCCTGGTCGAACGCAGATCCTGAAAACCAGCGTGGCGGACTTCTTCTTGGATGGCGCTCACACTGTCGAGAGTATCGTTCACTGCATATCTTGGTTCAAAAGAACGAATCGCGGAGCTTCTAGCAAGTTCTTGATATTCAACACCACAGGCGACCGGAATTCGTTCGAGCTTTTGAAGCTGTTGGCGCCCTTGAACTTCGACAAAGCTTACTTCACGCCCAATTACGCCGGAGTAGCCAACGTCGAGAATTTATCCGATTACGCGATGACATACGACCAGAGAAAAAAGTGCAAGAAACACTGTGAACAATGGGGCAAAGACTCGATATTGAAAAACAGCGTTGCTGAGGTGCTCGTCGATATCAAAAGGCACGTGTCGTCGCAAATGACTAATGAAGAGAAAGTGGAGGTACTTGTCACAGGTTCCTTGCACTTGGTTGGCGCATTATTGACCATTTTGGATCCTAACTTGACGATGAACAGCGACTTTTGATGTAACGTAACGTAAGCGAAATTATTTGTCATAGTAAGCGCAAATACTACTTATTTGACGGTTCTTCGTTTTTCAAGGTTCAAAATTGTTTATATTTTACTTTATACTTTTCTACATATTGATCTATTATTGTAGCTAATAAGAACTTCAAAAGATTTTTTGAGAAAAACTTTGAGGATAAATTTTTCATAATTTTGCAGAGTTTATCTGTTAATGATAAAATGTTGACTTTCGATGATCTTGTAAAAAAGAAAATTCCGTATAACGTAACCGTGGAAAAAAATTTTGTCGTAAAAAAGATCTGAAAGATATTAATATATTTAGGGACATGGTGTATCATACTTGAGGGTATAATGCACTAATGAAAGTATGAGGGTAGTCCCAGAAGTACCTGACCTACCAAAGAAAACACAAAAAATTTGGGAAAAAATATCTTTATTTCTCTACATAGTCTCCTTTTAGCTCAATATACTTTTCCCAGCGATGTTCAATAGCTTCGATCCTGTTTATAGTGGGAATCGTCGAGCTCCTCAAAATAGCCATCAAGCCACCTTGGTCCATTGTTTTGACTGTTCCTTCATCTCAGGTGTGAAGTAATGGACCCATGTTTCATCCATGGTTATGAATCGACGCAAAAACTCGGCTTTATTGCTGCGAAACTTCGCCAAACACTCGATTGAAATATCCTCACGACGCTGTTTTTGTTCCAATCGCGGCATCCATATTGCGCACAGCTTTCTCATGTCAAAATTTTCAGTCAATATGCGATATATAGCACTTTTTGAAATGCCTACCATGTCTGCTAACTCGCGCACTTTCAATCGACGGTCATCCAATACCATTTTGTGGATTTTCTTCACCATTTCTGGCGTAGTCACCTCATTTGGTCGACCACTGCGATGTTCGTCTTGGCAGCTCGTACGGCCTCGTTTAAACTCTGCCATCCAATATTTTACTGTTATAAACGAAGGAGCAGACTCCTCCAGAGTAGAATCTAGCTTCGCTTTGATATTGGTTGGATTGAGGCCTTTCAAATGAAAGAATTGTATCACATAATGATGACCAATGTTTTCCATGTTTACAAATTCGCTGAGAGCGTTCACTATTGATGGCTGCCAAACAAATACTAAACAACGTAGCGTCGTCAAACTTCAAACTTAAACTTTATAAGGTTGGTACTTTTTACCATAGTCATTCTTTTCAAACAACAACCACTATCTATACGTCAGGTCAGGTACTTCTGGGACTACCCTCGTAACTCTTGTTTTTAGAAATCGTAGAATTATATATTTAATAGTATCAATAGCAAAAAACAATATCGTTTGTTATACAAGAACAACGTACATGTCGCACTGTTACGTAATTTCTGAGCGACGTTCCGGTAACTATGTTACAACAATAAGTTTTGTACTTCGATACACATCAATTGCTCGTAGTGCGAATGTGTGTACTCAACGGTAAAATTATGCGTTATTCGCAGGAACATACAGATTTGTGCTAAATGGCAGATGTGTCAGTCACAAACGCGAATCTCAATAGCTACTCAAAAGATCTTTGGATGGTATTCTAATTCCGACTCCGCTTCGGTGTCGGAGAGGCTAAGCGAGACACCAGTCCTTCTTCTCAGGCGATTGTCCTCAGGACTCTAAAATAAGACAAAGCGTAATAGAAGACGTAAGTTATCTCACAGATTAAACGGTTAATGAGAACGTTTACTTAATTATTATGTATGAAACAATTGAATATTAATGTTTAAATAAAGATTTCATTTATTATATTCAATATTTCATTGGAATTCTGTAAGATCCTTCATTGTTAAGCAATCGACTCAAACAAGAGGAAAGTAATCCAAATTCGACTTCTGGTCAGAGAAATTTCTTTAAAGATAGTATTGTTTTTGCGATGGGAAAGGAGAAGATTCATTTATAGAAATTCCTTTGACTCGATATTTGCCGTAAATACGACGACGAACTTTACAAATAATGAATATAATAAGAATAATAATTATTGTCTTGATAATTTACCTGATCTAAGATACCGGCAGTGGGTTCAGACGCATATCCTACTTCCTGTGCATCTTCTTCCAAGTCGGCCTCGTACTCCTCCAACTCGTCCGAGTCGGAGTCTATGTCGAGATCGAGGTATCGGTTGCCGCGTGAGACTTTGCACACCATCTGCGCGAGATCGGTGAAAGTGTACGAGGAGACGGACTGTTGATTCGCCGCTTGATTTTTCGCTCGCATAGCTCTCGCATTCTCTCGATCTGCATTGAATCGAGGCAGAACTCCAGCTTTCGACTGGCCCTCGAAATACGTTTTACCTGGTGAACGCAATAAGGGTAAATTATACAATTTTGTATTCTCTGTATAGGTCGACTCGATAGCCAGATACAGGAGATGTCTCACCGTGTTGGTAGCCCACATCCTTGATTTCGTCGAAATTTGCGAACTGGAGGGTTTTATACTTGTCGATCGGCGGCCTGATATACTCGCAGTAATCCGAACTTTTCACTTCCTCCAGCTGGCGGACGCAACTCACGTACGCCAATCTGGATTGAATGTCCGGCAGATTCGGCACCTTCACCGGCGTGGCGAATGGATTCCAACGTTTCCACAGCAGCCACCAGCCGGACAGTGAGTCCCCGTAATTCGTCAGATCAGTATCATCTTGTGAGCCAACGTCGATGGCCAAAATGTGATGCGCTCCTTGGCGTAGCATTTCGTCAGCTTGAACATGAGGAATGCATGAATCGAGAACGCAGTTGTCGGCTGAAAATTACTACGTTCAAGCCTCAATGCACACTCTAAAGGGTTACTCTAGTGTGAGATGAAAAAACACAAAACTATGACGGCTAATTTTTCAGTGCTGATGTACACGATAGTATCGGAAGTTTCGCTTGGTATTTCTATGAAACGTCGGAAACTTATTGATATATTGTTGACTGTGATACCACGACATGATATTGCGATATGAGAATATCGCAGATTGTAACAATGAGAGATTACAATTAGGGTTAACAGATAGAAACAATAGGGAAAGCGAATACCTGGTACGTTATTAACATAACACCCGTCGACCAAAAGGTGCCCGTCAATGGGGTCGCAAATGGGAGGAAAGACTCCCGCGATACTCATACTGCCGCGAATGTATCTCCATAGTAAACCTGAGCCGACTTAGCTATTCAGAATTTGATAAATTCATCTTTCATCAACGGGAGTGAGCTTGACACTTCTCGCGACTTCGTACGACAAGATGAGCCGATCAACAAGAGGTGTGCAACATGACAATGTAACGTTAACAGAGTTCGAAAATAATCCACATTGTGCCAACATACGTATATAAAACATATATAGGGTCTAATTAAAACCAGGTATCCAACACAATCAAGAAAAGAAGAAAAGAAGCACTTAATTTGTACCACGAGACAGGAGAGACGTGTTCGCGTGCGCGCGCTTGAGAGAGAGAGAGAGAGAGAGAGAGAGAGAGAGAGAGAGAGAGAGAGAGAGAGAGAGAGAGAGAGAGAGAGAGAAAACTCTTTTCATATATTGCCAAATTAAATAATATCAGATGAGTTTTTGACATACAAAATTGTGATAATTCTGCCAAAATTTTTATAAATTGTCAAAATATATAAATCTTTTTCAGCGACAGTTTTCACATAAAGATTTTTCTCATTAGATTCTACATCGATCGCGCGTTAGGAGCACAATATTCGTACGACAATGCGATCTGAATTACCTGGAAGGTTATTGACGTACCCGCCGTCGAGCAGAAGATGGCCGTCGACAGGGTCACACATGGGTGGCATATAACCAGACAAAGACATCGAGGCCCGAATGTACCGCCACAGCGATCCTAAACACGATCAACATTCTCTTTAATGTTCCATCTAACCCGCACATTTAATCCGAAATACTTCCTGTATTCTTGAATTGCGTTAACCGTGGTCAACTAGATTTTTCCGTTCTCTATATCGCAGCCACAATCAGGGATGGAGGGAGAAAAAGAGAAACGGAAAATCGTTAACCATGATCAATTACCTAAGATCTGACGCGGTTTGACCCAAAATAATTTCAACAAAAACGTATGGATGAATTATCTAGGGTGTCCAAAGATCAGACAGGCAATTTGAGCATTTTATTATGTTTTCAATTAAACATATTTCAAGAATAAAATATCGATATTTTGTATATACATAGGATGCAAAGTGATATGAATTTTTAAGTAATTTGCTCTTTGTCGGATCAAGTGTGATTATGAATCTTCTTCATGTCACGATTTAGCGTGAGAAGCATACAGGAAGCATATTTACACAATTTACAATTTACACATCTGTCTCGCGTGAGTGACAAACAGTAATATGCCTCGTTTCTTTTAATTAAAAACAGCATTAAACGGAGAGTACGTCAACAATGATTATCCGATAAGCTCACTCCCGTTTATTACAGCTTATACAATGAGAAAGCTCTAAATGCGTCGCAATCTACGATAGTGTACAGATCTAAATTTAAGGAGAGAAAAGAAATGAAAATTCTCTACGTGCCACGTGACACAAACAACGCTACAAAGCTACAACGATGAAACAAGAAAGCATGATGTTTCGCGTATTTGCATTTTGGAAAATACATCCGAGAAACTGGCGAAGCAATCAATTTCGAGTTTTTCGCTCATTAATCTATAGAAAAAGACTTATAAACAAAAAGTCGTAAGCGAATAAAATATTTGCTGAAGAACATGTAAGCGTTTGAAAAAAAAAGAAAAGAAAAAAAAACTAAAACCTCTGTTATAGTATTTATAAAAAAAAAAAAATATATAAGATAACCCGAAATTGTACAGACCATGTGTATGCGTGCGCATACAGGAGTCCGTGATATCTGTGGTTATAGTGAAATACGGGAGCCACAAGTCCTCTATGTACGTGTCGCCGAAGGTCTGCTGTATTGTTTTGTTGAAATCCTTGCCGGAGAACATCGAGGTCACCGGATAAGTCAGGTCCAGAATTTGACGCCACCATTGCGTCATTTTCTGTCAACGCACGAAAAGCACATGTACACTTTGCACGAATTAAAAAGTCTATCTTAAACGATTATAGATCGTCCATTCGACTTCACCTTGGACCACTCCCTGGCCTTCTGTGTGGTAGTGGTGATGTTCTTCTCCATGCACCACAACGCGCCCATGAAGGCACCTATGCTGACTCCACCGACCATATCTATGGGTATTCCCGCCTCGATGATGGCCTTGAGCATGCCTACGTGAGCAGCGCCCCTGGCACCACCACCGCCCAGCACGAGGCCGACTGACGTACCTGTCAGCCATCGCGCCAGTCTACTGAAGTCACTGTGCACATTCGGCTCGGACATCAGCACTTTGGAATACAGCTCGTTCTACAATGCGAGATTAAATGTCGCGGATTAGAACGCGAAGTTGGTCGTCAATCTTCTCGAACGACGATTCCACTTACAATTCTGTATTGCGATCTTCTGGTGAACATGCGCTTCGGGCACTGAATGTGGTGATGACTGGACACCCACGACCTCATGTTCAACCACTGAACCGTGTTCGTAGGTCGTTGACCGTTCTGCTCTTTGTGCAACAGCACCAATTCCTTCTGTGTCCTCATTACCAGTCGCTCCACTTCGCGCTCTGTTCGCCCGATGGATGGCGGTCGATCGCCCAGACCCACGATGAGGATGCAATCGGCTTGTCTTACGCATCGCTGAGTCCACAATGTATAACTCGAATCGCATTGGTACAGAGAGATCCGGTGTTGATCCTCCTGCTGCCCCAACCAGGACGTCAATCGATATTCATTCGCAGGCTCCATGATGCTCGTACCTAAAGTCTACCAGCAAATATAACAATATAAGTTATTTAATCATTTTCTTTTGTTACAGGAAGAAAGAATAAGAAATTAATAAGACGTTAAATTATGTCATAATAAATAAAACGTGATTCTAGATTTTTATAACTAAGTTTACATTATTTTAAAATAGCTAATTAAATGTTTATATATTACTAAACATAATTTATAATATAATTTAATTTAATCTAATATGATTTAATTTAATCTGGACAAATCCTCATACATTGACATACCTTCCTTACGACCTCCGACGTTAGACGAAGACAAGGTCCAATAGCGCATAGGGAATGATATAGTTCGTAAGTAAAGGCAGTCAATGGCACATCATCCGACACGGGTACTATCGCGACAGTCGAGAAATTAACTTGAGCCGGCCTTGCATCCACCGTTGCCGCGGCTCGCCTATTAAACAAATGAAAAATATCGTTTTTAATTAAAAATTCTACTTATAGAAGACTCAAATTTGATGAAATAGTTTGAATATGTTAATTTGGACCTCTCTAGATGATTTTAATATATTATCAATTACGTGATACTTACTGAGTATCATTACTGTAGTTTTTCGTGTGTGCTTGCTGCCATGTACCGAGTATACGATGACCGAGGAGGTTTATCAGCCTCGTAACGACGATCGGATACCTAAGTTTGATTACATTGAATAAACCTTCCGGTAACTTCGCTAGTTCAGAATCTCGCACCGCCATGACTGTCGTCGATCGTGAGGTCTGCGTGACCATCTCTACAATTCCTACCAAGTCGCCTTTTCCGTACTCCGCCACTAGTTCTTTCTTGCCGTCCTTGTAAGTGATCACCGAACGCAATCGCCCACTTAGCACTATGAACGTCGAGTCTGACTCATCACCTTGCCTATAAACGGCCCTTCCGCTTTCAAGAAACAACCAGTCGAGGGCAAAATCCACCTGTCGGAAAAGCGGTAATATATTCGTGGAGAATTCGCAAAAGCTTCCTCTGTCCTTGCGAAAATATTATCTTGTTTAGACTTTCCTACCTGTCTTACGAACGGACTTAATCTACGAACGACAGTGTGCGCTACGTGCAACACGACTGTAGGTTGATCTCGCATGATAGCGAAGAACGTCATCTTGCTAATTAGTGCGATGCGACTGGGATGTTTCGCTCTGATGGTGTAAAAGGACGGCTCGCCGGTCAACACTGCTAAGCCACCGACGATTTCACCCTGATGGGCGCTGAACATATGAACTTCTTGATAGGCATCCCGACTCTCCGACACGCGTTGGCTTACTATCAGTGAACCCGAGAGCACATATACGAGTGCAACATCCTGTGATACAGTACAATTTAGGTAACAATACGAAATGATATCTTTAGAAGATAATCCTCTCAACTCTTCGATGAGTGAAGAAGAAAGCAAATACGAAACGACAAACCTTGTGCGATTCCTCCTTCATTAGATAGGTACCAGCCGGCACTTCTCTAATCTGTACTTTATCTTTGAGCACTGTCTCATCTTCTATGCCTAATTCGTGAACGAATGCATCGGTGGCTATCTGCACGAGCTGCGATTCGTCTAATTGCTGCTGCGGTTGCACTGCCTCGTTAGTTGAACGCTTTCGGCTGGGATAAGCACTTCCCACGTGAACGCTTTCAGAATGTGATCCTTGAACGGGCTGAGAGGTCGCGGTAGGAGACAAATTCGGCCAGTGAGAGTCACACTCTGGCACCATGTCCACCGAATTTTGACTTATTTGCGAAGTGAAACCTGGATTCTTCCAATCGTTGCTATTTTTTGCCCTGTTAAGAAATATACAATGTTTAATTAGATAATTCTTCAATGATTTAATTTTAGTATCTCTCACCTTCGATTCGCGTTACCGGCAACAGGTTGGGAACCACTTGAATTTGAAGGTATGTCGCGATAAGAAACATCGCTAGTATCATGAGTCTCTGATGGAACAAATCCACCATCGGTGTTTTGCAAAGTAAAGTTATCTCTGGTTCTTGAACGTACTGGCGAGCCAGAGAATGGGCTTTGCTTTTTTTTATGTGTTCCTTGATTAACTAACTCCGCGGAGAGACCAAGATATTGATGTAAAGTAGTAAAAGTGACTCTTTGCAAACGCACCATGATGACTTGAATAACTCGAACGAATGCATCGGGATAATCTTGAAATACCTGTAATATAATACCTACTGTAATTAAACATCTTGTGCAGTGAATTGTAATAAAATAAAAAATCAATTTACTTCTTGGAACGCGCTCATTGGTAGTTTCACTACAATAGAATCTTCTACAGCTCTTGCTGACACAGTTTTATATGTACTTGTATGCCCGGTAAGTACATCAGTAAAGCTAAGAAGACTGGTAACCGATTCGCCTGTTTTTACTAATTTTAACGATATCTGGGAACCATCAGGACCAGTAATATATACATTAACTAAACCCTGTTGTACTATAAATAAATTCTCGTCGGGATCACCAATTTTGAACAATGTACTACCAGCAGGCAAGTTCATGATTTCTGTATATTTGCACAGCTTTAGGAACACAGGCTTCTCAAAATGTCCAAAGACCCTAATACTTTGTAACATGTACAGTGCATCTGGTGGTACTCTCTCACCAGGTCCTAAATCTTCTTCTAAATATTCTGCAGGTGGTTCCAATACCTTGAAATTAAATAATTTGATTAAATAAATTAAGGTCAGTAAATTAAATATATGCATATGTATCTATAATTTATATTATCAATATATTATGTAACATGCCTTGAGTTGTTGTGGAGCAGTCTCCTTCTTAAGTTGTAATAATCGACGAGCAAATCTCATGACTGCTCTCCTCTTCTTCCCTTGTCCAGTAGCATGGACTTGGCCACTGATAGACTTTACCTTGCGCAACATCTTTCTTCCATAAAAGAGGACTTTGTCCCTTTTTCTGAATCTCGGCTTCCCAGTACCTACTCCAACAAACTCCTTTACCTCTGGCAGAAATTCTTTGTTCTTCCATTTTCGTATAACAAAAATTGATATAACCAAGAGAATAAGCAGCAGAGATACAACAATTGTAACAAGGAGTGTGGTTGATGTCTGATAATCTTCTATAAATCTCCCAATCCATCTTGAAAATGTGTATGATCCCAGGCTTTCATTAACTTTATCAAACAATTCTATCACCTGTAATAAAATATTTTATTATCAATATATTTCTTAGAAATGCTCAATACTCATTCTTTTTAAATATATGACTTGTGTTTTGTACACATACATTATCTATCTACTGCTTTACATAAACATAACTATTATTTTTTTTATTTCAATACAAGAAAATTAATATTATAAATTATTGTTTCAAGAATCTACATGTAAAATTAATGATACTTATTAATATATTCATGTCAATATTTTGATCTTCAAGCTTTGATTACAGTTGCTGATATAAAATATATAAACATGATTTCTAAACTATAAATCTATAAAAATTCAGTAACAAAAGAAATGTCAAAGCAAGGACAATAAATACCTCCATAATGGGTACTCATGTCTCCCTTTTCGCTGATAACCCGAGGCAAAGTGACTCACAATCAGATCCTGACTTATTAAAGAACACGAGACAATTAAGCACTGCGGAATGATAAATTAATTGCGAATAACTTAAAATGACCTTCGATACGCGATAGGTGCTGCGTGAATAGTCTCAGTGCTATTAGTGGGGGATTCGATAAATTGACTAATAGTCGCTATACGTATATATGTACGTCACATAAATATAGTGTTATCAAGCTTATAGCGAATTACATATAAAGATTATACGCTATTTTTGAGAAACCTATTTGCATTAGATGGATCCATTGCGTCGACTTGATAAATTCTTTTCTTCTTATAAAAAAACACAAAAATCATAACCAAAGCAAGTCTATATATCGAATTGAAAAATCTATCGAACGGAAAATGTAAACGAGTTCAAAGCTATCGAGAACATAATTGATCTTTCGAATGAAAGGGAATCGAACATCGCTTAACTCGAACTGCAAGTTATATGGTCTGTTCTTTTTAGCTGCACTACTGAACTAGTGCAATAAATTAAAGTGAGAAAAAATATAGTTGGCTCATTCTAACTTATTGCACTAGTTCCGCAGTGCATCTAAAAAGAACCGGGTGTGTATTATGGAACTCGTCGGAATCGATTCCGATCGAATTTATTCCGTTATTTCCTAGATTTCTATTGTCTTTTCTAGGGGAAACGGAATTATTCCGATCGGAATCGATTCCGACGAGTTCCATGATAGGTACCCATATGTCTGTTCTTTGTAGCTGCACTGTTGAACTGGTGCAATAAGTTAAAGTGAGACAAATATAGATTTTCTCACTCTAGCTTATTGCACCTTCGGCAGTGCAGCTACAAAGAACAGACCAATAATTTAAGAATGGGCCATGTTAAAGAATATAATGGACTTTTAAAAATTAATTAACAAATATATAAATTTTTTACTATCAATAAAATTTTGAAATCGGTAATAATCGATTAATTTAAATGTATTTGGCAGTAAACTTTACCTACTGCTGATAAATGCTCGTCTAAAAGTTTGTATATAAAACCAAAATATCATATGTTGTTGTTTTGTTTCGTTATTATATTTTGTGGTGTAAATAAATATATTGAAGATACTAAAAGTACGTTGCCAACATAATGTTCCCAATGCTTTGAAAAGTATATTTATTTCTCATTAAACAAAATAGAGTGATGTTTCGAAAGTTTGACACATTTGCAGCGTTATTTAGATTGTAGCCTAATTAACTCAAACATCAATCGCATGGTCAATCATTGAAATCGTTGAATTCTCTTTGTTCAAAAATAAGTCAATTAACAATTTATGAATTTCTCAGTAAAGTTATCTTTTTAACCGAGACTCAAACAATTGCAATCTATTGATCTTTATAAAATTTAGCCAAGATTAAGGGCCGGTTATTCCAACTTCTTGGTAAGTTAACTCATAGTTAAATTATATGCTTGTCTTCGTTTTTCCTTCAACTTAGACAAAAACAGAGATATAATTTAACTATCAGTTAACTTACCACGAAGTTGGAACAATTGGCCCTAAATCAGATGTTTTCTGTAAAGCCCGGTCCAGAATAGGTTGCAAACACCCAGGAGCCCGATTCCTGACGACGTGCGAATGAGATGCGTATGCGAAAATGTACAGTTCACGTCACATATAATATAGATTTTCGCATACACATCTCATTCGCACGCCGTCAGGAATCGAGCCCCAGTTGCGAGTTGCGAAGAATGGCAACTACTAGCTACAAAGTGTTATTTTCGGTCGTAAAACAGTCGTAATTGCTAAAAGAGAGTTACCCAACTCTTAACTTCTTGGCGACGGCAACCGGCAACCGCAACTATCTCTTACAACCGAAAATAGCACTTTGTAATTAGTAGTTGCCATTCTTCGCAACTCGCAACTGGGTGTTTGCAACCTATTCTGAACCGGCCTCAAACTCTCAGAATAGTATTCAATAATATTCGTCAAATTATGTAAGATCCCTGGCGGAAAAAATTTTACAAATTTGTACAAAAAATAAAAATAAAGTACAAAAACGACCAAAAATAAGTGTCAGAATCTATGAAATTCTACATACATTTACAAAGTGCTTAAAAAAATCTATTTGAGTTTACAATGTACTACAAAAATCTACATAAAAATGCTAAAATTGGAACACTTTTATAATTTGTTGTACTTTTCTATTGTATACTTGATTTATGAAATTCTCAGCAAAACTACGTCAAACTACAAAAAATACTGATATTCTACAAATTTCTATGTCCATAAAAATACAGTATACTACAATAAAATGCTAGAATTACAATTTTGTAGATTTTCGTAGTTTTCGGTCGAAACTTATAATTATATTGCTACGACTTGATCTACAAATTACAGAACAAAATTACGTCAAATTACTATTATTAGCGATGTTCTACGTATTTTTATGTGTTTTTTAAGTGTTGTATAAATTATGTGTTGTATAAATAAGGAAATGTTACGATGGAAACAGCTGTGTAAATTTTTTTTACGTTTTGTGAAAACACGTAGTTTATATTGTATTTCCAACAATATTGTACAACTTGAATAGATGTTTTCACAAAAATTGTTACAATGCAGTATACTACCCTGGTAGCAGACTGACGTCAAATGACGTACTAATGACGTCTTAATAACGTTAGAGACGTCATTATGACGTCATTAGTACGTCATTTGACGTCAGTCTGGTACCTGGGTACTTTTTGTGTACAACAATCCATGTTCACGAACAATAGTATATTGTACTGTGAAGATTTTGGTAAGAACATTAATTGATTTAAATATTGTTACAAATAATTATAATATCTTCAATTACCCTTTTCCACCCCGAACAATTAAAAACTGATAAAACAATTATTTTTAGTTAAATATATATGTACACAAATCTACTAACATTTATTCAATATTAATAACTTCTTCAATTAAATGAATAACATTAATAATAAATAATTTTTAATAAATTTGTGTACAAATTTGTACTATTTTAGTGAAAAGTACAAATTTTAATTAGCAGTAATTGTAATACATTGTACAGCCGTAAAAATAAATCGGTATTTGCAATTATATGTAAAAAATTGTTGTATTTTATGGGAAACTAAAACATGCATTGGATTTAAAATTACATATAGTTTTACGATATGAAAATTCTTGTAGATGTGCATAGATATTTTTAAATATTTATAATATTCTACAAAAAGTAAGTATTTTTATTTCTACAGACTTTGTTGTCTTTCAATTTTTTTAATTTGTACATTTTTGTAATTGCTTCTATAAAATTGTAGATTTTTACAAAATATTACTTGCAATGATTTCTAGGTTATAGAATATTGTAATTTGTGATATTATTTTATACAAAATTCTATAAAAAAACAAAATTCTCTACAAATATTTACATCTGTATACAAATTTCTACAGATTTCTATTTTTAGTAAAAATTTGTAGTTTTTTGTTAAAGTTTTTTCCGCCAGGGATGGCGCCACCCTGCAGTTTTCCACGAATGCTTTGACAAGTGGTCTGTGTTCTTTTCTTCTGCACCGCTGCACTGGTGCAATAAGTTAAAGTGAGACTAATATATATTTGTCTCACTCGAATTTATTGCACTAGTGCAGCGGTGCAGAGGAAAAGATCAGACCTAAGTTCAGGCTGACTAGCTTGTTTTGATTTCAGGAACGAAAGGAGGTTATAATTTCAAGGATGGTGGGTGTTTTGAATGAGTCCGATAGCGAGGACGAATTACCACCGGGGTGGGAAGAACGGACGACGTTGGACGGGAATGTTTATTACGTAAAGTAAATATATCCTTTCTTGTGAAAGGTTTTGATTTCGTGTTATTAAGTTTCATCATATACTTCTCTTAACCTTCACAAGCGATCAAAGATCACTTCTGTTTGAAAAAAATGTAAATCTATATAATATATCAATACTCGGTCACGAATTACAGTACCGTTTTGTAGTCATTATACCAAGGGCACTCAGTGGACTCATCCTAGAACTGGCCGCAAAAAGATCGTTGACGGAGGTACTTCATATTTATATTTAATCCTTTATGCTCTCACAACCAGTGATTTCGAATTAATGATGAATTCGACAACAATTGACGTTCGTTTTTATATATAAATTCTACCAATACTTGGGATAATAGCCTATTAAGGCTTTCTCAACTTTAAGATGTATAAGTATATATAACTTATTCTAGTTATTTTTGAGGTAATAATTTTAACCTATATATAATGATTAAATAGTGTATATATATATATATGAAAAAAATTATTTCGTCATATTTATTAGGAATAAAAATATTTTATAAATGTTTGTACAATTTTTATAGAACATGCAAGAAAAATTATTACATTGTATAAAATCTTGCTTGAACTGATTATTATATCATTGTATTAAGAAAACTATTTCTCAAGGATTTTGCATAATGTGAGGAATTAACGATTTAAATAAAAATGCAAAGTTGAAATTAAATATTTATTTCAGATTTGCCATCTGGATGGGAGAGGTGTGTATCAGATGACGGTAAAGTTTTATTTGTTGACCATACAAATCGTACAACAACTTACACCGATCCAAGACTTGCATTTGCTACTGAGTACAGAGATATGTCTCAGCCAGTACGACAGAGATTTGATGGCAGTAGCACAGCTCTGGCTGTATTATATGGCCGGGATTTACGTGATAAAGTTGCCCTTGTCACTGGGGCCAATACAGGCATTGGTAAATGAACCATACTATTATGATATAACAATTGCCCTTACAATTTAATTACTTGGGAAACTTTTGGTATAGGATATGAAACGGCTAGATCTTTAGCTCTGCATGGTTGTAATGTGGTATTAGCCTGTAGAAGTGTAGAAAAAGCTGAAGAAGCAATAAGGCGTATTAAATGTGAGAAGGAGAGTGTAAATTGCACAGTACTGAAGTTGGACTTATCGTCATTGCACAATGTACAAGAAGCTGCAGAGGAGTTTAAAAAGGCATTTAAGTAATTGTGCTACATGTTATATAAATTCCTTGAAATTGTCAACAAGCTCTTAGGTATATTATATAATTGTTAACATTTCTCTTTAATATGCTATGAAATAATTCTTGTTTTTCAGAACTCTTGATATTCTTATATTAAATGCCGGTGTGTTCGGAATACCATATCAACTTACAAATGATGGTTACGAGACAACATTTCAAGTCAATCACTTGTCACAGTTTTATCTGACACTCTTGTTAGAACATTCCATACAAAAAGCTGCCAATCCTAGGATTGTAATAGTATCCAGCGAATCACACAGGTAATGACTCGACGCGTTTTTGTTAATTATGTGTAAAACCAAATTATTCAGATCCCTTTGTAACCAGATACACTTCGTGATGCAGATTTTCAACGATACGAAATCTGGAAGACCTTCATAAGTCGAGACTGTCTCCGCCGGCGCAAAAGTACTGGGCTATGGGAGCATATAACGATTCCAAGCTCTGCAATGTCCTGTTTGCGCAAGAATTGGCATATCGGTGGCCCACCGTGAGTGTATTCTCTTGCCATCCTGGTAACCTGGTATCTTCATCCCTATCTCGCTACTGGTGGTTATATCGAGTACTGTTCACATTAGGACGACCATTCACAAAATCATTGGTACGAAAAGTGTTTCTTTTTTGATGGCGTAAAAAAAGGTAATACGAATAAAAAATTTCAAAATACATTGTAGCAACAAGCAGCGAGTACATCGGTATTCTGCGCTACAGCGCCTGAACTGGACGGTGTAACAGGTGGCTATTTCAATAATTGTTATCGCTGTTCTCCATCGAATGCGGCAACGAATCGCACACTAAGTATGCTGTTATGGGATCTTAGCCAGGAAATGATAATACATGTTACGGATATGACCTGGGACCAGTATTGTGTAAAGGATTCAGGAATATAGGACGTGGAAAATGATTTCGATTATCGATAATTTTTACTTTTAAGAGTCTTGATCTTTGAGCCCCTTTAACTGAAGAAAAGAGAAATCACATATACAGGTATTTTCCTTACTTTATATATCAAAATAGATCAACTTGATTGATCGATCAAATTAATTTATTTTATATAATTTTAATCGATCAATAATATATATTGATAAAATTGATGAAGAACATTCTTTTTTATTAATCTATGTTGATTCAATTGATTTCTCACTTCTGTGGTTCTATATGTTATTATTCGATGTAATTAATTTTATGTTAAATGTATCAGATTGTACACTTTTCGTGTCATTATGTAACTATATAAAAAAAGCAAGGGTTTATATTCAAAATTTAGTTTTGAACATATCCTTTATCAATCATATCAATCCTTTTGAGGATCTTGCGTTGCAACTGCATCATTCGATTCCGGAGCTTCTCCAGTTTTCTTGCTTTGTCATTATTTCCATACCTTATAACCAAGAACATATGTAGTAGAATTCATGATTTTTAAAAATCTATAGCTTTGACCTACTTTTCCCATTCTCCACATTCCAGTTAAGATTATTGACCGAATTCTTCATTATGATGAACAAATTTTTATAATATGGTCAATTGTTAAAAATTAAGACAAAATTTAATCACATTGTAACGCAAACATCATTTATTAAACCTAGTTTAATTATATCAATTATGTTAACTTTATACAATTTTTCAACTAGCATAAAATTCTTTCAAATATTCAGCTTTAGGTTTCAATATAACTTTATCTCTAAGGCTAACCACCCATCCTGGTTCCAAACCATAGAACAATTGCCGCGGATCCTTGCGTTCGCACAGCATCTCGTAATCGGGATCATCTTCGATTTTCGATAATTCATAACCATATTTCTGCGCGAGTACCAAACGTTCTTGAGAAACTTTTTCGGGATCTGCTAAGTATCCTCTCATAACAGGACTTGAATAATATTCGAGACAGTCTGTTGGTGGTAAAAATCTACGAGGTATCGGATCACCTGTACATATTACAGAAAAAAATTATGTAGGGAAATATTTATATTTATCGAAAATGAAATTTGATACAACCATTCCCATTAAAATGTTTTTTTCATTATAATTACCTTTGCTGAAAAATTTTTCTGTATTACACATAGCATGAAGGGATTGTATGTCATAATAAGCAGTTGTAATCACACCACCATTTCTCTCAACTGCTGCAATTACAGGCTCACTGGCCCATTGTACCTCTATATTTACTTTTGCTTTGAAAGTATGTGCACCCTTCAAATAGTTTTCATATTAATATGGCTTAGTTTATTCACATATACAAAATGATAAAACATTACCTCGTCTGTTAAGTGAATACCCGAATGTTTCCACTGTATATTAAGATCATACAAGCCAGTGTTTATTACTGAAACAAGATCAATTGGTTTGGTAGAATCCAGCCGATTTGTATCAATATATAATTGCAGATCTCCCAAAGAAAGTGGCGGATATTCCCGTCTCAAACTGAAACCACAAAACCACAAAATATCATTTTCTTTCTGTAGTTTATTCTTATAAAATATCTAGATTTGTAAAGCTTACTGGTGGCCCTTATAGTAAGGTTCTTTGCTAAATCTCAAATAAAACGGTACATTTCCAGTCTCAAAACCCAAACGCATGAAAGTTGGCCTCTTGTTTCCCCAACCATGATAATTACCTCCATGTTGTCCTCTACCACGTTTCTATATGAAAATGATAAGTGGAAAAATCAAATATTAATTCATTTAGGAAATTCATAGAAAATGAGATAAGCATTATTCTAATAATGTTTCGTTAAATGAATATACACATACGAGTAAAAAATTATGAAAATTAATCCAGTGTCAAAGTGAACCATATGCAGCGATTAATTTATATAAATTTCTACAAAACATGATAAACTATAAAATATTTTATTTCTAAAATGTATAACACCTACAGATTCTTTTCGGCCAGGATTATCTCGAATATTCATTAACGTCACCCTAGGTAAGACTCGCAACATTGACAACGCCAAATCTTTCCCTTTTTTTGCAGCCATATTGGTGTGTATATTTAGTCAATTATTAAATATTCAATAGTGGATTTTCATTTACTTTAAACAAACATTGAATTTAAATATCTTCCAATCTAAACGTCGTCTTCTTTTTACTGCTTACATATAACCTGAAGCTCTGAGACTCGAGCTCCATTGGCCAGTCAAACTTCTAACCTAAGAGCCAGAGCACAGACTTCTGCATAACGCATAATACACAACGCATAAGAGAATCAACCAATCAAAGTTCTTCATTTCTATCTTGAGGAGGGAAATGAAGAAAACTAATTGGTTTATTCTCTTAGGCCTAGTTCCACACTTGCTTTAAATGGAGTTTAAAGCAAGTTATGGAACTGGGCCTTATGCGTTATGTATTATGTGTTATGCAAAAGCCTGTGCTTTTGCCTTAAACCTAAACATGTTTTGTAATATCAGAGAGAAACCTGAGAGCGGCCAACATGACATTTTCTGCGACACCGACTTTCCGCACTGGGGAAGGACGCCATCTGCATCCATTTTGAGAGGGGAACTACGATGTTACATCCACTTTCAGGTCTCGGTGGTAAAATCTGCATGTGGTGGAAGTCCGTGCTACATCCATTTTCAGGCGGTTTATGTCCGTGCTGCAACCACAGTTGCCATTCCTATACCAGACTATGCCCGGAGGTCTAAAAAGAGCGGCGGGGGAGGGGGAGGAGCAGAAAAAATAAAAATACGTATTAAATGTTAAATATTCGAATACATGTTGCCGTATCAAAGTCTTCTCTATAATAAACGATTTGACATGTCTGGAGACGCATGATGTATCACATGATGCCCACGTTCCGTTCCCTTCGTCCTGCTTGTCAATCCAGCATCCCGTCCGCCCCGGACATTCGCTCGTGGCACTGATAGTGGCCGTCGGTGAGCATTCGATCCGCTCGAAGGAGCACATGTTGCTCTAATCTTTGGCTGCGTTCCGTTTCACGCATCGAGCGCATCGATCACAACCAATGCGTTGCGCGCATTAATATCGTTCCGTTTTCGTTAATGCGCCTATGCGCTTTTGGAAACGGAACGACTTTTGATGCGTTTGATGTGAAAGGAAAAATGGATGCTACCATGGTCACAATGAACATCGAAACATTGACAACAATAGCCTTATTTTCATTAGTGAATGATGACAGCAGAATTAGCAGCAGTAGTAGCAGTAGTAGTAGTGAGTCTATATTTTATCAAGAAATCTTGACCTGTAGAAAAATATTCACACACATGCATTAATTTAAAAATACAATTGAATTGTTTCTGAAACTTTAAAATTTCAATTTTACCTTTCAATGCTCTTAATGCGATCTCTTTTTCGAGAAACATAATGATCATTTCGTTATCCAATAATACGGGGAATTCAACTTTGTCGACCTTGTCCATTGTACGTATCTATGATTATCTATATATATAAAATCAAAAAATATCGGTACGTTAAATATATCAGTCGTCACGTCACGTTGTCAGTATTTAAGTAGGATTATATAAAAGATTATAAATACTAATCTGCGCATGCTCGCATCAACTGCTTCTAGTCCGAGTGTAGTAGCTGATGCGCGCTTAATGCGATAGAGGTGGGGGGATTCTAGGAAATTCTATACGCCACCAATGCACGCATTAGCTGGAACAGTTTTCGATGCAGTTAATGCGTTCGATGCGTGAAACGGAACGGACCCTTAGGCCATTGCACGTAAAAAAATTTTAGTCGTAACCATAAGACCGTAAGCAAATTGACCAATCACAATCCAGCATCTCGAAATATACGAATTGGGATTGGTCAATTTGCTTACGGACTTACGGTTATGACTAAAACTTTTGTACGTGCAATGGCCTTTTCTCGAAATGGGATGCGTCCTGAAAGTCATCAAAAAAAAAGTGACAACCTTTATGTCGCGACCGTACATATACGTACTACTTAATGACCGTTTCGTCTTCGAAGGTTCTCGAAAGTTTCAAAACTGATATTTAAACTGTCTTTAAGATTAAGGTATATACAGTATCATGGACTTTACAGGTTTTTTAAAAAGTTCGAACTTATCTAGATATATGTAATCTAAGTCTAAATACAGCGATTAGAACAATAAGTTCTTGGTAAAACGAACAGTCAACGAACAGTTCAACGAAATATGTACAAAAGTTGCCGTCCATCGGTCCATGTTAGTAGACGTCACAAAACTATCAATTTGATTTTGCATAAACTACTGTTATGGGAAGTGTTCGCAACGAAAAGTCGACTGATGATAGAATGGCAGCGGATATAGATAATACGGACCATCCTTGGAATACTCTGGAAACCATCACTACCTTTGATCAAGGTATGTTGTAATGTGATGCAAACATTTCATCGCAGGTTATCCCGCGATTTTTGAAATATCAGTTATAAATTTTATTTGACGGAAAACCATTCTTATATACGTTTGAATTATTTGGATTATTTAAATAGAATATTTTGTTCTGAGACTTATATTTTATAAAAAACATCTAACTGATAGGAAAGAAAAAGTATATAACTAATAAGAAAGTATCAAATAATAATTTGTTTATGAATGGAAAGCAAAATATTTAATAATAAAAATAATAGTTCATTTGATTATTTCTGTTATATCTTCCATTTTATGTATTATATTTATATTTTATATTTTATAGAAATTCAAATAATTTAATTTAAGAAATTTAATATATTAGAAATTTAAGTAGATGAGATTCCTATAACTTTCAATGCTAAAACTCAAAGAATCTTGAATTTGAGTTATAATCAATTTTTTCCGCAAATAGGTAAAAATATGATGCCAACACTTCGTCTAAATAATATAGAAAATGAGAACAATAAACAAGTTGTACAAATAACATCTTCAACTAGTATGCTCATTGCTTCTCTCATACAACAATTATGTACTATGATCGAGGAGGATAAAGTACGCAGAAATAAATTATATTTTGGTAATTTATTTAATTTATTTCATATATTTTTAAATATACATTATATATACATATCTCATCTATATGTTAAAAGTTTCTATTATGAAAGATCAATATCTGTCTTGCAGCCATCTGTGATAAAATGCATGAATTGGAATTAATTGATAATTCGTACAATATGGTAGAATTTGAGTCATTAAGGGGCCAATATCAACGTGCCCTTTATCGTTTAGTCACAGTTGCACGTGCTTCAACTGGAAAGGAAAAAATTATACATTCACCCAGGTATTATAGCATTTTATATAATCTCTATAAAGTGATTGGTAAGATCTTTAAGGAGATCCTACTACTAATGAAACATTGATTTTAGTTTTTGTTACATTCTGTTGTTGATTCTATATTAACATTATTCAATTTTGTGTATAGTTTCTTAACATCAGAATTTTCTCGTTACCTTTGGGAATTTCAAGAGATAAAATTCATTGCTGGTGGAGGATTTGGCGAAGTTTTTAAAGTCCTACATCATCTTGATGGTATTGAATATGCAGTTAAGAAGATCGTTGTACTCTCAAGTCGTTTGAAAACCATAACAGTATATCTAAAAGAAGTAAAGACCTTAGCTAAATTAAATCATCCAAATATTGTTCAATACAAAGCAGCTTGGATTGAGCCATCGTTGCCGTACTTTGTTTCAAATATGTCACCCACATCTACAAATCACACATCGCACAGATCATATACGTCAGAATATACAAAACATTCAAAATTGGATAGCATGCGGTCTAACAAAAATTCATCTGATAGTATAAACAATTCAAATATTAATAAAGAAATAGACAATAGCGTGCAAGATATTGATGATAAAGAAAGTGGCTCATCTGATACTTCTACTAAACTGAACAACGAACAGCGAAATAAGACTGGTGGCAATGCTGATGGCTATACAATCAAACATGATATTGTTAGTGAAAGATTCCATAAACTTAATTCTTTGACTAATATTATAGGAGAACGAATAACGGAAACAAGTAGTAGTACGCCGGAATCTACTGAAGAAGAGAATTCACACATAGTATCTTTTAGAAATAGCGAAAGTAACGAAAGTGAAAGTCAAGCTGTAAAAAACTCTACGGATTACAGTAATACACATAACAAATCCTCGAACCACCAAGAAGTCTGCACGTATATCTCCACGTCTACCTCCAACGGAGTGAGGATTGGCAATGTACATTTAAAAAATTAACAATATATCTTAATATTGTAATATATATTACCATAAGATGTATTAATACATTTTAATATTTTTCACTTTGCACACAGAATCAACAATATATGACGTTGTACATCCAAATGGCTTTGTATGAACAAACTCTCAAACAATGGATGAGCAAAAGAACGAATATAACACCTCTCCCAATAGTTAGGGAAATATTTGAACAAATTGTTCGTGGACTCAGTTATATCCACTCACAAGGAGTTACGCACCACGACATAAAAGTAAATGCGTATATTATCGTTATCTTATATAATATTAAATCCTGGAATCTAATAGAACATGTTATATTATTATAGCCAAGTAACATATTCATTACGACGACAGGACCACTCCAGATTCATTTAGGTGATTTTGGCTTAGCGTGTTCGTTAAATAGAAAAAACCATCATTCAGTAATTGGTACACAAATGTATGCGGCACCGGAACAAATGCAGGGAAAATGTGATTCGAAAGTAAGTGACCGAAAATAGAGGATGTCTCAATAATTAATAGCATTAATAATTAATTGGTACATAGATGTATTCTGGTTTCATAATCTTCATACTTCCAGAGTGACATATACAGTACGGGAATCGTCCTTACAGAACTGTTAATTCTAACGCAGACTCAAATGGAATTAAGTTGTATAATCAATTCCTTAAAACGTGGAGACATACCTATAGATCTCAACACTGAGCAGCATAAATGGGTGAGTTGTAATATATACAAATATCCTTGTAGATACGTACATGTAGCTGTTAGATAGAATTTTGTCTTCTACTTAGGCACAATTGATTATGCAATTGATACAAGAGGATCCTGCCAAACGACCATGTACGAGACAACTTTTACAAGATTTAGATAAAGGAAAGGATACTACGATAACTGATTTACAAAATGATCTTCTTGATAAAGATAATAAGATTCAAGAATTACAGAAAGAAATGGCATTACTGAAGGAAAAAGTTAGAAAATTGGAAGTGTCAGAAAGTACAGAATAGACTGCTATATTAAAGGTAGAATATATTTTATTGCATGACAGGACGATAAGATTGCCAAATAAAATCTTGTCTTAACTAGTTTCAATATGGTAAGAATATCTAATAATAAGAATATCTAATAAAAGAATATCTAATAATAATAGAATAAAGAGCACTGGTAAATTCCTATAGATAATAATTTAAATCAATTGTATATATTCTACAATGCAATCAATCGAGTAATTAGACTGTAAAATAATATAAAAAAATTATAAATGAAGACTGTCAAATATAAAAAATATAAATAAATAATTTTATTATTACGTGCATGTACTAAACATGTAAAATATTACATATATTTTATTGTATTTATTAAAACATATGCAAGTTTCTTAGAATTTTTAATTCCTAATAATTTAATGTTATTATACATACATTATACATACTATATACATTATTTAATATATATAGTATATAATGATTGCCATCAACTTCACTAATCCTGAGAAATAGTAGAATAAAAAGTAATAGAAATATAAATAGAATAAAGTAGAAACCAAAACAGTAGAGAAACAGAGAGCATTACGAGTATTATTTTAGGAATTCTATATTTAATTTTAATTCAAACTATTTTTTAATTTTTAATTTATTTAATTTCATATTTATGTCAAAATAATTTTTTTAATAACATATCCAAAGATGCCTTGAGTTGCTGACCGATAATTATTCTAGAATTATTTGAGTTAGGAATAGCACACTGTTGTAACAGATATTCGATATTTACAGACTGCTGTTGAATATCAATAGGTGTATCATGAAGAAATCCATTAGGAAATGGGTTTTCACTTCCTAAGCCTAATAGGAGCTGCAATTTCATATTTATATTTCAAGTATGTGAAATATACTTGATACATAACAATGCACAAAATATATTTTATATCTCAACTGTCATATTAACTACCTGACAAATTGCGTAATAATTGTGATCACTTAAATGATGATTACAAATATTCTTAGGAGAGAATGCAAAACAATCAGCACAAACAAGGTGCATCTTATTCTCTTGCAATGCATACCATTCGTTTGATTTTTCTGTAAATTAATATAATCATATAAATATTTTATATGTTTATGTGTATTGAATTGAATATTAATTTTATATAAAATTTTTGCCTTCTGGAGAGACATTTTTGTCAACAACAATGACATTCTCTAAATCAATAAACTTTGCTACATTTTTGTGATCAACGGCAATATTATCTGCTGATACATCTGTTAAGTAAAAACTAAAATTTTCATTTTTAAATGTGAACATATAAGCAGCATTTAAAAGACTTGAAGCTATTTTTGCCCTTTGTATCCAAGGTTTATTATAGTAATCTACAAGAGGTAATCCAACATATTCTTCTATAATAATCCGACCGCATGCTCCAAAATATTTTGGTACAGGCCAACCATTTTCAGCTGGTAATATCTGAAAAGAATAATCATATAATTTGAAATGTATAACTGTATCCCAGAATATTTATGTATCAAGTCAACTAAAATATATATAATTTAATTGTAAAGTATATAAATTTATAATTGATTAACTTTTGTAACTGGAACTACATGATAAAACAGGCTAGATAACTTATATCAATTTACAATTTACCTGAAGAATTAATGGTTCTGGATTTATAGAAACCAATGTCCAAAGATTAATCAAATATTCCATAGAATCAACATATTTATAATTTAAATGTATACTATAAAGTAGATTGTCTATATGTTGTATTGTTGGACAAAGTCTTAAGCGACTAGAGTCATCCTTAGAGAAATCAGTAGTAATTATTTTTTTTATAAAAACATCGAAACTTGCTACATGTTTATTTAATTTTTCTTTGGAAATATTTGAGCAAGGATATTCCAAATAAAGTTTATTACAAAATGTAACATCAAATGCTTCCAATTCAGAAGAATGCGCCAATTTTTTCAATACTACTTTGTCTTGATTATATGTACCAAAAAATACATTTTTAATCCCAAATAAATGAAGAAATATTACATTAATATCATGCCATAACAGATTCACTTTGTGAATATCATGGCATGCAGAAACTCCATAACACACTGGACATTTATGTATTTCCACCAATTGTATTATAGAAGGACGTAGATTCTGTATAATTATATTTGTTATTAAGAAAAAGGTACAAAAAATACCAATAAACAATAGCAATTTCCATTTTTTAAATCGAAAGATATTGTATACGTAGTATAAAATCATGAAATATTAGGCCCGTTCGTTTTATCTGCATTGCTGAACTAGTGCAACAAGTGGTCTGTTCTTTTTAACTGCACTACTGAATTGGTGCAATAAGTTAAAGTGAAAAAAAATATAGTTGTCTCATTCTAACTTATTGCACCACTTTCGTAGTGTAGCTAAAAAGAACAGACTAAAGTTGAAATGAGAAAACCTACGTTTGTCTCACTTTAACTTGATGCACCAGTTCAGCAGTGCAGACAAAACGAACAGGCCTAGTGATTATCGCTAATAAAAAATAGGGTCGGTTGCATACAGAACATGGCATGCCCCTCACGCGGCAGAAGTTGGCTAGGGAATATCACAATAAACAATGGCCGCGTTCAGTAGAACAAAGTGATCAGAGAGCGCTTAGTGATTATTGTCTGTAATTGGAGCATTCTTTTAGATTCTTCATAGACCCAGAAGTATTTACCAATCAGGAGCGAGATTCAGTAGAAAATCTAGTAATGTTGTCCAACTGTTGAGTCTGGTGAATGCAGCCAATGGGTGCATTCAGTACTACAACCGTTCACTGAGCGCCCAATGAGCTTTTACATTTGATTGGTATATTCCTTTAGATTTAAAAATATACACCAATCAGATGCAACAGCTCACTTAGCACTCAGTGAGCGGTGTAGTACTGAATACACCCAATGGCTGCGTTCAGCAGAACAAAATGATCAGTGAGTGATTCTCGCTCCTGATGGGTAAATACTTCTGGGTCTATGAAAAATCTAAAAGAATGCTCCAATCACAGACAATAATCACTAAGCGCTCACTGATCACTTTGTTCTGCTGAACGCAGCCAATGGTTATCCGACAATTTCCATAAAAAGGAAGGGCATAGCGTTGGTACCGATGAAAATCTCTAGGTAACTCAAATTAAATTTCTGTGGATTAGTGACACTAAGTAAGTAGTAATACATGTTTTAGCCGAAACCTTTTTGGCAGAAGAGTGTTTTGACATAAGCGTGTTCGAACATATGGGCCAGAGCACATACTTCTGCATAACGCATAATACACAACGCATAAGAGAATCAACCAATCAGAGTTCTTCATTTCTGTCCTGAGGAGGGAAATGAAGAAAACTAATTGGTTTATTCTCTTATGCGTTATATATTGTGTTATGCAAAAGCTTGTGCTCTTGCCCTATGTCAAAACACCCTTCTGTCAAAAAAGTTTCGGCTAAAACATGTATTACTACTTACTCAGTGTTACTAATCCACAGAATTTAATTTAAGTTACCTAGAGATTTTCATCGGTACCAACGCTATCCGTTCCCTTTTTATGGAAATTGTCGGGTAATCTAACAATGAACGTCCCATATGCCGCATGTTTTGTGAATACTATTTCCGGGCAAGCAAAATGCGGAATGGGATTATTCTTTAGCCAACTTGCGTTGTATGACAAGCGTGCTACGCCCTATGTGCTGTAACAGGAAGAATCCAATTCGACACAACACGGTTAGACACAACCAACCGGTGTAAAGTACTATCTGGTGAATTATTAGATTTACCAATGGCCGCGTCCAGTAGAACAAAGTGATCAGAGAGCGCTTAGTGATTATTGTCTGTGATTTGAGCATTCTTTTAAATTCTTCATAGACCCAGAAGTATTAACCAATCAGGAGCGAGATTCAATGGAAAATCTAGTAATGTTGTCCAACTGTTGAGTCTGCTGAATGCAGCCATTCATTTACTTTATGTCCAATCGTGCTGTGTCGAATAGATAGGCCATTTACAAATACGAAAATTTATTTGAGGCTGACAGTCTTTAATATTATTTCATCGGTGATGTGTGTGTGTGTGTGTGTGTGTGAGTGAGTGAGAGTGAGTGAACTAATGCTCATATAACTTCTTGTAGCCATATAAAATAAGAAGAACTGTGTTGGCGGTCCTGTGAGCGCGGTCTAAACAAATACCAAAAATATGTGTATGAAAGAAGCTCTTTTAAAAATATTGTCCACGTTGACGTCCAGCGATAATGGTAAAATTTTCAATAAAAATATTCTGTAATAATATTGAATTATATAAGTTTGAAATACGAACTTTAGATCTTGCAATAAAATATATTCATTGAATTTTAGGTTAGGAAATTGCTTTAGCAAGGAAAAATATTTCTATCTACGATCATATTTTTATATATCACATTTTGACTAAAAAAATATTTACAGATTGTTCCGAGAGTTTCGATGATAAGCTGACACAAAAACTATGTGAAATAGAATCATTAATCACAGATGAGATGGACATACAAGTAGAAAATCAAACCATCCGGTAATTATATTGTTCAATTATTATGCACCACATTGCAGAATAAATCAGAGAATATGTATTTATCATAAAAGTTATATGTAGTAATAGTCATAGATATACAATTAGTTTTTATGATATATATTGATTATTGATATCTGTTGATCTTTACAGTGGAAAGTATTTACAAACATTAGTTTCTATATTAAATAACATTACAAAAGTAAATATAACAGATGACGATGCAACCTTTAGTGTGAAACAGATCCAATCTATGAAAATTGCAGTAGGACTAATAGTGTCCATAGGAATTATACCCTGTTTAGAAAAAGGTGTAGGTATAGATATGGCAAAATTATGTCCCAGAGCTACAAAAATTCCACAAGAAAACCTCACTTGCATGCAGGTAAAATCATTTTGTAATTTCTGAACAGTATATTTTATCTTTTATAATTTATATATATGATTACCTTCTTTACATAAATTTCATCTTTCAGAGATACGAACGAATAAGATTTACAACCATTGCTCTCACAGATCTATTTCATGATAATATCTTACGACCAACTATACTTTTATATCTCAGTGCGATATTGGCAGCTTTGTTACAATTATCTCATGCTCCATTGATTAAACCCAATAAAGAGAGTGGGGAAACATCAAATGCCAAAGACTGTGATCAAGCGCAATTTCGTATGACAGTGAAACGATATCAAGATTTGCTGGGTCAACAAAAAGAATTTTATGTTAGATTAATTTCACTATTAAGTAGTTGTCCGCAGTACAAGTGTTTCCAAGAATTAATGGTAATTCATGGACAACAAAAAACACCAAAATGGTTACGCACATGCACTCGGAACATTTTAGTTAGCAAGATTACACAACCAGGTGGAGTATTATCATTAATTATTGCGATTTGCGGCAATGAGTTGGATATAGGCACGAACTGGCGTATGTTGGACTTGATTTCCAAGTTATTAGCAACATCCCATGGAAAAGATGCGGACGAGTATTACAGACTTGTATGTCCACAGGTATGTGTGTGTATACTAAATTGATACATTGTATAAAATATATTAAAATCGTCTAAAATATATTGTATAAGTTACTAAATTGATACATATGATGCTACAATACTAAATTGGTACATTGTATAAAATATATTACGTAAGATACATTGCATAAAAGTTATATTATGTGCTCATACACAGGATAAAATGAAATAGATTATATTTAATAATCCCCAATCTCACTTATTAATGTTTCTAGATTTTAGATCTACTCTTTTCGGATAAAATCAACCATGGCTCAACGATAGTGAACTGTTGTATTGCCACTCTGTATGATTGCAACTCATCCTTCTGTCATAAGTACATCATAGAAACCGTGTGTGCACCTTTGATAACGACAGAACCGTTCGTTTCAAGGTCCGAAAAGGAGACTGAGCGATGTATCACGACATTGGCGAAATGTTTTCTAGTCGAAGATGCAAAGTTTAAGCATCTACCTAGTAAACTCATCTTGCACGTTGCTACGCCTTTATTTTGTTTATACAACAAAACTCGTCAAAGCCCGTGCATATTGAAAAAGCCTTTGCAACAGTTGTTGCTGAAAATCCTTGAGGATGAGACAAAGCGAGAAAAGCTGTTTTCTGCTTTTCTGGGGCATCACACATCGGCAGAATTCGGAGATTATTTGCTGCCGGAATTCGGACCAAACTGTGGTATCAAGATCATTGGCTTGAGCGAAGATCTAAGATACATGGAATTAGCTGATACAATTTACGATCTAGTGTGTATCGCTAAGAATTTATCGCCTAGTATGTTCACTTATATATTGAGCTTTCTGTCAAATATAAATCAAGTGAATGAAACTAGACAACGAGCAAGGTTAAACACAGAAGACGATCAGGTAAGACACCTAGAGATGCAAATAGCGACTTGTGCACTTCTCCAACGGTTAGCCGATATGAATACTGTTCGTGAAGCACAAGCGAAAGAACCACAGTCGTTGCTGTCGTTCATAAAATTCTTGTTCACCAAATATATTAACACGAAGAAACGACAAGATGAAATGGAAGAGAATGAGTGTGAGCTACTGTGTCTCAGCTTAATGCTGATAAAAACGTTGGTTGAAGAAAAAGTTGAGCTTCGCGTTAATGCGTTTAAAAACTTTAGCAAATTCTTAAAGCAACATGTTAAATCAAGTCTGCCTACGCAGCTTGAATCATTGGTAAACGAAGTGGTGAAATGCATTGAGACTTATGGAAGGTCTAAGAGGAAATATCACAAAGATTTATCGGTGAATACGTCGGCGTCGAACAAGTTCGACAAAGCCATAAAAGATCTCGCGGATTCATTGATTCCTGTTCAGGCAAATGGTCTCATAACACTTAGGAAACTGATTGAGGATCAGGATCCCTTCACTATCGCGCATAGAAGAATCGTTTTAGATCTGTTGCAGGTTCGTACACTGATACAATTTTACATCTCTAATTAGGAGGGAAAAAGGAAATACTTTAGGTTTAATATAAATTAACTTTAAAACTAAATCAACTCAATTTAGAACTCCTGGAAACATTTAAGTGTTAGATCGAAAATAATGCATTTGGTTACAGACAAATTTAAAGCACGAAGATTCGTACATATACCTGGCGTCCATCAATGGGCTGTGTGCTTTAGCAACTGCATACCCGCAGGAAGTTATAAAAATATTAATACCTGAATATATCGACATGCCTAATCGCATTACAGGTACAGAAATAACTAATGAAACCAGGATTAAGCTCGGCGAAATATTGGTCAAGACAACGAGAGCTTTAGGTATGTGGAAATCAGTTTTCATCTTCCACTTATATAAATAAAATACTCTACAGATTTTTATTTTATGTATGATAATATTAATCGGTCTCTATAAAAATATTAACACAGAAGCAATATCAAACTAAGAATTACGGCTTGTATTAACAAATGTTGTTAACAAACGTGAACCCGTAATCGAAAGGACATATTTTGCAGGTGAAATGGGCGTGGTTCATAAGAATATGCTAGTCAATGGCTTCTTGTGCGCCGTCCGCGACAATGAATCCTTGGTACGAGCCTCCGCTCTTTCTTGTTTAGGAGAGCTTTGCAAGGTACTGAATTTTCGATTAGGAAACTTGCTTAACGAGGTACGTATACGAATCTCACAATGAACAGCGGTCGCGGAAGAAGACCTTCCAAAAATTTCTCTTTGACGTTTTCAGATTGTCTACTGCATCGCGATGATAGTTAAATCCGATAAAGCTCCCGAATGCCGGCGCGCCGCCGTATTGGTCGCTACGCTTTTATGTCGCGGACTTGACAAGGACACGCTCAACAGTCTCGATCACAATCTGGTTAACTTGTATCGTAGTTTGAAACACCTGCGCGATGAAGACAACGATCCAGTGTTACAACTCCACGCTCAGTTAGCCTTAGAAGAAATTGATTTGATTGTACAAGATGTGCTAGCCAAACCGTGCAAACTTGAGAAACAAATATTCATATTAGATCGACCATTGTGATATGATAGAATATTCGGACATTTGTTTGCTGTACAGTATTTTTGATTACTATATAATGATATCTACATTATATATATACACACACACAACTTTCACCTCTTGCTCCGTCACCTTGTCAGAATTAGCTTTGGGAATGTTATCTTCGTCGCCATATAAAAGTAATGTATATATACTGGATTAACCACTTAAATATTTCCAAGATTAATTAATAGACAATAAGGTAAACAATTGATAAAAATTGATATGCCTATAGATGCACTTAATATATCCTGTTGAAGAAAGAAATGCGCGATATACAGCGAGAGCGTCGTATTGTTACTTATTGTGTTGCTTGTGTTCACATAAAACAAACGAAGTTAAAAGTTTCCAGGTACACGGTACAGATAAATGATTTTGCAGACAATCATCGTCCAACAAAACGAGAACGAAAATCATTATTTCGCTATTCGCGGTCACCGATAGTTTCAATGAACCCGAGAGTTTACGAGAATTGTATGAATTCCACTACGACGGGGAATTCTAGATGGGGCGGGGACTACAAGAATGTCGTGTCTTCAGAGAAGAATCCGGCCAAACGAATGTGGTCTCGTTTAAGGCAGGCGTACAGCCGTTGCGGCTGCGGTGTGGAGGCCGGTGAAGGTCGCGGTATTATCGCCCGCAGAATAAATTCCTTGGATGAGGGCTCGGGGAACGTTTTATGCCGGCTGTCTCTCGCGGCGTCCGCATCGTTATTGCCGCTGGTGGACGTCATCATGTATACGGCCTGAAACACAACCGAAGCGTTTTATGTTCACCTTTTGTTTCTTCTCTTGTTCTTCTCTTTCGTCACGAGACGAGTACAAGTGTATGCGTCTGCGCTGAGGGAAATTTCTCTCACCCTCTGAGCGTCGCGGAACATCATCGTTATATGGGATCCGATGTCGCCCCTAGAACCACCAGGCACGTTCACTTCCTTGCCCCGCATGAGCTGGATTAGGAATGACGTAAACTCCTTGGAGTCGTTGTTGCCGCCCAGTTTGTGCTGCAGAGAATTGACTTGGGCGACCAGTGCTTCCACGCCCTCGATGTCGCGCGTGATTTCCTGAAAGAATCCATTGGAAACGTCTAAAGCGTCTGAATCTCTATCCGCTGAAGACTCATCTACATTTATTATTGGGTTATTTGTACATGTATGCGCACAGCGAGAAATGTACCTCATATAAGTTTAACTTTTGGTGAGTTGGCTTCGTCGCGAACTGCAGTCTGTTAAGTATGCTTTGCGCTACGTCGGGTAGGCTTGGCAGAGCCTCCTGCTTCTGTGAGCTCAAGGTGTAAAGCGCTGCATGTGTCAGAGTCGGCAGCAAGAGCTGCGCGACTTGGCCTATTCGCTTTGAGCACAAGTAATGCAGAACCTTCTCCGCCTCGCGCGTGTCGTCGAACAATCTCTTCTGTCGGTGTGCAGGAACTGGTTGCGCTGATGCCCAGGTCGTCGACCAGGGATTATCGGGAATCATCATCCGTAGCGATAAGTGGCCTGCATTTCGAAAAATCCGATATAAAAAAGATAAGTCCGCCATATTGAGAGTAAAAGTGTATCTTGGTCAACGAGACGCATACACACGCGTAGTTGTTCTTTATATTTACAACTTGAAAATATTTCTGCAAATGACGCGCGTGTGTACAACCTCTCACATTTCTCCATTATAGCCTCGGGTATGACGGAGCCTTTTCCAGGGGAAAACAATTACACGAGAGTCCTTACAGCATTACTTGCGTTAGATCTTCAATTATCTAACTGAGGTGCACAAGATAAAATGGTAATGCGTGTAACATTATAGGTGACACGAGGATTATTCGAAAACATCGTTATAGACCCAAGATGCTTCCTGTATATTGCAAAAATGATGCTGACCCTTTCCTTGTCCCCACTCATCGAGCCCTTCGTCGTCGATCCAGTCTCTCGGCGAGTACCATCGGATAAAGTCCTCCAGCACCGCACCAGGATTCGCCGCCTACCGTCATATTACGAACAAAATGGACGTGTCATCATAAGATACATCGACATGAGTTTAGGGTCGATTTATTACTGTACGCACTTTGAAGGATTCCATGTCAGACAACAGGGACGCGCTCATCATTCGCGCGCGCATTTCAGAGGCGTATTTGTCAGTGCCGAGCTGCATCATCACCTGCGCGTCCTCCTCCAACTGGTCCTCCGTTTTCGGAACAGGATCCTGCGTGACGGGTAGATAAAGAGGATCTCCGCTTTGAATCAGCCTACACATCAATTCCCGTCTCATTGAGTCACAAGGCAGTGCACTTTCTCAGACTTAGTCCGCCGGCAAGGTAAGACTAACGTCATGTGCGATCTTAAGGAGATAGTGATACTTGAAATTATATAGAAGCGTTCTCATAAGTGCTAGCTGGTTAAAAATCAACGCGCTCTCTTCACTCCAATCCTCCACTCTTTCTCTCTTTACCTACTCCTTAGAGGGGAGGGAGAGAGAGAGAGGAGGAGAGGGGGGGAGGGGAGAGAGAGAGAGAGAGAGAGAGAGAGAGAGAGAAATGTCAAACTACAATATTATACGATCAGCGCCAACAACGTATACTTATGGATACGTTCTGCATGGATACGTTACTTAGATAACAATCCCAGATTTACATAACGTCTAACGTTGAGTTGAGCTCTGTTATAAGCTTTTGACGCGAGTTGAAGTCGATACCGGACACTCGTTCGAAATACCGGTGGAGTATCGGTATCAAGCGATATTTTCGCGAGAGACTCGGTACTGCTCGCGATGATACGCGTAAAATAAGCAACCGTCCCCTCCAAAATCTAGGATTTTCTGCAAGATTTCGCGAGAGCAGTTTCGCGCGAATTCGTGCCAATTTGCGGCTGTCATTTGCCTAGGCAGGGAAGCGAACCTGAGTGAAGAGTGTTTGGCCAATCTTCCCGCGGGTTTGTTCCACAGCAGGTGCTTCGCCTTCAATTGCGTCCTCGTTGACGAAATCTCCTCGCTCGCCAATTCCTCGCTCGAGCACTCGAAGAATTCCTCCTCCTCGGATTCTGCACAAGACAAGCCGAGCTCTGCGGTCTCCTCGTGTTTCAAATTGCTCACGCGTCAAGTGCAATTAAAACGCGTTGTGTATCGCGACGTTACCTGTCTCCTCGACGTCGTCCATCTCCATGCTTTGGGGCCTATGCGCGTTTTCCTCCCGCGTCTTCTTCCTCGCTATGCAACAGTTCATCATCTGCACGCGTGTAAGTAGAAAAACAAAGGAGATTGTTACTCGGAGAAGAAATGGGCATTAATGGGTCGAGCATTTGTCGAATTGACGTACCTGCAACTTTTGATGCAGCAGACACGTGCGAACGGAATCCGGGAAGCCCGGCCCGACTCTGAAACGAAGTTTCACGAACGGACGATATAATTTTAGACTCGACTTTCCAGTTGCGAGCACGTTTTGCGCATAAATTTCACCGATGGGAAAATGACGACGTCGATACATAAACACGGGATCTGCAAGACCTCGGAACCTCCGCTATTAGCATGACGACGACGACGACGACGACGACGACGATGTCGAAATGCTGCACGCTGGATTTAATAGGCCGCACACTCTCAACACCGGTTGTCGCATTGATTTACTAATTACCCGCCTTCTACGCTTGATCGTTAGATTTTAACGCGCAAACGCCTAACGGTATCCCGCGTATTCCCGTATTATCGACGAGTTACGTTGCGGCCGTCTCCTATCATCGACGACAGGTATCCCGCTGTGCTAATTTCACCGATCGCGTCGGTGCCGTTGAGATCCTCGAAGCTATCTATAAATGCACCTATATTATAGCTACTAAAGACGTTGTTAATTAACACAATCACGAAATATATTTCTATTTCCATTCTCCGCGCACGAGAGAAAAAAGCACGAGATGCTTCTTTCGCGAAAGAGATTAATTGATTGCGAAAATTCCACTCGCCAAGTAACGAGCGATAAGTTGAGGAGATAAACTAGGACAGGAGGAGAGAGAACCGACCGTCTAAAGATCTTAAGTAAAAATCAGTCGGCCGATCAGTCCCGATAGAAAATCGACTTGGAGAAGACGCAGCAGAATGCGAGACCGAAGACGCAACTGCATCGGGGACGGAATACACGCAACGCGGTTACAAAATCTTGTCGCGTATAGTTGGCACGATGATGCGATAATGCCGGAGGAAGCAACAGGTGAGCGACGAGCTCTCCGAAACGTTTTATTGCCCAGGAGAGGCGCAGAGTGACGCGACTACGATTCTGCAGTTCAAAATCAACGCGTAACATCAGCGCACAACGATACACACAGAAGATGCCGTGCTCCGCGACGGAAGTCTGCTTAAAAAACGACAGAGGACGACAGTCCGTTTTCTTCACTCAGCAGACGGCATACTTTAACGATACGAGAAGCGCGTCCACTTGACGCTACATCGTCCGCCCGCATCCGAAGCGCATCCTTCGCATGAACAGGATAATATCGGAGGAACGATTTCGATATCGCCGAAGACCAACGGAGAAAGACGAGGACATTCAGCACCGAACCTGGACGCGACGGACAAGATCGCCAAGGGTCAACTCCGCCCTCGACGAGGTTTTTTCACGCGGCAAGAGCGCCTCGTCGAGAGACGCTTAAATATCCTAGCCGGTCCGCAAGGCCTACGTCGCGGCTGCCCTACCACCGAGCGTAGCTCTGGCACGAGACAGGATTTCTGCGGGGGCCGAGGACGGACGGCCGTGCTCGGTTCTTGCAGTCGACTTCAAGACCGCGATGCGGCCGAGCTAACGGTGAAGAGAAGCCGACGCGAGTCGTCCCACGTCCACGCCGCGCTCGTTCCTCGTCGGGATCCGCGCCCGCGAGCACAGACGACGACCGGATTTCCGGAGTTTTGTTTTCTTCTATACTTCTTTCCGTCCCTCCTCCCCCTCCAGGTTTCTTCCCGCTCCCTTTGTTTCTTTCCTGCGTGAGATGATCGATTCGTAGCTCGGGAAAGAGCCGCGTCTCGTGGATATTCGCCGCAACAACCCCCGACCTGAGCTCTGTGCACTTGAAGGACCTGAAGGACCTGAAGGACTTAGGCTCGCGCGCCTAAGTTTCGGCGTTTCCTGCAAGGTGCAGCCGAACCTCCCGCTCGGCGCACCATGGCCCAGACTGCGCACTCGTAGACGACGACACAGGCAACTATGAGTGAGTAGTGAACGTTTATTCTTTCCTTTTCTCCGAGTAATGCCAGTGTCCAGTCGGAGATTGAAGGGACGATCCCGCTCGATGTCCGTGACTTTGCGGACCAAGCTAAGCAGCCCTTAATTTCCGCTGTTAACTTAAAGGTGGAATTTCACGCGTCACTCGCGGGCAGGCTGAGAATACGAGCGCGCGAGGTGGAGGACTAAACATCGAGTTGAGCCGTTGATTTGTATCTCGAATTTCCTCAGCTCATTAATGCGCACGTAACGGTATTATTAGTGTGCCCACGGTAACGGCTGAGTTACCTCGAGCGATTATCTCAAGGAGCCGGGCCAAGAGTGAGCCTGTACCATCTGTACAGAAGCAGAAGAAGCGGGAGAACGTAAAGCGGTCGAAAGTGTGATCTTTCAAGTTCCGTTGCGACGAATACACTTGAGAAAAATACTCAGACGCGAATGTATTCTATTCGCGTGAAGCCTGCGCGTGGAACAACTCAGAAACTCATGACACACCTGTGCGATTGTCCGCACGCGATTTTTGCTTTGCAAATTTACGCGAATTCACCGCGTCGTTTTTGAAACGACTGCGTTCGGATTGCGTTAATTCGCGAAACTCGCTCATCTCGCGACAGATGCTCCGAGACCGACGCTACTTGTACCTGTTCCCTTCTACTTCCGAGGATTCCGGACGAACGTCTGTTTGTACGACTCGCCATTTTCGCGGCCGAGTGCCAGCTATACTCTTTCATGAAACTATAGCTCCACGTCGCGCGTGGCAGCGGACTCTTCGAAGGGTTAATGCACCTACGCGCGTATCTTACGGCTATCGTCTTCAACGTACACCGTCCGACCTTGAACCACACTATAGATACCATGTACACGTCGGTGTACCGCCGGTAACCAGACGGGACGCCGAATAGTGTTCGTGTTACGCTCGAAAAATTCGTGTTTCACAACCTGCGTTCAGTTGTTTAGCCTATCGCAAAGGCGCAAAGTCGAGGACGGAGTTTCGGCTCTGAGAACGTCCAAGACATTTACCGAGGACATTGCACGTACTCTTTACGCAAGGAGGAAAAATGAGACGCACATTTTTCTGCTGTCGGAAGAAGACGGTCGATCGGGAAGTCGCGCGCGTGCGCGCGCTCGAACAAGAGCGTCAACGTCTTGACGGAACGCGCGGAATCCCTTAATGTCCAGGTGCGACGGACGATACGGGATCGTTGGGGTTCGAAAACGCTATTGGGGCACTTTGCATTAAGTGGACGAGGCGATCCGGAGAAGAGAGGATCGCGAGAGGAGAGAGTGTCCTCGAGGCATTGGATTTTCATTTCCGCTCGATTGATCGACCAAGCGATCGGGAACGACATACGAGCGTGGTATTTGCACGGAATATTGCGATATTAATAGAGATACGCGAGATTCATATGCGAGGTGCGAGCGGCGATGAACAAAACAAAAACTATGCCACTGATAGTCAATGTTCTTAGAGGACAAGGCACTTGAAGAAGAAGAAGAAGAAGAATGTGCGAGATGAAAGCCCAAGCGAGTGGTGGAGTAAAAGGGAGCGTAGATAGAAAGCCGGAGGAAAAATCGAGCGATGCACTTCCCGGTCGATCCTCCCTGTTGGACCGTTAAATCGATCGATCTTGTCGTGTTGATCGTTCCGCGCGGCTTCATGACGTTACGCAAACATCGTGCACGTAATCCCATCGTATTCGATCGTATTCGATCGGAAATATATTTTTTTTTCTCTTTACATAACGACGCTTCGTCGGCGAGCGACGCGAAGGTGCTGGAATTTTCGTGCGCGTTCCGCGAGCGCAAGTCGAGTTTCGGGCTCGCACGCGAACGAAACGTTAAACCCGTCACGGTCGCGGCCTGACGAGAAAAATTAAGATGCATGGTAATGATGTCCTGCCTGGCAAAGCATTACGAAGAAATTGCCGAGATTTAGCGGCCAACCGGCCGTCGAGCGCGGTCAATGGTGATCCGTTTGTCCGCGAGCCGTGACCATCCGAGCATGTTGCACTCCTGCCTCAATTCCTGCGTCCGTCGCACTTCCCGCAATCGCGGCAAGTCTCCGGAAACTCGTCCGAGTCGAGGCGCATTAGTTGAAAGAAATTGCATGCGAGGTACAAGTACGCTAACACGGTCACGGCAAGTTGTATCGAACGGTCTCAGCCTGATAGGGTCGACGGAACGATCGACGAGGGAATTCTCGCGAAACTTTTGTTCACTTTGATCTCATCGCGCTCTGAGATCGACGCGAAGTCCTGGGAAATTCAAGCGAGTCTTTTGTATTTGTATGTGTGTGTGTATGTGTGTGTGTGTGTGTGTGTGTGTGTGTGTGTGTGTGTGTGTGTGTGTGTGTGTGGTGTGGTGGGTGGGTGTGTGGGGTGTGGGTGTGTGTGTGTGTGTGTGTGTGCGTGTTTATTACCATCTGTCCTTAAACCACAAATCACAGGGAGGAAACAGTCGTCATTGTCGCGAGAACAGATGTCAATTGCGAGTCATCGTCTCGGCGCTTCTTAACGAACCGAGCGGCTGCTTTACGCCGATCGCAATTAATGAGCGTCATTGTTCGCGCCTACCGTTTACACGGTTAACGTGTACACCCGAGTGTGACGCGCCTGCTTTCCTCTCCCATCAGGATCGTGACACCTCGATAATCCTGCCGGTCGTACTGGCGACGAAATGAAAATTAGAGCCAAAAGAATTCCCGAATTAACGGCCGACGCTCGATTGATTACAAAGACGCGCGAACAGTCCTTGAGAGGACTTTCTTCGACGTTTCCATCGAAGAGAAACGAAGGTCGTCTCCGAGTCGGTCGAGGAATCTGCGATTCCAAGGGTCCTTCGGTACCCAGCAGATACCGCGATACCAGTCCGAGCGAGCGCGCGAGCAGGTTTCGTTCGTGCTGCACTTTACGATTGCATGGCGCGAGAGCAAGCGATCGCCAGCTCCTCGCGAGTTTTATCCACGAGGAAACCCTTCGAACGGTCGCGCGCGAGCCTGAAACTTGCAATCGAGTTTGCGTTTTAGAAAGGCACGTGCACCGGTGCGCGCCACGCCGTGCTGCGGTCGCGTTTCTCGCATACTTCGCACAAGAAACCGCGCGGCGAGCCGAATTGTTCGACACAAAACGCTCGTAGGGATTTCACTTTCGCACCGTGACCGCGCCGGACGTGAGCATAACGTGAGGCTTTGACTCTATCTCGGAAATTACGAATCGTCTCGCTTGAATGCGAACCGATCGTCGTACGATTTCGCCGCGACGCTCCTTCATTTGTGTACGTACGCAATAATACCAAAAGCCCGGAAACGACGCGGAAGGAAAAGGAAAATCCATCGAGCGAGCCGCGCGCCACGAGGGAGAAGTTCGCGACTTTTCAAGGCTCGACGGAAAAATATTACCGGACGCGCGACCAAGCATCGGAAGACATATTCGCCTCGGCGAATTTCACAGGCTACCCCCGCTCGCCGAGATTGTCTCGCAGTGGAAGCCCTCGAGGAAGAGTGTCACCTAGAACGACCTAACCCACATCCCAGGGGCCGAGGGAAACCGAGTTAGGCGCGGGACGTCGCGGCTCTCATTTCCGGAACCGCTTCTTCACTTCCGCCTCGCCACCGCCCGACAACCGTTTCCGGTCATAAATCAATCGATCGACCTGCAACAACCTCCGATATTCTCGCCCGCCCTTGCAACTTTTTCCACGCGCTCTCGAAGTCGAACGGAACGTCGCATCGTGATAAACTCCAAAATATACAATTAATTTCTGCTACGACTTGTGCACAGAGGAAAAAATGCGACAAGAAACGAGGCAGACGCATTTTGGTTAAAGGAGCCGAAAAAAAAATTTGGTTTCTAACCAAAAACCAAAGAGAGATTCGCTGCCTCCCCCAAAAAAAAAAAAAACATTTGCCTCGTTTATCGTCACGTTAATTCAACCCATCCTTCGTTACTGTATGAAATTTCGGTCCATGATTCTCGGGTAAAGGGCGCAGTTTTACACGATGTTAAAATTGAAAAAGCGCGAAGAATCGACGACTTTCACGTCGTCAAAAATAGCCGTGCGAGCCGCAAAGGGCCACATCGCAGCGCGGTGTGCGTCGGAGACTTGAATGCCGGGTTAACGTCATGTCCCGATTCGCAACTCCGCGTGGACGCGAAGGGACGCGAGCGTAGTGGAAATTTTAAAGGTGGTAATTAAATGTACCACCGGCTAGCTTTTGTTTCCTCGTTATTGTGTCAGCCGGCTATTGTGCGACCGTTCTCACAGCCTGTGATATAAAGTAAAGCGTCGCATAGTCCTCATCGTCGCCGCCATCGTCGCGGTCGTCATCGTCGGCGTCGTCGCATAACGTAATTCGGCGGACGAATGCCTGCGCTCGCAAAACTGACAATGCGTGCGAAAAACACGTTCGTTTCCCTCCACGGATTCCCGCGTGCGTGCGCGCGCACGCGCGATCTGTGCCAGTAAGGAAGCAAGGCTTACGGGCCAGTTATAAATTAACTCTCGCAGCGGTCTGCTATTAATATTCATTCACATTGACGATGCTACATCGAGCCCGGTTGAGCTCTTATTACCGGCCGGTGTCTAATCGATCAATCAGAATCAAGCCTCGCCGGCTCCTATCTGAGCGTAACGGTTTCGCGTTTGGTCGTGCGTGCGCGGGTCAAGTGCTGTCGCGATATATTGCCTCTCGGCGCTGTAATAATATTGAAATCCCTGGGAGACGGCGTTCTCGACGACGACGACGACGACGACGTTCGAAGGAAGGCAGGAGAGGAGAAAGAGAGAGAGAGAGAGAGAGAGAAAGAGAGAGAGAGAGAGAGAGAGAGAGAGAGAGAGAGAGAGAGAGAGAGAGAGAGAGAGAGAGAGAGAGAGAGAGAGAGAGAGAGAGAGAGAGAGAGAGAGAGAGAGAGAGAGAGAGAGAGAGAGAGAGTCGGTGATCCCACCAGCGAATCCCCCATTCACATGTCGTCGCTCTTGTTTGTCGAA